GTAATTAATTAAATCAAGTTCAAGTTTAATTGTACTTAAATTTTTATTAATTGTTATTAATATAAAAACTAAACAATATAGTCTAGGAGTTTACTAACATGTTGAAGGTTATTTTTTAAATATTTATAGTGTAGGAGATATATCATAAAATATTAATTTATTTTCATAAATTTAGTTACATGTAGACAAACTTTGATCAGTTCATGTACTTTAATTATTATTAAAAAATATAAATAGTAACCAAGAAACAGTGAAATAGGTATAGTTTTTTATCTATTTATTGAATAATAACAAACCTTTCTCATCTCATCTGAAATCCATTTTTCCCGCAAAACTGTGACAAGGTCGGTGTGTGTATAATAAGTTTCTAAGAATAATCCTTTATCATTAACTTTTTATGCATAATGTTGACATTTTTAATATTTTTCCTTTTCAAATCGTTATTTTTTTTTAATAAAACAAAAACAATGATAGTTTTCATTCTGCCATTCAAATATGGTTGAACTACATGACATATTTTGATTAATGTTCGTTTTAATTGTATATGAAGATATTTTTTAAATAAGCTTCTTAATATATATCTAAGTAAATAATAATTAAATATAATGGCAACAGAATTTCTACTTTACATTAAATAGGAAAACTTAATAATAGTAACACATACGTGAAAATAGTAACAGATTTTATATAATTTAAAATAGTATATATCTTAAAGTTAATAAGACCTTTTTGGGAATTATTAAATATTGTCAAAAAAAAATCAAACTAGTGGTCACACTCTAAGTGAATGCAAATTAGGAATCCATTTTTAGCATAATTTGTCTTACAAAATGGTACCCATATGCACACAAGTTTGCACCATCACACATAGTTTTCGTAGGTTTACGCAAAACCTGCGCACTATCTATATATATAAAAATGAATATTTAATTATGTTCGATTGAAACAGGAAAAATTTTATAAATACCTGGTTATTTATGGCCTCTTAGACGGAAAAGAGTTCGCCCGTTCAGCTATACATATGTAGGTATATGTATTACTAATGACGAAATTAACGCGGACGAAATCGCGGGCAAAAACTAGTAAGTAATAAAAGGAGAATAATACGGAGAGTATATAGAATGAAAATTTAAACATGATGGAAGGTGAGTTACCTACTAAAGAAACGAGGTATATGGATAGTTCACATAAATATAGTTTAGTTTAAATATTAAATCAATCTTGTCATTTAAAATTGTATAAAAAAATATCTCCTTGATAGATTTCAACTTATATTTTTAGAATTATGCTCTAATCTACAGTTATTTCGTAATTAAGAATGTTGAAAAGAATTTATAAATCATACATATAGTGTTAGTTTTGACGACATATTAAACCTAGTTAGCTTTTGTAATAATTTTGTTAATTTTTCTTGAATAATAAAAAAGAGACACACCAACGTAATAAAAAGATTGCATAATCAGACTACATCTTCAAAGATCTTATCTACAAATCCATGTTTGTTATACATACATAAGTATGTATATATACGTATTTTTAAATAATTACATAAAAATAAATAACAATTACAGGCAAAAGTCGCTGTAGCATATGTCAACTAATATATTGTTATTTACTTTCAAAAGCTTTCTAAAGCAGTATCTACAACTTGTGTATAACATTAATTACGAACAGTAAAATAGTGAATTTATCAGTTAAAAGCATAGTTAAGTGAAACATTTGAGCTTACGTCATTTGATTGTTCTTAAGTTTGGCGAAAAAAATCATACAAGTTCTGCTATATGTATGTACTCCGTGTATAAAAGTGGATGTACAAAATTGGTTATTCAATTCCCTTAAACCATATACATATTTGACTGTAAATATCCAAGTGTATATACTATATGTAATGTCTATACACTTATCACATTCCATCTGGCTACTCCGTCATAGAAGCAAGCGAAGTCATATGTAACAATCAGTCATTTATTTGCTTCTACTTTCACTGTACAGGTTTTTTTTATGTTTTTTTTTTATTGTGAATTGAAATGTATTCGCTTAGATGTATTACGAATAAAAAAAACTTACAAGCTTCCGTTCTATAACATTACGTATACATGAACCAGAAAATTGTAATTAAAATAATGAACAAAATTAATGTGAATAATTTAATTATTAGTCTTCAATGTTAAGTTAATGAAATCTCTTTAGTATTCATTATTGACATTTTTACTAGAACTTTAAAACTGAAGCATTTAGTTTGAAAGACGTTACTCATACTAAAGTTAAGTGAATGTTTGTTTTGTAAACTTATCAAGGTTCTGCCCAACACTAGTCCCCAAGCAATAGTTTATATAATACAATTAAATAGTTTTATTCGATTTAATTATAAAATATACTGATTGGTCAGTAAATAAATGAATATAATAGCTTATTTGTTATATAAATTCATTAAGAGTAATTTTCTTTGACTAAACATTTAATAACTAAATGATAATAACAACAGAATTTTAAGAAATAAGATAATTTCTTTATTCCGACGTCAATTGAATTTCACATCAATTGTGAAGCATTTAGCAATCTTGTTTTGCAGTACATTAAAATAATTTTTAATTAAGACAACAAATTGTATTCTATTATAACATAATTTTCTTTTGATTATTCAAAATAAAATTATGTTAATTTCATGGAAGTATGAAAAATATCGCTTTTTCTTAGGTATAAATTCTTTCGATGCATAAATGACAATGTTATACTTAAATCACATTAAGACAGAAGTTATTTGATGAAAATATCAATGACAGGAGCAGGAATAGATGGTTGGTTTTGTTTTAAATATGGCCTTCACCCGTGTAAAGACGTGCACAGTAGGTATATTTTGCCAGTGTCGTGTTGAAGCAGGAATAAAACCTAGTTCTTAAGGAATGTTGTGTTCCAGAGAAAACTTTCTGCTGTTTACGACTTAAAAATTAATTCTCTATTTATAAACTTTAAGACTTATTTGGTAATATTACAAAATTACAAATTACAATGCAGTAATTGAATTAAATGTAAAGCACTATGTATTTAAAAGTGTATTAATCTTTTAAATAAAATCAAAAAGGTATCACATATTTTACATTTAAAATAACCAGTTAAAAACTACTTCCAGCTATTTAAAATTCCCGATAACTTTATCTGTATACTAATATGTAAAATTTAAATGTCTGTTTTGCAATTTGAAATTAACAGCTCTTTAAACTTGTATGAAAATATATACGATATCCATATCAAAACTGCAAATTTTAATTCTTTTGTCTGTTCATTTTTCTATATGTTTGTTCTATCTTATCTCCGGAACAGCTATATCGATTTTAACAGGATTTTTTTTAGCAACTAAGTAATGGTGATAATAGTGATTTAGGCTACTTTTTAAACGATTTCAAAAAGGAGAAAGTTCTCAATTCAGTATAGCGTTCAATTGAAGAGTGTTTTGCTAAGTAATTTTTATTAAAGGGACATTATTATGAGGTAGTTCAACTATCACCAAACCTAGATTCGATTAAGGTATTTTTGAGACATCGAATGAAACTTCATACTACTAATTACTAGGGTCGCAAAGAGGGTATAATATGCGATCAAAGTCAAAAGCAACAGCTAGTCTATAATAAATAAAGGTATCTTAATAACACATTTGTATTTAAATTAAACTAAACTTATATAAATGAGTAAAACTTTATGTTACTGTTTGCTATCGAACCAGACTACCAAAGTCAACAAAACTACAATAGACATATTTATCTTTACAAGTTACATAAACACGGAATAATCATAGATTTTAGGAAATTACAATTAATTGTATAGATTTTTAGGAAATATATTTAACACAAGATCAAAAAATATGCATAGTAATAAACTAAATAATGAGATAACTTTTGAGTATTTAACTTATTTTGGAAAAAGTGTGGTAAAGTCTTTAAAGATTATACAAAAATTAGTTATTTATAGAACCAACTTACATTGATAATAACTATCTATTTAAAAACATGGTTTAATGTATTAATTATACATACGTATATACACCGCTTGTGTAAAGTGCACACCTTAAATAGTATACAAGTAGTGATAAAAATAAAAAACGCATGATTTGAAACAGCCATATTATTTTTTTTCATCGCTCGAATACACCAACTTACTTGATAACACTTATTGTTTTCTCAAACAATATTATATTTCAACTTAATATTAAATGTACCTATAAGGTCCTCAAGAAAACCAATTGCATTTAAGAAATGTTCTAACGTATATCGTATCTGGATAAAAATCAAAATCCAAAATTATCTCCTTGACTTTTTATAGCCTAGGTATAATACTAAGTATGACAAGTAATAATCAAAAAACATGTTCATTTCATACCATCAAAACTTTAATGTTTGAAGTTCTCCTGTTTATATCAATTTCATTTAATTCACGTCTACGCAATGTCTAAATAACAACATGAACAATTTTTGTAACGGTCGAATACATAACTGTCTTATATAGAAGTTGGTTAAAACACGATATACAAATTAAGAGAATTTCCTAACTTAGACAACTAATTAACGATAATTTGAAGTCGCTTTCACTTTGAAAATGAGCAACGAAACTATATTAAAGGTTATTTTTTTACTTAATTTACTAAGATTCAAACTGTAGTAACAGATTTCGATAACTTTAATCTTTCAACAGAAATAAGATTAGTCAATAAAGAAAAATCTAGAAATCTATCGAGCGAATAATATTGAGAAACTGCAATTGACATAGCAATGGGTTCATTGCTTTTAAGCAATTTGAATTGCTACAAGTGTATAATTAATTACTTACCTTACCAGTTACCTTAATACCTTATTATTAATATACATAATATGTGGGGTTGAATTTAAAAAAAGATTTTTCGAATTATTCATGTCGAAACTATTTTATTAGCCTATAGGTCAGATAGTAAAAGTTTAAAATTTAAATGTAAATATGTAATATAATAAAACGAGTGTACATTATTTTTGTCATTTATTAATTTTAAGATCAGCGCCATCTGTGATATTTGCTGGAACCATCGCGGAACTAGCGCCATCTATTGGTGGATTATTTAGCAGTTTTAATTTAATAAAATGCTCCGAAATATGTTGCTGTAATTCATATTTGAGGCGAAAACTTTGAGTACACTCCATGCATCTGAAAATAATTACAAAACTCTTAATATATTTTGTTTGCAAATTTATCTTCTAATTGAGGTCATATATAACTCCTATATACTTAATATCAATAACTTTAATTATTAAAATCATCTCAGAAAATATTCCTTAAAATGTGTTTTTATTCTCAGCACACATTTCGGTGGCCATGATAATCATATCAGTACTATTTCAATAATAAAAACACCATAACAAAAATATACAAGCAGAATTTCATTTAACCATGTAAAAAATGTATCACAAACATTATCTCGATGGATCCCATGTATGTATAAGGACCAATGTAGCAATTTAGCCATTTCCATTTTTTTTACTCTAAACACTACATAATAACGTATAAGGGCTAATATACATTAAAAAAAGCTATAACGTTTCCAAAAAGGTTTATCAAGCTTGAATGATGTACGTGTATGTCATAGTACTTATTACGGCGTCGGGACGTGACGACCCCATCGCCCACTGGTATATTCCGGTGCAATCAGTCACGGGGGGGAGGGCTGGGGGTACAGCCCTGGGAGTAAGACGGTCACGGATCTGGCAGGAGGCCGTCCGTGGCTGTCTTGGGGGGAGGGGATACTCGGGTCTCTCCGGAGGCCTGAGTTCGCTTGTGGTCGGTCGGTTTCCTCTCTGTCTGCCGTCGGGCGCTTGCGCTCGTCGGTGGGTGGTTGGAGACTGGCCGCGTGGGCTTGGGTGGGAGGGGTAAGGGGTTAACCCTCTCGCGATTAAGCAAGCCCGCCAGGCGGGGGGACACTCCTGGTCACTTGGAGTGAGCCCTCGGGGGGGGGGGAGGTGGCCGTTCGCGGCCCGCCGCCGGATCGTCGCGGATGCATGCTTCGGCGTTTCCCGTGGCGATCCACTTGGCGGCAACGGAGAGTGACCGCTGGTGTTTTAGTGGGTAACATGGGCCCTTCTGGCCGTGAATCCCACATAACCGCCTCTGTCTCCCCTAGACGGAGGGGTAGGTATAAAACCTTTCACCGCGATAACAAAAAAAAAAAAAATGTCATAGTACTTATGCAAAGTTACAAAAGAATCAGTTGTCGCATGTAAAAGATACATTAAAATCAAACTTAAAACGCCTCTACTGAAAAATTGACATTTTGGGCATTGGCCCTTATACATAGGAGCTATCGATCTATCTGAAATATTCTTAATGTGTAGTAAATTATCTATAACATACTTATAAGTTTTATCTCCTACATGTACACGACGATGTTTAACAAGATCATTTGTTTGTGAGAAAGCTCTTTCACACAAATCACATTTATAAGGCTTTTCACCGGTGTGACTTCTATAATGTCTCTTCAGATGATCCTTACTTGTGAATCTGGAAAACAAGAGTTAACTTAATGTAGCTGTGTGGAAATAATAGAAATAGAAATATATATAGCATAGACTTTAGATTGAAAGCTATGAACAATGGGTATATTACTACCAATATATATATAGGAATCTCAAAAAAATCATTTATAAAGTATGGTTTTCTTATAAAGCCAGTACTTTAAAATAACTAATAAGACATCAAGAAGAACAAACTAATTATTATCTTACACCAAAACAACTTAAATCAGTTAAATTCAATTTATAAAAACACAACTCATGTTAACAAAATACTTTCCGGCGCAATAGTGAACAAACCAAACATCATTGCTTTGATATCACTTCAGCTAATTTCGGGAATTTAAAGGTTCGATTCATATTAAATGTGTGTTCCCTAAGTATATATATATAGAAATTAATGTCAATAATTATGTAGTAATTATTAGTAAGAAGAAGAAGAATTATGTAGTAATATATCAATAACTATCTAGTAAAATATGAATAATTATACACCCACTTCATAGAACATTTATCACATTGATGTGGTTTCAATCCCAAATGCTTCAACTTGATATGTTTCATCAGAGAACTGTTCTTAGTGAACGATGATCCACATTGATCACATGTACAATTCCTTTCCCCCGTGTGTGTTATTGTATGGGATTTTAATTCACCTGTAACAAATGGAAATACTTAATACAAGTTCCTTTAACTCAACTATATTAGACTAGTGCTATAATTCAATTTAATAAGATTAAAATTTGTAATAATTTTTCAGTACCTATTTGTTTTCATTGAAATGTAGGTAATATTGTGTAAACAATGAATCCTGTTTACCTTTACTTATAAATATCATCGGACACATCGCACATGCAAATGTCTTCAAGCCATCATGCCTTCTCATGTGTTGTTTAAAATTTGTACTCGAATAAAAGTTTTTACCGCACTTCGGACATAAAAAGGCCTTGTCGGTTGTGTGCACTCTTAAATGTGCTTTCAGTGTGAATAAATGTGCAAACGACTTTGAACAATGTGTGCATGTATGTGGTTTTACACCATAGTGTTTGTTTAAATGCTCTTTCAATATGTCCTCGCTTGAAAATGACTTAGAACACACACTACATTTGTGTGGCCGATTTATTTCATGTATCTTTTCATGTCTTTTAACGTGACTGACTTTTTTGAATTCCTTGCCGCATATACTACAAGATAATATTCTGCCTTTCTTAGTATGCTTTATCATATGTGCGGAGAGGGATTTAATTGATTTGAATGTTGCAGAACAGACCTCACACTTGAATTTAACATTATCAATATCATCTGCTTCATCCTTAGATTCAGTTTTTGATACTGTCGGTAATAATCTTTTATTGACTTCACTTGACTGTGGTATTGTTTCATTTGGCTTTATATTACATTTTATTATGTCTTGCTTATTATTATTATTATAATTAAGTTCAGTCTCACTTCTATCTTCTACCTTTGGCTGAATGTCGTCAATATAATTAACAGCCTCTATTTTTATTTCACCTAATTTAGTATCTTCCCTTGTACCGGTATATAATCTGTTGTACGAAGCACTCTGAAGTTTCTCATCAATACTTTCTGCTAGTTTTCTAAACTTATAAAAACTTACAAGACAATTGTAGCAATGGAAACATATCTGCTTCGGTAACAAATCGTCTTCAATGATCTGAAATTTTTAAAAGTACATTACAATAACCGACACTAATATAAAAATAATGAATTCTTAATATGAAAATGTGTGCCCTTTTAAAAATATTATATTGTGGAATATAAATGAAAATCATACAAACATTTATATTAGTGCACGTAGCCAAAATATGTGCAGCACTGGTTGAATTAATTTCCACAAATATTCCCAACATATTAGATCTCTCTTTCATACAAGTTCGACAACAATTATTATAACTTTTGAGATCTTCGTCTTGCTCCATTTCATATAAAATATATATTTTTAACCCCTTAAATATGATAGATGTATAAAACTGACGACGTCGATTTCAAGATGTAAAGAGTTACAACTTAATAATTTAATAGTTTTCAATTGTAAAATTAATTTTATATTTTATAGTATTTATTTACACTTTGACAGGTCATACAAATATGACGTTAGTATTGTAATCTTCAAAAATATTTTTACCGTATTTTTTTTACAAAAAAGTACTTTTTCTATTGTATTGAAAGAAACAAATTATATTTTCAATTAATTATTTTTAATTCGTGTCATAAAAATATACAAAAATAACTTTGTAAATATGTAGGACAGATAAAACGTGCTAACTTTTAACTGAGGAATGTCAAAGTGTCTAGACTGTCAACTTCTATCACAGTCAAAAGTTGCAGAGCATTATCAAATTGCGATTTACGAGCGAGTACCTGCCTAGTACTTATTAACATTCTTTTTTTTATTACATATATGATCTATTCTTAAAGTGAAAATCGTTTTGCGGTGATGTAGGAAAATTCTACTTCAACAAAATATGTAAGTACCAGTTATCATTGTTTAAAATATTGTAGTTATTTATAATTTTTCAAGAACTTGAAAGGTACATATCACTATTGTACGTTAGTATTTTTATTACGCAAATATAATTTTCTATGATTAATTCCCTAAGTCATTGGCCTCATTTAATATATTCTTTTAAATATGAATTTAAAATATGCTTAAATATATAATGACATATTTTTTTATGTTTAGCCCTGAGTAAAACAAATTGCAGATTAAAGATATTGCGAATTGCGATCTTTTGCTTTAACCCTCTTATTAAAAAAACATCAGAAGAGATATTATGAAAATATATTTCTTCACGTTTTTTTTATTTTAAATATAAAAATACTTTTTATATGTTGTTAAAATAGTTTTTTAATTTTATAGATTTGGGTGTGTAAGTAATCAAGATAATACGAGTTTTATTAAGACTGCTTTAATATTACGCTTATTCAATGCCAAGCCATAGTGATTTATATGTGTCTAACGAAAATTTACTTAAGTACATATACATAAACTAAAATTTGTTTGTGATTATGAAAATAAAAACACTTTTTGCTCATTGTTTATGACGCGATGTCAATAAAAAAAAATCGATGTCTTTTTGAATATCTGATACAGTTTCGACGGTGTGAAAAGCAATGAAAATTGCGGCTAAAACCGCTGATAATAAATAGCTAGTAAGAAATAGAATACAATGAGTCGTTTCACAGTCCATTACTACAGAAAATGCTTAAGGATAACCAAATATATTTACTGGCTTCATGAGTAAATCATTGAAATTCCCAACGACGTAAAGCTATAAATAGTTTTATAATTATAATAGGAAGCCATTGCTCTCAAAAAATAAGAAATAAAAGTTATACAGCTATTTTTAGTTCTGAGAGACAAATCACTACTGAGATCGTAGTATAACTTATTTTAAATATCACTTTCTCTTCCCCTTTTCGAGGACACAATTTACACAATGTACACGTAAATAACAAGGTTTTCTAGTTTTACTTCTAAAGATAAAAAGGTTACATATATTTTTATGTAAAATATAAATACGTAACATTTCGTTTAAAACGCTTGTCAAAATTAATTAAACTAACATAAGCCGGTTTCTAAATAACGTATAAAAATACTTTTTTAAATCGTAAGTTGAATGAACTTTGAATAAAAATGAATCTATTTACATTTCACAATTCCAAACATAAAAGCGTAAATTGGAAAAATTACTTTGTTGATATACATAATTATAATTAAGGCTACATATTCTGTACCATGGTACAAATAAATTTGTAGTCCAAGGTAATCACGAATACATTAAACCTCTTTGCGCAGTTATTCATGTTTTTTTTTACTGTGACTTTAGGAGATCGTGAATTTATTATCTGTGTTACTGTATACATATGTTGGCTTTATCTAATTCAGATTTTGTGCGTCGTCATCGTTTTATATTATTTTGTATATAAAAACGTAAAATATATTTCGGTGACATTTAATACTTTTCCATATATGAAGATATATTTAATAATGCGATTTTGAATAATAAAAATATATGACTCCAAAATTAATTTGTTAGCAACAGAGTAAACTGTTTAATTAACTGATCATCTCTGTACATTAATCTCACGATATGCAAGTGATCATTTGCATGATCGAGATAAGATGGTGATCATTATATCTAGGTACAAATATTATGTAAATTCTTCATTTATTAATATATAAATTACAGACATTGAATATTTTTTTATGATTACTTCATCGTAATAAACAAAGTAAATCACAGTAAAGGTTCGAAATCTATGACATACAAAAAGTTTTTAATCGAACAAAATAAAACCTCTAACGTTATACAACCTCCATGCTATTTGTATAAAAAAACAAGAATAAACAGAAATCAATGCTGGCACACTATAAACATATTTAAAAAACATTCGATAGATTTTTTAAAATTCGAACAATTATAAGTAAGAAGTGATTTTGAAAAGTTATAAAGTTACTTGCCATTGAACTCTTTGATAAGCGTCTTAGAGGTCACTGTGACCGGTTTAACATCAAAACACAGGCAGTGTTGCATCGCTCGTCGAAGCGAACGGTCGTGTTGTGTTGTGTCGAGAGGTATTATATTAGAATTATTATAAAGTAGAGCACATCTTCGTCATATTTATCTTTTATGACCTTCACTAGTAATTACTCGTCCTATCCTAGGTAATGTTATCTCCACGAGTCTTAATTAACGTGTAGGTACAATTAAAATTTATGTGTATCTGTAGTAAGAAGTATAAGAATGAGATTGTGTTTAAATCTACATCTAATTTTGTTACAAAAGAATTTTTAATTAAATAGCAGGCAATCATATTCGATAAGAATTGTTATTAAAATTCCGGTGATGTAAAAATTATGATATTAATTCGTTTATGATGAAAATATTGGAATAGTTAATAGACCTTCGTTTGAAGTACGTAAGGTTAAATTCAATAACATATTATGTTTGGCTGTTTAGTGTTGACCTAAGTTTGTAACCGAAAAATTAATTAAAAAAAAGCACCTGTCAGTTTATTTGCTTGTTTTTCTAGTGATATTTAAACATTTTTTATAAGATCTATCTGATGCAGACCTCTAACGCTAATTTTCGTTCGTGTCTTATATAAATGTTACCTTAGTAATACCTATTACCTTTTTTTCTTACTTCAATTTGTGCCAAAATTACCTAACTTCCACTTAAACATGAATGACCTATAAGACAACACTATATTTTACCTTTTTTATTTTTTGTATAGCTTATATAATTTAAGAAAATGTACAATATATACCTCTTAAAAATATTTTTTATTTTAGTTATCAAAACAATAAATGTATTTTACTGCGGAAAGACGTGATTTCTTTTAAAACATAATAATAAACAAGAATATGACGAAAAAATGGACGTCCAGAGCAAAAAGTAGCTTAAATTTTTCCTTAACTTATTCTTTTTTTTACAAAAACTTTATATAGAGATACTCTTATTATCGTCGCTTACATACGTAGCTTCAAAGGTTCATTATAAAGACATTTTAATATAGTAATCTTCATAGATTTAGGAATAAAAACGTTGAACTTTCCATGTTTCCTTAACAACTAATAATCGTACTAAGAGTACACTATTGGAATTTAGTAATCTCACAGATGTTACGAACACAGTCTAAACCATACGATTGAAATTAAGTATCGCGAGAAACTTTACTACCATATAAAAGCATTAAATTTTAATATAACTGTATTAAAACTAATATTGCCACACTAATATCCACTATATGGGTATTAAAAAATGTAATTTGCGTGAATTAAAAAGATTACTATGCAATTAAAGTTAGTTCTTATCTTAATACAGCAAATAATATTCACAAATGTATTAAGGTATATGTATGAAAGATAGAAAACTTCTTGTTTGACAACGCCATCTGTGGTAAGGAGATTGAACTAAAATAAGTTCCTAAGTATTCTCCTATAGGATTCGCGAATCTGTTAGACTTATCTACCTGGATGCTACTGACACAATTTTTTCTTAACAATGCACTCATATCCAATATAAAACTCCATACAAATCTATTCACCTATTTCTGCTCAATATTCCACTATTATCGATAGTTGATAGATTTTCCACAGTAACTTATTGTTAAAGCTTTTTTAATATTATACAGAAATCAATTTAAATGTACCGTTAGAATGTCTGTCCCGTTTGTAAATTCTAGACCTTTTGGATATTGAGAAAAAATAGCAACTCGGTCATAAGTTATCACACAAAAAATCTGATTAAAAAGAAAATAAAAGTCCTTTCGTTCTATAAAAATAATTATTATCTATGGTTCTAGATTTGTTTATATTTTTTTAATGTTATAATACTCTATGGTATATTATATTTACTAACAGCTACCAACAAGTAAAGCAGGTTTAATTTGGTTTTGCGGTCAACATTCGCTTTACGGTTGCTTATAGCGGGTTCGATGCCCGGCATTGACATGTTTTCGAACTTGTCACGGCCATTTTCCTTAACTTGAGCGTAAAAGTATTTTTGATTATAACATAACTGAAATCCAAGTCGTACTAATAAATTCTAAAATTTGACAGCGTATTAAAATATGACAGTATATATAATTAGATTAAATTAGATAAATAATAATTAAAAGATAAATCTTTAAATACAAAAAGATATGCAAAGAAAACAATTATGTGTAAAAGATAATAAGTGTATGTGTGTGTGTGTGTGTGTGTGTGTGTGTGTATAGATGTATCCATGCTGTCTTTATCTTTGATTGAATTAACAATTGAAGGAAACCTAAACGGTAACAAATGTAATCAAAACAATGAAATTGTTTCATTTCGTCCAATAGGGTTGTGCCATGCCATCTACATATTTATTTTATATCTCTTCCATATTAATATATAATAAAATTTACAGTTCTTTGAAAAATACTCTAATATAACGGTAAATAAAATTTAATTTTCAAAAATCCCGTTACAATTGCGTTATAATCATTTAAAAAGATAGAATTACATTAAATTAAATAATAATGTGTTTAATATTATAAGATTTCATGTAATAAAACAAAAAATATTTTCAATCAATTGTTTGTGAACCCTGATTAAATGAATCGCTTCTGTGATAAAATGAATCAGTCTTCATGTGAACTATGAATATTATATATTTATACATATATATAGTCTCAGATTTTTCCTCATTCATTTTAATTATTATAAATTAGATTTTGGTAATTAACGAAATACTTACTATAAAGTGTTAAGCTACTTGATAATTTCATATCAATTGTCTTATAGAAATACTATATTATTTTCATCAATTATGTAGAACTAATTTAAAAACTTGGACAATATATTAGGATTCCGTGAGATTTGACGGTACTGTAAATTTAAACTGAAAATTTCTTAATGAAAAAAAGCATACTAAAATTATACGGAACTTTTAAAAATTACCTTTAAATTGATGATATTAGTATGTTTGTTATAATAATTCTTATCCGGTGCAAAGTACGCTTATATGACAATAGCGTTTATCATTAACATATATTGGCTACGTAATCTATGTTTTTAAATTAAATTCTTTTTTTATCATATAAATACACAAACACAATCAGTTCACACCCAAATTGATTGTGGACTTTGAAACCGCGAAGAATTTTTTACTTAAACTTTTGTTATTCTAACACGTCTGTCAAATATATATGTTATGGGCTAAGTGATTAATCGGTCATTATTCATAATACCCAATAATGTGATGTGATTATAACCAATTAACTTATCGCAATGCCCGGGCATTATTAATTATGCCCGAATTATTAACTTGGCCCATAACATACATACACTTCCAAATCCCTTGGGAATGTTAGCACAATTGAGTAACAAACACAAACATACATTCATGTATAATAATTGTTATGTAATTAATTGGAAACAATACTACATGTATCCGTAGATTATTCTTATAATGGACAAATTATTGTTAAATTTTGAATCTTTATGAATTGACAGACAGACAGAAAGATTAAAGATACTTTTTTCGTCATTTTATATAGTTATTCAAACTAAGTTTAATAAAAAATTGTTGGTCCAAAAACAGTCTATACAAAATTATAGGGAATGTGAAAGCTAGTTTTAAATACAAGAAACAATGATACAATTAATGCATCTGAATAAATTATACAAACAGAAGTAGGTACAAAGGGTTAGTAACGTGTAAAAGTGACTAAAACGTACATACATTGATATAAATGTTCAGGAAGATTATCATAATTAAATTTAAAGAATACGTATGATATTCATATTCATTCTTAAATTGTTTAATTAAAATAAATATAAAAATTATTCTATAAAATAATTAATATTTTCGACTAGGACATGTTTCGCGATTCATATTCTAAATTCAGACATACCTACCTTGCAAAAATATTTCTAAAATTGTAACTTTTCGCTTTTAATTTGTGTTGTTTTTTATTAATTAGTGTTTTTTTTCTTGTAGATGTAATTTAATTTAATTAGATTAGGGTGTTGTTGTTATAAACTTTTAGACAATGCTGTGAACACCTGTAATAGGTGTACATATTAAGACCTTTACTTTTGGGTATATTTTTTGTGTAAATGTTGTATATGTGTACTGTTGGTGTTCCTAAGTAAATAAATAAATAATAATAATAATAATATTTTTTCCTCGTATCGTAAAATTATAATAAATACTTCATAAAAATACTAGCGTTACAGGGAGAGGAGCTTCAACAGTGCCTGAGACTTGCGACCCAGGTGTAGGTTTAAGGGGTCCCTATCTAACGCGCGTTAAACGCTCACCTCCACCGTCCAAGCTCCTCTCTTTCCCTCTATAATATACGAAGATTTGTTACTGTTATTTTGTTAAAGCTCCGTCTGTATTCTGACCAAACAAAATAATTGACAGCATTCTCATATAGTTCTAAAATTAATATATCACGTCATTTGAATAAACAGAGTTTATACTTTTTCATCATTATTTATAACTAGCTCTCCGCCCGCATCTTCGCCCGCGTGGAGTTCGGTTGTGTCGCTTTTCCAAGAGAACCTTGCAAAAGTCTAGGATAAAAACTATCATATGTTCTTTCTCAAGGTCAACTCTATGTCTGTACCAAATTTCATTAAAATTAGTTCAGTTGTTTAGGCGTAAAAGCGTAGGGCTGGATGCAACCGGATTCCCAGCCCCCTATCAGTCAGGCGAGGTCGGAGCGCCACTGGGTTGTTTTAGTGGGTATACCGGGAATCCTTTTCCCGGGGAGTCCCACATACCCCTCCCCGTCTCCCGACGGAGAGGGGATGCGTAAAGCATTTTTTCCCAGTGCGCACAATAAAAAAAAAAAAGGCGTAAAAGCGTAACAGACAGACAGAGTCACTTTCGCATTTATAATATTAATAGGGATAGGGGAGAGTTGGTTATATCGTACTAGCATTTAAATCGTACCACCTCTAAATTTCCCATTTAATGAATATTTTTTTTTACATTGACAACGCCAAATCGTGGCCCTGGACCATCTCTCTTCACCCACTAGTTTAAATCGACGTGAGTTAACAACTGTGCACGTAATAAAAAAAAACATTTTTTGTAGGAATTAATATAAATATTGTCGTACATTCGTAAGGAGATAACTCGTAATCAAGGTAAGCTATAGTTATTCAGTTTTTTTTATTATTCCACAATTGTATACTAGATTATTGGGGGTTTTTATTGCGTGTCTAAGTTTTGAGTTTATGCCGGATATTTGCTTTTGTTTTAGAAGTGACTTAGTTGGTTTAATCGTACCACTTGCAGTTGGTTAAATTGTACTGGTACGATTTACCCGACTACCAACCGCAAGTACCTATAGTACTACCGCAAGTACGTATAGTAAGTACTACCCAAGGCCAAAAACAAAAGTTATAAGAGGAAACGATCTCATTCCATCACCAGTAGCGTTGATTCAAGAGAGACACTTGTTGTAGAACTAAATGATGATGATGACAGCGATGATTATCTTGAAAATATATGTCGAAAGTGCAATTGTTCTTACTACGATAAGAAGGGTCCAAAAGTTGATTCGATTCAATGCTTTCGCTGTAAACGGTGGCTACATGAGACGTGTACTTCGAATTTTTGAAAACATTTGTCATGATTGTTTCCATTAAGAAATATGCACAATAATTATATTACAAATAACATTCTTGTTAACTGTTACTTTATTATTGTAGTTTACTGTTTTTTATTTGTCTCATTTTTATTAGTTATGTTGATTGACCTCATTATCATAGTATAATCATGTTATTTTACTGAGAAAGCTTATAGTTCCTTTATATAACCTAAAAGTTAAAAATTATGTTTCTATTATCTAAAAGATATAAATAATGTTGTTTTATTACTTACCTAACAGTCAAAAATAAATAATTTGATTGAGAATTTTAATGTCTTTCATTCAGTGGTACGACTTAAACACCCATGGTACGATTTAAAGACTTAGTGGTACGATTAAAACGACGAGTCGGCTAAATCGTACCGATGGCAAGCCTCTATAAAAAAGCATTTTTAACAATGTTAGAATAATCGCAAGGATCTGTTCTCTTCTTCTTAGGAAGCTAAAATATGAAACTTTATTTTACATATGTATTAATTATAATAAGAGGTGTTATAGTCGAAATATTTGAGTTAAAGTGAAAAGTGGTACGATATATCCGACTCTCCCCTATGTGTTTATTATCATGATTTATAACTGATATACGTGTATTGTGTATGGAGATCGAAATACGTGTAATTATTTCATTTCCATAACATATTTTACCATACATTTAAAGAAAAAATAAATAATCGTCTTCAATTAAATTCTTCTTTCTTCTTCACAGGTACTATTTAGTTAATCTATAAGTTTGATCTTTTTAAACTGAAACTGATAAATTGAAGTGACATAATATATAATATTAATACAAAATAAATTAGAAAAAAGCTTCATATCTATACTAATATTATAAAGCTGAAGAGTTTGTTTGTTTGTTTGTTTGTTTGTTTGTTTGAAAGCGCTAATCTCCGAAACTACTGGTTCGAATTGAATAATTCTTTTTGTGTTGGATAGTCCAGTTATCGAGGAAGGCTGTAGGCTATATAACATCACGCTACGACCAATAGGAGCAAAGATATAGTGTAAAATGTATAAAAAACGGGAGAAATTATTTAATCTTTGAAGCCTTCTTTTGCGTGCGCCGTGAAAACGGTTAAAGATACACAAGAAATATGTGGTAAAGAATAATAGCTCTTTTAATGATCTAAAAAACAGCCCGCGACAGTATATCTTTTAAGATTAACTCACAAAAACCGTTTTTATGGTACCTAATTTGGTCGAAATAATTTGTTTAAGTTGTATCATCATAACAATTTTTAATCTTTGTTCAAACATAAACAAATAAATATGTTGTTAGTTAAGAGTACTTCATTGTGAATAAAATTGTCTTTGACACAACTTAATTTCAACAAAAAACTTTAAAGATTACAATGATAAATAACTCCGAAACAAAGCCAACTCGCTCTCTGCACTTGCCGGCGCGGCGGGACAGAACGTTAGCAGCGTTTAGCCTCACAAAATTTTCGAACTTTGGCGAATTGGCAACGGGAATCGAGTGCTGATCGTTCTCAAGATCGGGTTGTGGCGAAAATCAATATGTTCTTCTGCCACAAGATAATAAAACAAAATTTTAGTATATGCAGAAGTTCTTTAAAATAATTAAATTTACTTTAAAAATTATACAGATATAGTTTCGAACTCGAAAAAAAAAAGGGTTTTATCCTGAAAATTCTGCGGGAACTTGACCATTCCGAAAATCCCACAAGAACGGGAACTATGTGGGAAGAACCAAAAATCTACCGGAAGTCACTATTCCACGCGAACGAATTCGCACGCAAAAGCTAGTTTGTACATATACAAAAACATTTAGGACATTTATCAAAAATAAACGTAATACTTCGTTTTATATACAATTTTTATTTATTTTTCAAACAATAATATTGCGTTTATCTTATACGTTTCACTTATATTCTAAAAATAATTAATTGTTTTCAAAATTCACCCATCAATCATTATTATAAAATATTATTAAATAATACGTAAAAATTTATCAGTCACGAATGTTTGTGTCATCGACCTTATAATTTATTTACCTTTTTCATTATCATTATGATAATTTTTTGATAATCCAGTACACCTCATTATCAAGATTTTATTAGTTAAGATAACAATTAATGATGTTTGATAATGTATAAATAAAATTTAAAAAAATAATGTAAATTGTAAACAAATAATTTGAATTAATTGAATAAGTCGTACCTACTGAGTTGTTTCGTTCATTGTAATAATACCATTACTATTTATCCTCAAAAAATAGGTGGTTTGTTCATAATTTTCCTTATTTTAGTTCAAATATGTTTATATATTATGAGATCTAATTTTTTTTAGAAACTACATACTCCCGACGTTTCGGCTACTTTTCAGTAACCGTGATCACGGGCAGACGAGATGGGAGTGTCTGTCAGTTGGTCTAGTCATTTTATCTCCTACCTATCAAAAATAAAAAAACGCGAAGTAAAATCCGAAAATATTAGTTTCATTTAAATGTTTATATATTATAAATGGCAAAACAAGAATGTATGAAACTGTTTTAATCTTAATAAAACTTCCAAAGTATTCATCTCATATCATAAAAGTACTAAATCTCCTATTAGTTATTAATTCTATACATATTAAGTTATTCTTACATTAAATTATTTGTATCAAATTGTTTCAGATATCGATCGAGGCTGAACGAAACGAAATCAAGTTATCTAGTCATTTTTATTATAATAATATATACAATAAACTATGATATAGAATTATATTTACATATATAGAGTTTAAATAATATTGTACTTATATTCTTTAGTTAGCTTTATAAGTATTAAAGATGCAGATACTTAAAGCAAGGTACGCCATAAGGGCGACAACCTCACACTTACAAGCATGGAATTCGGCGAGAAATAGGAATGCAACTACAGTAAGTTGAAAATAAAGTAATTTTATTCATTATTATTAATATTAGAGACAATTTTTTAATCTATGACTTCATTAGCACTGGAACTGGACTGGACTGTTGTTTTATAGCCTTATGCTAATCCTTATCCTGTATTCTAACTACATACTTAACCGATTTTGATGTAATTATATAAAATGTATACCCTATAGTCATAAAAACATCATACCACCAGTAACCACCATTTAAATATTTAGTCGTCAATACAACACCGATAGATTATAAGTTCCCTACCTAATACATAACTTATCACCATTAAGACATCTTCATTAGATATACGTCTTGTTATTGCTTCGAAAACGGCTTAAAACTCTTTCATGTATATTATGATTTATATTTTCCAACAACACCTATATATGAAAATTCTGTAGAAACCTAATAGTCTTATTTTATTCCAGCAATCAAAAACCGTAGACTACAAACCAATCCGTAGCGTGCTGGTTGCAAATAGAGGTGAAATAGCCATTCGTGTCTTCAGAGCATGCACGGAGTTGGGGATTCGATCCGTCGCTATATACAGCGAACAGGATCGACTTCAAATGCACAGGTACAATTTATTTTATTATAAGCTCTGTGATTTAATTATTCTGTACTGTAATGATAGTGTGCTCTAATTGTTGTGTCCTCTAATTCTCTATTTTGTTAGTACTTTGTACTGTAATACCTCTGTTCCGTAAGTACTCTGTACTATAATTGCTCTTTGCTCGTTCAATTACCTTTAATGCAAAACAAATTTTATAAATTACAAGCTTATCGTAGATGTTTAGATGTTTATTACAAAAAAATACTGGTCGAACTTTAAAACATTAAAAATTTAATTTAACGTAATATACCTAAGAAAAATTAGATAAAGTAATGAAAAAAATCACATAATGAGTTCGTTAGCGGAACAAATGAAGCTAATTAAGTTAGTCAGATATTAAAACTCCTTTCTTGTAATCTCCTTTCATGACTTCTATTCATCTTCTTAATATATATTATCCTAATACATTATACATATAAACAAAACTATTCCAGACAAAAAGCCGACGAATCCTACCTCGTTGGCAAAGGCCTGCCTCCAGTTGAAGCATACCTGAGCATACCCGAAATCATCAGGGTGGCGAAAGAAAACGACGTAGATGCTGTACATCCAGGATATGGTCTACTCTCAGAGAGGTTCGTAAAATTTATATATATACAATAAAACTAATATATTTAAATGTTCCAAACGAAAATTCAGTCTCGTCTGCCCGTGATCACGGTTGCTGCAAAGTAACCGAAACGTCGGGACTATGTAGTTGTAAAATACACATACCCTAGTAATTTGAAAATATTAAATTCATCTTATATGTATCTACACTAAAACAATATCCGTATACAATTTCATTAAATAATATATTTAAAATTTACAAAATTACTTTTTTAAATTGACGACCTAAATACATACATACATACATGTTACACATGAAGTTCCAATACATAATAGATATTTCATCTAAAACTGTTAAGAGATTATCATTAAGTAATATAGACATTCATTTAAAATCACATTCATTTATTATTAATTTAACATATGAATTTAATTTAAAATCACTTTATAATACATTAGTAACTATAACTCGAATACAAACATATTTGTTTTAAATGACCTTCGTTACAGCGATTAGAGCAAGACTGTTCGATAGACAGAACTCATCTTAGTACAAGGTCGAGAAACTCAAAAATAACTAATTAGTTAAGATTTTTGACTCCATTCTATATTACGGTATTGGAATTTCAATAAATATCCTCATTTATTTAAAATGTAAATACATCATATTACGCAAGTTTTTTTTGTTTTGACACTGACATTTTTTTTTGTTTTGGTCTTGGTATTCATGGCAACAGTTTATTTTGATAAGACAATATCATATTTTTCAGTTATAATTTAGTGGTTTGACTTTATACGTATATATGAAGCACTAGTGTTGCATCCAAAATGGCAGTTACACACATTTATTTGTGACTTGAATACAGATTAGTACAAACTTCAACTGGAAGGCTATGGAATAAATTTGTTGCTATAATTAGTTTAAAAGAAATATATTACAAAAAAAAATCCATCATAATATCTAACATTTGTGTGTACACATATAAATGTCACTAAGGTTTTCCGATACTACGCGTTTTTTTTCTACGTAATCTTGAAATTTCGGTATCTTTACACCAACCATGATTATGAGCAGACGAGATTGAAATGTCTGATGAAAAAAATTAGTTTCGTTTAAAATATGTATATAATTGCCACCCTATTGTTATAAGAAAGTCAGTAAATAATAAAAAGTAGGTGTACTAAATAATATCTTTTGGGTGTGTTACCCAATTTTTATTTGTCAATGATTTGCCATTTATGTAGTTTTATTTAGAACAGAGGTTTTATTTTTATAACATAAAAAAAAATATCGCAGAAGTAATTAACTATCACAAATTCTCGTAAACATGTGTTTTACCTATATGTATGTATATCACCTAATCAAAGATGTATTAAGTCATGTGAGACGCGTCTTCTTTCAATTGTAGCCATCCGCGCACGCAGTCTATTCAGTATAGAAAAGAACTTACATTTCTCTAAAATTAAAAAAATAAGTTAAATATTTTTTTCATTGCTCCTAATTAATATTTATGTATTTTTTTATTCTTCTACAGATCAGATTTCGCGGAGGCCGTCATTAAAGCAGGGCTTCGTTTCATTGGTCCATCGCCTTTCGTTGTTCAACAGATGGGTGATAAAGTTGCCGCTAGGAAGGCAGCCATTGAAGCCAGTAAGTTTTTCATATTTTGACACTTGTCTTCTGAGATGTCATTGATAAGATTGTTCCAAATTTAAATGTTTGTTCATTCTAGATTGTACGGAATTAAATTTAACAATTATGTGATTGATAAACTGTTCCAAATTTAAATGTTTTGTTTAATTATTTTACAGAAATTTTTACCGAATTATACAGAAGTTTATGGAACAATTTCTGTTATAAATGTCTTTTATATGGTTACCTAATTTTTCTTTATATATTATTTTTATTTAAAAAGCATTCTTGTATTCCAGAGGTCCCAATCGTTCCTGGTACCGATGGTCCCATTACAACGAAGGAAGAAGCTCTCGAATTTTGCAAACAACATGGTCTCCCTGTTATATTTAAGGTAAATTTCACAAACTTTTTTTCCATAAGTAATACATATACTGCCGTTTATGGAAATATATTATAAACAAATTTACTTAAAATTAATGCGGAAAAATTGCAACGTATTTTAATGAATAAGTATTAATTATTTGTATACCTAATCTCATAATGTATAAAACTGTTTACACTTAACAAACTTTAAGTAAAGAGGTCCTTTCAACATATTGAGTGCCATACTTCACTAAAGCGAAAAGAGTAACCAATACAAATCTGTATCATTAGGATTCCTTTAAAAAAATAAAGCTCCTTACACACTAGAAAATATTAATTATACTAATAATATAATATATGTATAATGTGTATTTCTCGTCTGCAGGCAGCCTACGGTGGTGGCGGTCGTGGTATGCGAGTGGTTCGTGAGATGAGTGAAGTGGCGTCGTCTTTTGAACGTGCCTCATCTGAAGCTTTAGGCGCCTTTGGCAACGGATCTATGTTCATAGAAAGATTCATAGAAAGACCGAGACATATTGAAGTACAGCTTTTGGGTAGGCTTTAATATAACAATATATATATATTGAGTCTCTCAAACAAGTGAAACTTAGTAATATTGGAATGAAAACGGGAATATCTACCCTATATTTATTTTCAAGGAATTTTTAGTGTTTCTTGAAGACAAACTTTATTAACATTAGTTAGGGCGCCACGCATTCGGTCTGGCTCTCTATTTATTAAAGAGAGTTAAACATTTAATGCAACCTTGATGGAATCCGCTTAAGAATTTTCACAAAAATATAATACTAATACTAAGATAGAGTGACGAACTGACATTCTGCATATTAAAACTTCTAAAGGAACTTAAATGTTCTTTGATACTATTTCAAACATATTATTTATCAAGCGTAACATTAAAAGTTTATTGTAAACTCGATTTCAGGTGACAAAGCCGGTAATGTAGTGCACTTGTATGAACGAGACTGCTCAGTACAACGGCGACATCAAAAAGTTGTTGAAATAGCGCCCGCGCCCGGCTTAGATCCTGAGGTCAGTGAACTTTTTAGTGTTAAATATTCGAATAAATATTATTCATCATGATTAAAAATTTTGAGTTGATTATACAGGGTGACTGGTGAATTACTATCAATATTTAAGGAGCATACTCGGTACATGATTCTCATTCGAATTATGTAAAAAAAATAGGTACTTAATTTTTGACCAAATTTCCGTATAAATAAATAAAGTGTGTACACGTTCCAAGTGTGGACGCGCGCGGCGGCGTGCTGATACAACAACACGCCGCCGCGCGCGTATGTGTGTGTGTGTATACCTAATCTGTAGGGTGTTCATACGATGCGTAATTAATTACATAACTTTTGGTTAACTTTACTTAGAAGTTTATTAATATTTATGTTATACATATTAATTTTTATTTTATCACATATGATCGTCAAATATCACGTCCTCAAATATCGATAGTAATTCACCAGTCACCCTGTATATCAATAGAAATAAAAAAAACGTTCTTGATATATTTCAAGTTGATATTTCGGAGATTGGAGATTTTATTCCTGCTTGTGTGAATGAATTTTTCATTCTTTTTATACATTTATTTATAACAATAACCTCTATTTTACATATAAGGTCGTCGTGGCCTAGAGGTTAAAGACCCTCCTCTTTTACATGAGGGTACTTGTTCGATCTTGGCAAGTACCAATGTGATTTTCTGAGTCATATGTACTTTCTAAGAGTATTTAGACACCACTTACAGATGAAGGAAAACATCGTGAGGAAACATGGACTTGTAATTTCAAATTATAATATTGAAATCACAACCCGTCTTGAGCAACGGTGATTAATGCTCAAACCTTCTCCATGTGAGAAGAGGCAGCTCAGCAGTAGGCTCTGATAGGCTGATGATGATGATGATTTAATATATAATATGTTTGTATATAGATTCGTAACCGAATGACTGATTGTGCTGTTCATCTCGCACGTCACGTGGGCTATGAAAACGCTGGCACGGTGGAATTCCTCTTAGACGAGAAAGGAAACTTCTACTTCATAGAAGTCAACGCTAGGTAATATATACCATTAATAACGTCCAACGAAACAAGATAATAATTGTAAATACACTGTTTCATATTGGGATTACATATATCATGAATGCAAAAAATAACAAGTAATATTATTTGAAGATTTCGAGTAGTATTTCTGAATAACTTTGCTTTAAATTGTATTGTAACCTGACTAAAAACTATTATTGCAAACAACTGAAATATATATTAATTATATAATTTCCAGATTGCAAGTAGAGCACACAATAACAGAGGAAGTTACCGGGATAGATCTTGTCCAATCCCAGATTAGAGTCGCTGAAGGGATGACTCTACCGGAAATGGGATTGACGCAGGATAACATTAAGGCTCAAGGATACGCCATACAATGTAGAGTCACTACCGAGGATCCGGCTAATAACTTCCAGCCTAGTACTGGCAGGATTGAAGTGTTCAGGTAATATACAGAGGATATTAAAAGGATATATGTCTATACATCTCATTTATGGCTTGAACATATATATATTTACTAGAAGACCCGGCGAACTTCTTATCGCCCTATAATCAAGAAATATCAGTTACGTTTTTCTTTTTAATATTTTTGGAGTTCACCTATTAAAGTCATAAATCTCCGTGTTTTGAAGTGCGACAGAATGATTGACATATTAGTTAGTTGTCAAATCTAATGTCAAAAAAAAAAGTTTGTATCAACAACTACTAATAAATTAAAAATTAATTAACAAAACATTGTCCAGCGGACAAAATTGTGAATCTAAACCATTCCCAAATCCCCTTGAACACACACCAAAAATTTCATCAAATTCGGTCCAGTCGTTTAAGAGAAGTTCAGTGACATACACACTCACAGAAGAATTATATATATAAAGATATTAAATCACAGATTACTAAATATTAATATAGACTAAATAACATACATACACGACTGTCTTTGCATTTTATGCAGTAATGTAGGTATCTTTTTTATAAATAAAAGGAAAAATCTTCAAATTTATAAACAAAAAGGCATTAATTTTTTAATATTATTTTAAAAATCGTTTTTATACAATTTATCTTACTTACTGTTTAGTTAGTATTTGACTGTCAATTAAACTGTAAATAGAAATGAAGCCTTATATGGTATGGCAAAAGTTTATTCACACTTGCCATAATATATTCAAAATTTTATATGAAATAAAACATGATTAAATTAATTTTTATTTTAACCAGATCTGGTGAAGGTATGGGCATCCGTTTAGACTCCGCCTCAACTTACGCTGGCGCCATTATATCACCATACTACGACTCACTTCTTGTTAAGGTCAGTTACACACTTATTAAAATTAAAACCTAGAACACATTAACTTGCCTAGTTAAGTTTTTAAGAAATATTTTGTAAAAATTAAATTTATAAGTCTAACAAGGGCATGGACCCTAGAGTTCATGGAGAAATAAATAAATAAAAAACTTGCCTAGTTAATATTACCTTATTTTTTCACTTTAAATCATTTTAAAAATGGAATTTAAATAATATACTAGTTATATTTATAAACTTTTTAATAATTTTCAGGTTATCTCCCACGCCCAAGACTTGTCTTCATCAGCCGCTAAGATGAATCGAGCATTACGAGAGTTCCGTATTCGAGGGGTCAAGACAAACATACCTTTCCTATTGAATGTGCTTGAAAACCAAAAATTCTTGAACGGTATATACTGTTTGATACTATAATGACAACTCATCACTTCAAACTCACCATTAAATTTAAATCACATATGTAAATATTTTTATTCATACAAAATAAACAATACAAGAAATTTCAAAAAATAATGATAATCACTTAAAAATATAGTTATCAAAAACATCTTTGTAAATCTTTCAACAGGAAGTAGTCTGATGATATTCATACAAATACATATTATTATATTTTTTACAATTCAAATATGTTTATCTGTTATCTATATATGTGCTAAATTCTTTTTTAATCTGTTTAGGTAGAGTTCAGTTTTTTATGTTTATAAAAACTATAGTCAGGATTTGTATATAATTTTTAATTATTATTATAATTCACAAAATTAACATATAATAAATAATTATAATAAATTAACAAACTTCAGATACTTTCACTTCCATTCTGTGTTTAAATCGCACATAAATCTCTTGATAATAACTGCTTCGAAAGCAGCCATAGTAGGATCTTTTCAAATTTGGTTAGGTAGGGAGAGGAGCTTGGATAGTGGAGGTGAGCGTATAACGCGCATTATATAGGGATCCCTTAAGCCACAATTCACAAGTCCCAGGCACTGTTGAAGCTCCTCTCACTGCAAACCACTGAATGCCGAGAAATTTCATCTCATAAATGTACCAATCACATATATATGGTGTTACAATCGTACTAAATATTTAACCAATTGCAGGCGATCTAGACACTTACTTCATAGACGAACACCCTCGACTCTTCATGTTCAAGGCATCACAGAACAGAGCTCAGAAGATTTTAAACTACTTGGGATATGTCCTTGTTAACGGCCCGGCTACTCCACTCGCTACTAAAATACCACCGTCTGATGTCAAGCCATATATACCACCGGTACCATTAGGTAAGTTTTTTGGGGGTAACTTAAAAATACCCTAGGGTAAAGGGTAAAAGACTCATGGTTGGTAATTCCCATTAGTAACATTGAACATAAAACTTCTCATTATATCCTTTGAAACAAGTGATGATGAGTTATATGTGTGTAAAACACACTAATACTTATAAAATAACTTTGAGATTTATACTCCATCAATTTTAATTCGATATCATTAGGTTTTCCTGTAATTGTAATAGAATCAAAAGATTTTGTACATAAATTGGAATTTTTTATTGAACGAAAAATTGGGACTCCACAAATATTTAAATTGTATGAAATTTTTTTTTCAGACGGCTCAGGGCGTGGTAGGTCAAAATTTTGTAAAACATATCGCGTACCTTCTATATTAATTTCTTCTTATTTCTTAGCTTCTTATGTCGTTAGGGCTCGTCATGGGCTGGTTTTCATTTAAATGGATGTGGCCGGTTTCATGATAATTCCATTTAAATATTTAACATAATATTATTTATTGTTAATAATATCGGAATCCGCCATAAATCCAACAAACATATGTGGAATATTTACCATTTGTGTTGTCTTTGTGTTCACTAACAGACATCGCCATATTTTATTTCTTTCCGCCATGTTTTTTTTTTGCACATCTAACTTTTGCACACATTTTTTTTTACTAATAATATTTTTCAGACCTTTCCCCCGAGGCTATTAAAAAACAAGAATTGACCGGCGAGAACGTAGGTAAGACGAGAAATCACTGTTTTAGTTATTTTCATTGGCTGCATGATTTTAATTATATTTTTTTTGCATTCTCCTAAATCATTAATGTTGTGACTTGAAAAGAAAATTAATTTTATCTTACTTTACATATAGGTTTAAAACATCTAGCTATTTAGGTACAGCAATGAATATGGAATATATTTTATCTTAAATATAAAAAAAAATATGAGCATTAACTAAATATATTTATATTGACATATTAGTTAATTGACAAATTATCAACAACTAATAAATAAAAAAATAATAAGAAAAAATTGTCCAGCGGACAAAATTGTGAATCTAAACCATTCCCAGATCACCTTTAACACACACAAAAAAATTAATCAAAATTGGCCCAGTCCTTTGAGAGAAGTTCAGTGACATACACACTAATAGAAGAATTATATATATAAAGATATATATACTATTACAGCGGTTCAACCCCCAAAAGGCTTTAAGGCGATTCTGAACGAAGGTGGTCCAGAAGCCTTCGCGAAAGCAGTAAGAGAACACAAGGGTCTACTATTAATGGACACCACATACAGAGACGCTCACCAATCACTATTAGCCACAAGAGTTAGATCCCACGATTTACTCACAGTTTCACCATATGTGGCCCATAACTTTAGCAATTTATACTCCCTTGAGAACTGGGGCGGCGCTACGTTTGATGTGGCTTTGCGGTTAGTATTACATTGTAATAATAAGGGTTTTATGTACAAAAAGACCTTGTGCTATTGTGAATTATTATTTACAAGTGATAATTTCATTCCATGCCTACGAATTATTCACAAGTTATAGAATAAAAAAGACCAATTGATTCAATGGTATGTTATAAGAATTAATTGTTGTAATATTCCAAGATCCAGAACTAGGTTTTGCAACCAACTGAAAAAAAATCCAATTTTTAAACATGCAAAATATTTATTTCGATTAACAAATCCAATATTAAGGTGTAAATTATGAATTCTGTCATATATTTATGTCATAATGGAACAGAAAACTTCAAAATCATTCAGAATCTTTTAGCCAACCTTATTATAGGAGTATATGGAGCCTAAATATAGATCGTATAATCTTTTTAATTCAGATTCCTTCACGAATGTCCTTGGGAACGTCTTGAAGACATGCGTAAGCTGATACCAAACATTCCCTTCCAAATGTTACTCCGCGGAGCCAACGCGGTCGGCTACACAAACTACCCTGATAATGTAGTCTTCAAGTTTTGTGAAATGGCTGTAAGTATGAAAGATTTTAAATAGGAGTATTTGGAATTTAATATGAAAACATCAAAATTTTAAAATCTAGTATTGAATTCATTTTCATACAAGACATTGACGACGAATTTCTTAAAGAGTTCTTATTTTCTTGGTAGCAACGAGTATACAGAACAAAATAATTAAAATTTCTCACCTATCGTAGTTGAGATGGTCCACATTTTAAAAAATAAGCATAAAATTCGTCCTAATACGAGACAATCCAACTACTACATTTCCAGATGTTAATTTCATAAAAAACAATCAATAACCTCACTAATTCCATTATAATCATCACCAAAACCTTTATTGCTCAGATTCCAACCAATCAAAAACCCTAAAAAACCATCCAAACCACAAAAAACTTTCAGGTGAAATCCGGTATGGACATATTCCGTGTTTTCGACTCGTTGAACTATCTGCCGAATCTTATCCTTGGTATGGACGCAGCGGGTAAGGCCGGCGGTGTGGTCGAAGCGGCCATTTCATACACCGGAGATGTATCTGATCCGAATAAAACTAAATATAACCTGAAGTACTACTGCGATCTTGCTGATGAACTTGTTAAAGCTGGGACACATGTACTTGGCATTAAAGATATGGCTGGACTTTTAAAACCACAGGCTGCTAAGTGAGTTATATGTATATATGGTACTAGCTTTCCGCGGCAAGCTTCGCCCGCGTGGAGTTCGATTATATCGCGTTTCCAAGACAACCTTTCAAAAGTCTGGGATAAAAACTATCCTATGTTCTTTTTCAAGGTCAACTCAATGTCTGTACCAAATTTCATTAAAATCAGTTCAGTGGTTTAGGCGTGAAAGCATAACAGACAGACGGACAGACAGAGTTACTTCCGCATTTAAAATATTAGTAGGGATGGGACTACATACTATTTTACTTGTCTATGTTTTCTTGGTTCAATCCCAGTTGATATTATCTGTGATCGCTTAGACGATTTCGATATGAAATTATCTTGATAGAAATTATTAATCATTTATCAAGCTTGACAATAAAGCAAAAGCGGTCCAACGCTTTTTTATATCGTAGAAAAAACTTTACACTTATCAGAATATCACTTTAATTCAGTGGAATAAAAGTGATATAATTTACTTTACTTATATCACTTTAATTCCACTTTATAATCATAATTTAGGAATTACCTTTCACATTTGAATCATAACACATAATTCAACTAAGTTTTCTTCACTACATATATCTGATCTTGTCTCAATTGATTCCTATTTAAAATGATTGATGATTCCATGATTAATGATATCTATGATGATTCCAGGCTTCTAATAACCGCTATCCGTGACAAGCACCCATCAATACCAATCCACGTCCACACTCACGACACTTCCGGTGCGGGCGTCGCCGCCATGTTGGCTTGCGCAGAGGCCGGGGCGGATGTGGTTGACTGCGCTGTTGACTCAATGTCCGGTCTTACCAGCCAACCCAGTATGGGCGCGTTAGTTGCGTCGCTACAAGGAACCAAACTGGATACAGGTGATAATATGATTTGTGGCAGTTTAATCGTGACGTCAGAGTTGATGACGTCACACGAAATCGGTGACAGTTGATCTGCGACGTCATACGTTCCAACTATATGATTTAACACAGATACATTGTTTAAAAAGGCATAGGATTTTGGGTATTCTACTTTGACAATAAACAATTTTTTGTACAATTACCTAATTATAAATTTTACATGCCACATATCCTTTGAAAGAGTACTAGTTAGAGATATTTTTAAATGCCATACATTGTAATTTTTTTACCATGTAAAACTAACAAAAGGACTTTTTTTTTAAAAACATATTTTTTTGAAAAACAGTGAAATAATTATAACTCATTAAACTTAAGGGAAGATGTTATTTAATTAGCACGTAGAGAACAAATTCGGCCCATTTTCCTCACAACGCCCTCTATATATTATGAGCATTTCATAAATTGATTTCATATTAAGATAGACAATCCCAACAGGATAGCTCTAAGATATAACCAAAAGCTAGCGAATATTTAACCCTATTCATAATGATGGCTATATTTTCAGGTATACCTCTGCAGACTGTATCTGAATATTCAGCTTATTGGGAACAGGCTCGTACTTTATATGGGCCGTTCGAGTGTACCGCTACTATGAAGTCAGGAAACGCTGATGTTTACATCAACGAGATACCCGGCGGTCAATACACGAACCTGCAGTTCCAAGCCTTCTCATTAGGTCTGGGAAGTCAGTTCGAGGAAGTAAAGAAGGCCTATAGGTAGAATTATTAATTATGTATTATAATGCTTAAGTAAAAGAAATTATAATATTTTTATATGTTGGTTAAAAAAAATTGCTGAAATTAAGACATTTTTCGCAAACTTAGTATACCAATTCATTTATTTATTTCATTTCGTATGTGATGAGTCAAATTTATTAAATGACAACTTCTTATTGATTTATCATTTGATTGACAAATTAGATTCAAATGCTTAGGTCGAAAAAAACTATAGTATTTATTATAGGTTTCGCAAATAAAATTGCTCGAAGTTATACATTTTTGGGAGACTTAGTATATCAATCTACTTACTTTCAAATGTCATGAGTGAAAAGAAACACAAGTCCAATTCACTTTAAGCTAAAGCTCCTATTTTATTAATATATCAGACCAATAATAATATATTTTTTTTTTCAGGGAAGCGAATCTTCTCCTAGGAGATATTATCAAAGTAACTCCATCATCGAAGGTAGTGGGAGACCTGGCTCAGTTCATGGTTCAGAACAAACTGACGGCTGACGATATCAGGGCGAAGGCTGAAGAATTATCCTTCCCTAAATCAGTCGTTGAATTCTTCCAAGGAGCTATTGGTATTCCTTATGGAGGTTTCCCAGAACCCTTAAGGTACATATTATTATATAAATAATATGTATATAAATAATTATTTAAATACTTGTAAGATTTCATATGAAGTGTACAGAATACTGCATCTCAATCTATTTTTGATAACTAAAAAATTATGATTTATAAATATAGTTAAAAATATATATTTTTTATTCAAGATAATCTTTAAATCAATACTACATTATACTCTTAAATTAATTATCTCTACAACAATATAACATAAAAAGCATATGTTCATTATGACTTTATAATTGATAATATATTTCAGATCCAAAATTCTCAAGGATATGCCGAGAATTGAAGGTCGGCCGGGTCAGGAATTACCGCCGCTAGACTTTGACAAACTTAAAGAAGAATTGAAGGAGACTTACCCTGATGTAATGAAAATAATCACTTTATTACTTGATTTTTATGAAAATGTTGAATTTAATGGCGTAAACTTAACTGTGCCAAAAAAATATTTTAAACTTTAAAAATCTTAAATACCATTATATTGCAGATTTAAATTTATTAATAGAGGTCTATACAAATGACTCATATAATACTTCTTGAGAAAGGTTTATATAATTTGCAAACTTTTATTATATGAGTTCACTATTAAATTTGTTAAAGAAACATTGTACCTTAAAATCTATATAATATATACAGAAAGTTTTTCAATAGTTTCTATCACACGGTAAATTCATTTATACAAAACAATTTTATAATCTCATGACATGATAATTAATATACAAACATGAATATATATGAATATGTACTATAATCTATATTGTATTAGCTTTCCGCCTGCAGCTTCGCCTCCGTGGAGTTCGGCTATATCGCGTTTCCAAGAGAACCTTTCAAAAGTCTGGGATAAAAACTATCCTATGTTCTTTCTCAAGCTCAAGTCTGTGTACCAAATTTCATTAAAATCAGTTCAGTGGTTTAGGCGTGAAAGCGTAACAGATAGACAGACAGAGTTACTTTCGCATTTATAATATTAGTAGGGACTGTACTATACAAACTGTACCAGATTACTAACTGTATATAATATTCCCAGATCACAGATCAAGATGTGATGTCATCAGCTATGTATCCTCAAGTGGCGTCAGACTTCTTCCGTATCCGGGATAAGTATGGACCAGTTAAACATCTTGACACAAAGACCTTCCTCGTTGGTCCAGCGGTCAGTATGAAATACAATATACATACACTAAGTAACAATATAATATTAGTAATAATTTATTCAAATTGCCATTGAATCACATTTTAAGATCAAATATGGAATTATTTTTTAGGTAATCTATCTAAATGCTCTAAATCAAATATCCACACAATTGTTTTGCTAAATAGTACTAGATAAATATATATCGAAAAATATCTTTGATAATTTTACTCCAAAATCAATTGTTCAAAGTGTAGACTGTAATTGCTAGTCAAGACTTAAGTATAACTAGATATCGCAGTACTATATACAGTTTTTTTGACTCATTATACATAATCTATCTCTATATAGTTGATTATGTATAGATATTTAATAATCTTATTTTCTCTACAGATTTTTTATCCAAAATAATTTTTCAATCAGTCCAATTTTCTTCATAAGAAATGCAAAGGTTTTAAACAATGTAAAAGTCTGAATATATTGAAAAAAAAAATACCCAATTTTACTATATACTTGGCTAGTATCTTTATACATCCATACAAAACACATGTACACATTGTTTTATTACAACTACTTAATCACCAAAACATATACTAATGTTATATTCTCTTAATTATCATCAATAGGTCGGCGAAACCATTGAAGTTAAAATCGAGAGAGGCAAAACACTTGATATTAAAACTCTAGCTGTATCTGAAGAAATGACAGCGGCCGGTGAGAGGGAAGTGTTCTTTGAACTCAACGGACAACTGAGATCTGTGTTTATAAGAGATGACAACGCTAGCAAGGTATCATTGTATTTATTAATAATTACAAGTAAATAGTTATTTAATATACATACCAGTAAATAGTTATTTATATGAAAAACAAATATATATATGAAAACAAAGGGCACGGGTTCGATCCTGGCCCGGGCAAGTACCAATGTGATTTTTCCGAGTCATATGCACTTTCTAAGAGTATTTAGACATCACTGATTAATGCTAATTCCCAAAGAGGGTTGATATCAGGCAGTCGGCCAATCGTAAAAACAAATAGCCAAGAAACTATTCACAACATGTAAGGCAGACCCTGGCTATAGCTGGGAAATTGCCAGGTATAAGAAGAAGAAGAAATAAATATACAGGGTGACTGGTGAATTACTATCAATATTTAAGGAGCATACTCGGTACATGATTCTCATTCGAATTATGTAAAAAAAATAGGTACTTAATTTTTGACCAAATTTCCGTATAAATAAATAAAGTGTTGACACGTTCCAAGTGTTCCAAGTGTGGACGCGTGCGGCGGCGTGCTGATACAACAACACGTCGCCGCGCGCGAGTGTGTGTGTGTGTGTGTATACCTAATCTGTAGGGTGTTCATACGATGCGTAATTAATTACATAACTTTTGGTTAAGTTTACTTAGAAGTTTATTAATATTTATGTTATATTAATTTTTATTTTGTCATATATGATCGTCAAATATCACGTCCTCAAATATCGATAGTAATTCACCAGTCACCCTGTATAATACCAGCATAGTTTAAAAATATATTTTAAAATTCAATAGTTTAATCATCTTAGTATAATTTAAAACTCTATTGTAATAAATATTACATATGAAGCTTTTATTCAGAATTACCTATAATGGCTTACAAATTCTAAAAAATATACAAATTTATATGTAAAAATTTGAATATACAAAGTTTTACAATATAAATCTATTTATTTACAGGAAATGAAAATACATCCGAAGGCTGTGAAAGGAGATAAGAATCAAGTCGGCGCACCAATGCCTGGGACAGTGCTAAGTAAATAATAAATTGATGTATAAATACATAATGAATAATAATACATATAAAATATAGTATAGAGACCAATATAAGACAATTATCAAGGAATTATACTTAGAAATTCATTAATATATATATTATATTATATATTATTTTAATTGTTTCCAGCTCTTAAAGTTAAAGAAGGAGACCACGTTGAGAAAGGCCAACCAATAGCTGTTCTGTCGGCCATGAAAATGGAGATGATAGTACAAGCGCCACGCGCTGGCACTGTGGCCAATGTGGCCATCACTAATGGACAGAAACTGGAGGGCGATGACCTCATCTGCACCCTAGAATAATGCCTGAATATAAAACCATAAAAAATGCCTTAATATTACATCATTGTTTCTCATGCCTAAAATGTGTTAAATTATATATAAAATTAGGTTCTATAAAAATATTAAATCATACATAATACTCTAAAACATAAATAGCGTCCAAAAAATCACTATTTTATTATTTTTGTTAATTTTTCAATAATTCTTGTTGGAATGATGAGGGTAAATGTGCAATTGAAATGTAGACTGTGATAAAAAATGTTGCAGTGAAACTTATAATGATTGAATATAGTAGGGTATGTTATTAAATGCACAAAATTTATTTCTTAAACTTTACAACGTTTTGTTCCTATTCAATGAAATGTTTGTGAAATAGTCTTATATATAATGTTTTAAACATTCTAAAATGATATTATAAATTATATAATTCTGTTATCACAAAAGACATGTTTTTATATTAATGACTGTCCAATATTATTATTAGAAAAGACATTTTTATACTCTTATAGAAGTAAGGATACAATATTCTCAAAAACGTCTTTTTTAATTTTTCATTTTGTTATCTTTGTGTAATATTAGAGTGCTTCCGTTGTTTTAATTTGTTATTTTTGCTAATTTTATAAAATTACTATTTAATAAAATTTATGAAGTTGGTGTTGTAATTTTGATTTTTTACATTAATTCATTAATATATTCCTTGAAATCATTGTAGTACAAGAGGCCTTTTGAAACTTCTTATGCGACTTTCAACAAGGTTGCGTTAAACGTTTTACGCTGAGGGAGAGAGAAAGAAAAATACATGAATCGGTAGATTCTGAACACATGCCCACCATGGGCATTCTTGCTAGCCAACGAAGTAAACATTGTGAGCGTCGCGAAATTACCTATAATACGTACTTGTTAATCAATATTAATTTATCAATAATAAACTTTTTTTTTCTTAGTTTATGTAATTATATAGGGCAGAATAACATTTTCTAATTTAGTGGATACCTAAGGATTGATTACAAATATCAAGTTTCAGCCCTTTCGGACGGAGGGACTACACGCACTTTTTTTGATTGATTGATTAAACCTTTGTAAACCAAGAATTTTCTGTCAACTCTATAAGTGTCGCAGCTGCCATGTTTTGTCCTTATTTTTTATTAATACTATATCTAAAGCGTGAAAAGACTTATTTAGTTCATAATTAAATAAAAATGCTGAAATGCAGAAGTTTAAAACGTTTTAATCAGATTATATACAATTTTGCATATCATGTTTTAACATTTCGTTACATAGAGGAGATCAATTGAAGAAACTTAGGTACTTTTATCAATAAGCTTAAAAATTGTTACAAAATCTCCGTCACATCTGAAAAATTGGCAAAAAACTCATGATTTTCCAAGCAAGTTCAAAACTTACGATAACAATTAACTTTTATACTATACGATATTATAAATTTCAGAAAGAACTGTTCCAAATATATAAATTCTACTGGAATAATTCACATATATGCTATACCTACTCGGTATATGAATTATTAAGTACTAAATCAATCTAATTCTCCTGGATGCAGTAAGGATTTATCAACTTGAGCGTAATTGAATTGTTCCTCTAAATCCTGTGTGATATCACAAAACTTGACCTCTGGTGTAATATCATCTAATTCATTGACAGAGTTCACAGAATTCTGGTCGCTCAAACTCGAGTCCACTTCTTCGCCATAACAACGTCTTTTGTGGTCTGATGGAAATATATGGTGGGAATGGTGTTCCACTCTGATCGCTTGCATTGTATTACTGAAAGAATACAAACAAAACATTATTTTCCATTCATATGTTTAGTTTAGCTACAAAAAGTCTCCAAAAAGTTACATATACATTCTGTACATATTGTATAAGAAAAATAATCAAAAGACCAAAAAGAATAATTATCCTGTATAATATATATTTATCGTTGAAAAACAATCTAATATCAGTTATAAACGAATAAGAAATTTTAAATGTATTATTAATTTTACCTAGTCTTCCTCAAGATTGGTTTTCCCATATCGACTTGTAGTTCCAGTGAGTATAATTTAGCCAGTGATTCCAATTTCCCTTTCTCCAAGGGGTCATTTAGACTGGCCAGCTTTAATTCTGTTTGGCATGAATCCTGTAAGAACCTGGATAATTGTTCGTTTGCAGCACTTAGTATGAGGAAACCAGGTCTTTCTTCACGTATTCGTCTGCAGCCAGCCCTTATTTCTCTCACTTCAGCAACATTACCCATAGACTGCTCACTGTAGTAGTAATCACTTTGTGGAGACTTCTCACTCAAATTCAAATCGCTTGACGAAGTCTTCTGTAGAGTGAAATTCGTGAGTGAGTGATTGATGTCTTCCTTGCCAGTTTTCTCCTGAAACGCCTGAAAGGACTGAAGAAATTTCCCATCGGCGTTCTTCCCTGAAGCACCGGCGTTTATAATATCGCTGAAGGTAGAAAACGATGCGTGCGGAAGTATTTCTTTGATTTCAACTTCATCTTCCAAATCGATGACTGTTTTGGAATCAGACATCATAGTATCATCGTCGTTACCAGAATCCACTTTCGCCCTTTTCTTTTTGAACCTATTCTTTGAATTGGCCCATCCTATACCTTCTTTTTTCAGTCGTTTGGGCGGTGGCATAGTACTTATGGATTTGGTGCAGTTATTGTTCACAGATTTTGATGACTTGAAGGTGAGGCTCTTGTTGAATACCTTCAGTTCTTCTATTCCAGGCCAGTCCGTTAGTTCATCGTCTCCTTCCCTATCGCTATCGTTTGTCACAACACCATCAGAATCGCTACTGCTCAACGAACTGCTCTCATTACCGATATCCATTACAGCGGAGTCATCGAAATTCAATGGATTCCGTAGTGTATTCGGTGGATGAGACTTATTAAGTATTTTAATCTTCCTGTAATATTTGCTATCAAAGCTATTCTTTCCTGTACTTGTAGATGGACTGAAAAATGGCGGTAAGTCTGTGATTATTCTATAACCAGAATGTTTTGATAGCGTGGGTGTGCCATTCTTTGATAGATTCTTGTATACAAAGTTGAAACTTGAACTGCCGGGTAATGAATGCGTACTGGAAAACGATGGTTTAACTTCTTCGCTGTTTTGTGACTTGAGTATGATTTTCCCCGGTTGTAGGACCGATTCCTTTCTTTTTTTCTCTGTATCATGTTTTTTTGATTTGATGTCGCTCTTGAAGAACGCCGATTTAGACGAACATCCTCCACTAAATGATCTCTCTCTCATCTCACAGCCGTCGCTTTTATCTCTGTGAGACCACTTTCGTTTACCACAAAAAGCGTTCCTGAAAAATTTGTATATATAATGAGGGAATATTTAAATATGTACATCTTTTTTTTCTTATTGAAAAAAGTTTTGTTCACAAACCTCTCCTGTTTCTTACAGTGGCCAAGAGACGCTCCTTGTGACTGCAAAGTAATTGTCACTGGCAAGGCATTCGGCTGAAAATGTTTAAAAACATATTAAGCAATATTTTCGATTGTAACTCTAAAAATAAATTAGCAATAAAAAAATACTAAAAAAATCAAGAAAAATTAATATATAAAATAAACAAATTTTTCATACAATATAAACATATTGAAAAAATACAAAAAAAAAGTACAAAAAGATTTTGTCAGAAGTGGGATTCGAACCCACGCCCTCAGAGAGGACCAGAACAACTCAACCTGTATTGTACGGGTAAGGGAACCTTGAGTCTGGCGCCTTAGACCGCTCGGCCATCCTGACACATGAGCAACACATCGAAATAACAGTACCAATACTGTCACATTATAAATTATTCTTATTACTCTATAATTTGACTTACTAAATCAAATTTATTTTTTATTTCAATACAAAATACGTAATTTTTGATAAATATTTATGATAAAAATGTCTTTATAAAAACTTATTTTTATATATTTGCTTGTTTCGTCTTACAATTTCAATATGTATTAAAAAAAATTGTACAAATATGAAAGTTTGGATTTTATTCTTAGCTGGTACTTAGTTTTTTCTCCTTGAATATGTTCAAAAAACTTTAATAGTATTTGTCAATAAAAATGCTGGTGACATGAATACTGTAAATACAATTTGAACTTTGATCCATAATAATCAGATTGAATTACACATTTTAAATTTAAATTGCTGTAATTTGATACTCTCATTTATAATTTTAATTTGTGTCATACTTTGAACCAAATTATGTCTTCTTCAATTTAAATATGTATGTACTGGTGAATAAACCTATTTGCAATAAATCTTTTAGTCTATAGCTAAAATTAAATTTACAGATAATAATCTACTAAATGTATTAGAATTATATATAAATAAAAGTTATTTAATGGCACATCTGAGTAAAAACAGATTTTCCAAAAAATGTTTTTTTGGTTTAGTCCTATTTTAATAATAGAAAAACCAATGTGAAAGCATTAACTAATCTGATACTTATTGATACTGTAAGCTCACCTCGGTAGCAATGCTTAATATTTCAATTGGTGGCGAGCATTTTCCATCGCTATATTCCACTGGCATTTTCTTATACTTCCGTTTCCTTCTTGCATTTGCTGGACGTGTCGGTGAGAAGTTTTCATTGAATGAATCAGATTCAATGTTGCCGATCTGACAATAGTGTCGGCTCTTTAGGTTGGTAGACTTATGTATGCTGAGATGTGGATCATCGGAATCGGAGAGAGGTTGAGTGATGAGAGGAGCTTGTGGTGGGCTGCTTGAACTGCCATCTTCAACCAGGCTTACTGTTACAGCGGCTGCTGTGTAAAACAAAGTTTTTGAATGGTTCTCTAAACACAATACAGATTTTTAATAAAGAAATGTTCTATTTGGTGCCAGTGCATGTTGGTTGACTTACGAATTCATGACAAAAATATTAAGTTACCGTAACTTATAAATACTGACGTTCAATTATGGGAGCACTATAAAAAGAAGCGTAACTAATTTTATGTGATAATTATTATTTCACGTGTATTTTTTTTTTGGAAATACGGTCATTTTATTAAGAAAACTAACGCAAGTTCCCAGCGGACCTCGTACGTCTTCGCAGTCCGAGTTTCCGTCTCTCCTGCCTGCCACAGTTACTCTCTTCCAGCGCCAGGTTTAAGTCATGAGACAATCTTTCCATGATCTCAAACACTAACACCCATTATCGCTATGAGAAATACGCACGGGCATCTAGAACTTACTATATGACCGGCACTTTGTTTACACTTTTATTTGCCCTACTTCCTAGCGTCCTTTCACAAACTTTATAGAAAATTTTCTAGTGAATTATACTCACTAGTTATTCTAAAGACTATATTTTTAAGATATTTTATAATCATGGAACACTGTTCTTTATTATACGACTCGTATTGTCCAAGATGAAAAACATTAAAGCAAGTACATACGATTAATAAACAAATAAACTTCTTATTTCTAAAATTTCAATACAATTTTAAATCTATGATGGTGAATGTGAATATATTATTTGTAAACTCGTTGCTTAGTTCTCAACACACACATACAAATTCCAAATAACAAGTTATGCTTATGTTTGCTACATATAGTATTTGATCACACAAAATATTGCCCTTAAATAAGGCTAGCGCACACGATTGTCAAATGCACCTGTCACTTGTCACTTGAAATAAAGAAAGTAAGATATATAAATATATATTTTATTATTAGGAAGAGAAATCTCTATCCAGTTACTATAATTATGACAATCTACAGTTTAAGAAAAAAAAATTCTTAAACTTTTTCGTTTCCTGAGCCTCATATCTAAAATAAACAAAATTAATACATTTTTTCTACAGCACAGGTAATATACTTTGTAAAATACATATTCTTTGGTATGACAACATTTCTATAAATATTATTTATAAACTATATTTGTATATAAAATCCCAAAAATAATTGTAACATTAACAAAAACAAAAAAAGGATATTATAAAGATAAGTTTCATTGAAAATTTTTGTATAATAAATACAAAAAGATTTTGTCAGAAGTGGGATTCGAACCCACGCCCTCAGAGAGGACCAGAACAACTCAACCCGTATTATACGGGTAAGGGAACCTTGAGTCTGGCGCCTTAGACCGCTCGGCCATCCTGACAACTGAACAACATGGCGAATTACTGGATAAGAAGACTAGTTTAAAAAATATGTATTTATAAATTAATGTTGAAGTACATATTAGTCTGTACTCCTATAAGAAAAATGAAAACTATGATGACATAAATTACGTATGATATAAATTAAGTCACTTAATAATTTTAATACGCCACTGTTAACTTAAATAAGTATTGTTAACTGAAATAAGTACTTTAATAATTATTAGCATTGTATTAAAAAACGCAGTTCTGTTCAAAGTAAAGCTTTATTTATTTATACAAAATGTGTTATCATTATATTTGTTCAACTTCTGATTTCTTATATAATAATAAAAAAGAATGTAGACTAGCACAAATATTAAAAACTAAAATTGTAAAAAAAGTATGTCGTTTAAACAATATCAATTTATTGAAAAAAATTCATGACTAAAAGTACATAATAATTGAAAAGATATTAAAAGTCGCTATAATACTTTTCATAAACTATTATAACGACTCTTAGTATCTAAAAATTTTATATCATTAATGCTTACTATCATCATATCACTACCTCGTTTCATTAAATATAAATTATAGGTAATATAAAACTGTTAATGGAATATGTACTATATACAGTTTATACATTGTCTAATATATTTCGGTTATATAATTTATACTAAATAAAAAAAAATGAAAATATATTAATTCAGATTACTGTATCAAAAATACTATTATGGATAACAAGTGAATTATTTTTAACTACAATATTTTATGATTTAAATGAAACTAATATTTTTTGGATACGAGATGTCTACCTGTCATCTAAGTTGTTGAAAAGTGGTCGAAAGTTCGGGAGTATGTAGTTTTTATCAAAAATAAAGTCGAGTAGTATGTCCGAAAAATAGTACATAGTTTCATTTAAGTCAATTTAATTTTAGATCTAATTTTGATTCATCAGTTTTAAATTTTTTAAATCTTTAGAAAAATACTTATAAAATAAATGTTACACATTCGCAACATACTTTTGTTTATCATTTACATAACTTATTTCTTAAACAAATAAATAAATAGTAAAATTGAAGTTAAAACATAATATCCGAGGTCAGAATCTTCTTTTTGTAGTAGGTCTGTATTTGTGGTGACCGTTGTTACAAATCTGTCAACTGTCAATTTGTGCGCCAATTTTCGTTAAAGTTAGAAGTTTTAAGTTTACAAATTATTCAGTGCCCTCGATTCTTTATTGATATTTATATCAGGTACGTATTATAATTAATATTTATATTCTCAAAATATTTAGAAATAAGAATTATAAGATGCAATCATCTAGTAATCGACAATATATTAACGGAATTTTATTTTGCTTGTTTGTGTGACCAAACAAAATACTTTTTAAACATTGGCCTATATTTTTAATTGATTTCAGTTTGTTATAAAGATGAATTTTAATACAGTTAACTAATTATTCATCGTATTTTTTCTCTTTGATCTTCTTAACTTATGTGGTCGTGTTGTAAGTCTGCCTCCAAACATCGTGTGCATCTTAAGTTATAAACACAATTCAGGTCAGTTTTAAGTACACTACAATCGCTGATGGAACAAATCATTAATTAACATCCGTTTCACTTCCGCTTCTTATCACTTAATATTTTCATCATTAGTATTGTAGCAATCAAATATTTTTACAACAAATCTTTTGTAATCGATTTTTAATAGTTCCCAGTAGGTGTTTTATATAAATTGATTCACTTTTAACAAAATATTAAGTTTATCTAAATTTTAACAAATATTTGAATGTATAAAAAAATACATATTAATTGATTTAAATATTTTTTTATTTAAAGCCATTTAAATTGAATTGAGGAATGTTTTGCAATCAATTATGTATAATTATCATTATGGCAATATAACTACATTTTGCAATGTAAGATTATATTAATTTGGAATTTTTGGCAATTTAATAATAGGAACTTTCCTTAGGGCCATCTTACAAGTTTAAAAGTCTATTAGAAATTTACTTTCTATGTGCTTTTATTACTAATAGCACTATACTTTCATTTATTCTACTAACATTTATATCTAGTTACATCTACCATAACTTTAAATTTAAGTTATTCAGCCTAAACAATAAATAAATATAGCTAAATCTTAAAATCATGTTATATCATAAATTTAATTTATAAGTATATCCCATATAAATACATAATCATTTAAGCTTATTCATATATACCTCATAATTTTATGCTTATATTAACAAATTTGGCTATCATTCTTTAAATATCAAACCTAACAAATCTTCAAAGCATTCTAGATGGAAGCCTCACCAGAAGTGCCGCGTCGTACGCGCGCTGCTTTAGCCGAGATACCAGCGAGGCTCGATCGGTTAAGAGTAACACCTCTCCGACCTGTCACCAACACGAGAGAGGCTTCGCCCTTGTTGCCTCCGGGTTACTTGAGCCCTGCACCATCGCCTGACGAGTTCCTCATTCAGCAGAGAGGTTAAATATCACATAATTTAAATTACAACAAAATTTTATTTATATTTGGTACATCATTTTGTGTATACAGACTATTTTATTGAATGTTTTCAATAGTTTTAAAGTATTTAAGCTTATTTTAGCTAATAATACGTCTTAATTACATGTGTTCGTCTTTTTACCAGGTCGTAAACGTCTCCCAGCTACATGGTCTCCAGATATCGATCTGAAGCGTAATTCAACTTTCCACTCAGTAATACGCACTCCTCCCAAGAATACCGGTAGGAACACTCCTCCAAAACTTGGAGTAACATTGCGTTCTACACCAAGGAAACGTCTTTTACTGGGTGATAACGAACGAGTACCTCTAACTCCTGAGAAAATTGACTTCAGCGACATCAGTACACCACAGAAATTCAAAATTACGAGCCCTTTCAAAGATTCACCTCCCATTAAAAGATCCCGTCTTGAAAGAACTTTTGATGGAGAGTTCAAAGGACCATTGGACTCCGCATTGAAAGGCCTCAGTCCCACTCAACTGATACACATGATCAAAAGAATTACACACAAACACCCTGAAGTAGAGAAGGAGATTCGTTCAGATATGCCAGTTCCAGATCTCACGCCATTGGAGGAGAAATTGAGTTATCTGAAATCAAATATCTTTAAAAGTCTGCCAACATCTCGTTTGACATCCAAAACCGATTCACCGGCCTACTCAAGAGTTGCGACCCATTTGACAGCATTCAAGAAATGCCTCGTTGATCAAGGCAAGGTTCTCGTTGAATCCCAACATTGGGAATCCGTCATTAAATATGTTTTCCTTGCCTGGAACTATGTACGAGCCACACCTCTATGGGATAATCAGCCCCACAATGCACAACGGAAACAGTGCTTTAAAACTCTTATCAATTTTTGTATGACTGCACTGAAGAAAGGTAGTTTTGATAAGGATTATATGATTGACATTCACGATAAGCTTCAAGGGATAGAATCTGACAGCGAAGATGTCCAGTCATGCCTTAAATATATCAACGGACAATTACAGGGTGTTCTGTAAACTAGCAAATAATTGTTTTTTTAGTTCTTTAGCCATAATTAATGCATTTCATGTCTATATAATTATAATTATATGCTGTGTTAAGTAAATTAATTTTTAAATCAATGTTGTATTTTGAGCACCCTGTACAATTTCTGTACAAAGTCGTCTAATCGAACTTGAGTTTCTTTTTTTAATAAATAAAAATGTATTGAGCTGTGAGTAACGCCAAATGTTAATGCTTTTTATTTATTGCTTTTTCTCAATTCTTCATGATTTAAATGAAAGTAGCTAATATTTCTATGGTTATGAAATAGTTTTTTTTAAGTGATTTATATTTTTCTTTTATATGATTAATGTATTGAAATTTGTAGCAAATTTTTGTATGGCTTAAATTCAAATTTTGTATGTAGATTTAAAGGAAATTAATTCATGTTAAAAGACTAGTTAGTTTGGTATAAGCTTTGAGTGTACGATTATTATCACTTAGTACCTATGAAATTGTCAATTCATTGATGTAAAATCTTACTTCTACATGTGCCTTTTAGTGATAAGTTTAGATAATTTTTGACAAATATCCTTCGATATTATTGTACCCAGTTTTAAAGATAAGTAATAATTATTTTGAAATAAATTGTGTTCCCAATACATTTTTTTATTGCCCCTTTGAAACATGAAATATAGTTAAGTTATTGAGATGATTTCAAGCATGAACAATTTAAAGATGAGATACATATTTCTTTTGACTTAAATTTGGATGTGAATAACGAAAGTTTTTCTATTAACACTATTACACAAAGACTGAAATTGAAAGACATCTCATGCATTAAAGTATATAGGTACTCTGTTGTCAATTTATTTATGATTTAAAACTTAAAGTTTTTTCCATATATTTTAATTACTCTGAATAGGTTTTAAAATACAATTCAATTTAGGAACCAATGAAGACAGTTTTAGAAGTTTTATGAACGGGAATATTATGTTCTTTATACTTAAAAAACCTATATTTTTCTTTCAAACTTTTTACGTCAAATTCATTAGAATTGTACAGTAGCAATAGAATCTTAAATTGAGTGAATTAACACCTCTAGTCGCTTTGCATGTTTCGGTGAGTTTTTACCGGCAATGGTTAGCTTGTAAAGGTTAAATAATGATATCACGTGAATCTTCATATTTATTGAAAAATGAAACGAAAAAAGTCACAAGATTACTTTTCAGTTTTCTATTGTAACAGCAATATGTTCCTACTCCTAACATTACATTAGTTTATTATCTTTAAGCTAATAGATGGCGTTACTTGTATTCTAAATCACGCTAACGTTATAACTTTATATAGTGAATAAATAACCCAGAATAATATTATTTAGTATGGAGTCTTAGGGTCCTCAATAGTCCCGGGGGTGAATTGGTGAAATGCCATAGCAGGTCCCAAATCGCCCCCAAATACGGGCAGGGAGGGAAGCCGGGGAGTTTTAGTGGGTATTCCCAGGGCCAACAACATCAGGCTCTGGGCGACCCCCACACAAGTCCCACTGTCGAGCCAGGGCAGTGGGTAGTATGTAAGCGGATTTCTCCCCGAAAAAAAAAAAAAAAAAAAAGGGTCCTCAATAGAGGCCTAAATACTGCTTCCACCTAGTTGGGACTGTATTTTGAAATCACTCTTCTAAGTTTCGATTTCCGTTGGCTACTTCCACCCCGTTGGGATAGCTCGCTGGTGTCGAGGTTAGAGGCTTAGCCGTCTTATTGTAAATTAACCTTCACGTGAAAGGCTCTGTATTACACTATTTCTTTTTATTGTCACTGTCAGAATTGAAAGTTTTTAAACGTTATAATTTTTATTATTCAAAATTCACTCACTTACTCAAAAAGGCAGACATTTTTCGTTAGTTTATGATTTAAGGGTAAAGGAAAACAAATTTTGTAATAAAAATGTTAATTTAATAACTACTTTCATATAAATAAAATAAATAACTTATCAACAATAGTTATATGTATTACTTTATCATAACACTTATAAGTAGATCAGGTACTCCTTAACTCAAAATCTTAATTTAGAAACATTGATCATCACATCATTTCAATCTTCTTCGATATCAAAAGTTAATTTCTTTGGCTGTATGATAACGGATCTTCTGACGTAGCGTCTGTTTTGTATCACTTCAGAAATCTTGGTGGTGGAGGAAAAACTTACCGATGAAACTGGTGACTTCATTATAGCATTAATCGGAGGTTCGACAGATGTCTCTTTACTCTTTGAAGAAGATAAATATGAAGACAGTTCCATCTTCGAAGACAACAACTTCTTTCTCGAGCTGTATGTAATGTTCGTTCTTCTTTTCCTGCTGGCACTGTTGTATTGTTCAATGCGGTCACCTAACATAGCGCAGATTTCAGACAGACTCATGTCCATTTCGATAAAGTGTGATATTATACTTATAGGACACGGAAGGAGAATAATAAATATGGAATTATAACACTATTATTTATATTAAGATCAATATAATAGGAAGGGGTAGCAATTAACTTAACAAGGTGTTTAATGATGATTAACATGATAAATTCGCATTCAAATTGATCATTAATTGTTATAACATGATAGAATTGTTAGATATAATTAGTTAACTATTTTGTTGTCATTAAGACAAGCTATTTTGGAATAAATATTTTTCATAACAGATCTGTGGGAAAAACAGGAAATTTTAATTAAAATAACATAGCGTAGTTATTTTGTATTTTAATTGATGACGATTATTTAATATTATATAGTAATATTATCTTATTACACCATTTGGATAATAGAAAGAGATTGGTTTGTCGAATTGTTTTTTTTCTCAAATATGCTTGAATGTGTGAATAACCTTATGCTATTTGCTCGAGACTGTTTAACGATATGTTTACCTAATATCACTATTGTTTAATAAAAATTAACTTCTTATAAAAATAGACGATTTGGGTGTACATTAACAATATTTCTTGAAGATGTCGGATAAAATGAGCCGTCTGGGATCTTTTATCGAAACCGCTGCCAAATATGCTTTGAGATATAACAAAATGTATGGTGGAATTGTGTATCTAATATACGTCTACAGAAAATCCACGATGCCATATTTCTATCTCTGAAGAATAACATACTATATCCATTTTACTTATTTTAAAAATTTCCATTCATGAAGCGTTTATAGGAAAGCTATTTTCATAATTACAGTATTAAGTCTTTTAAAAATAAAGTACTTAATGTTCAAGCCTACATCAGTATCTATAAAAAACTTTTTGAATTATTTAATTCGGACTTACCATTTGAAAGTTTTCATAAGTTTAATATAAGTTATAATAATTCTCAAAATTAAATCCACGCGATAGCTTACTTATTCACATGATCACGTCATTAATTTTGTATACAAAAGTTTTGTAATTTTATAATATGTATTAAAAATCTATTACTAATATAAAAATATACCATTTTTCTAAGTTCAAACTTATTTTATGTTTAACGAAGAAAGATGATGAAATTTCTATTTGACTTCATTTGACTCAAAAAGAAAGTACTTAAGGCATTATACGCAATATAGGCTATTTTATATTTTTGTAAGGTACCCCTTCGCAGCTGGGGTAGGTGCCTAGTTCCATTTAAAGTACTTATATATTTTTTCACATTTATTATTTTTGCAAAGACCATGATCACGAGATCAGTTGATAATATGTATTGAAGTTGTCATAGTCAGTGGTGGCCTAGTGGTTAAAGGATCCGCCTCTCGTTGCGGAGGGCGCGGGTTCAAACCTGGCAAGTACCAATGTGATTTTTCGGAGTCATATGTACTTTCTGAGATTATTTAGACACCACTGACATATGGTGAAGGAAAACATCGTGAGGAAAACTGGACTTTATAGTTTCACAATTATAAGTTTGAAATCACCAAACCGCCTTGAGCAAGCGTGGTTATTAATGCTTAAACTGAATTTGCTCAATAAGAACATTCCCAAAGTGGGTTGATGTCAACCAGGCGGCCGGTCGTAAAAAAACAATTAGCTGAAACTACATATATATAACATGTAGGTACTGCGGAAGAGTTATTTTTTAAGGCAGACCCTGGCGAAGCTGGGGGGTTGCCAGGAAAAAGAACAAGAACCATGATCACGAGATGAGAATAATGTTATATGAATTTACAAATGAGTAATAATTGAAACTTTATAAGGTGAACCTTAGATTATTTTAGGATTATTACGTTCAGATATACCTACGAGTGCTACTACATATTTCACTACTTTTTATTCCACAATTTTTTATCACACAAAGCTTACAAAATATTTTGCCTTTTTTGTAAATATACTTCTAACGACGTTATACTCGCTAAACAATCATTATGATTTAATTAACTTAATTTAAATTTAAATTAAAACCATTTATTTATAATGAAAAAAATATTATACTTATAATGTCCCAGAATTTAATAAAACGTACTTGATGGAATACTAAATTAATTGTGTGTCGTATTGGAATATCAGATATCCAGCACAAAGTTATGCTGTGTTAATGTCTGGATTGGTTTCATCGACTAATGAAGAAAGGTCAAGAGCATCGTTTGTAGATGAAGCTTGACTATCTTTCATATGTGTTCTGTTATCTGTACGAGTAATAAAAACTGCTACGACCAAATTCAAATAAAGTTCATTGAGATAATTGTGAATAAATCTGAAACAAAAACTAAGATGAGTTTGAGATAGATAAATTTTAATATTATATTATCCTAATACGAGTTATGTTTATACTCTAAGTATGTCACGTTTAAATATTTGATAAGTTAAGAATTCTAAGTTGAAATTTCAATTTCTCAATTAGCCCAGTTATGGCATTTTCCTACCTTTCCTCTTTTATAAACATATCTTATCATAATTCGAACATTTTATCTTTTATTTTTTGTGACAAATGGTTATACAAAATACAAACGCAAGTTAGAAATTTATACATATAGGTAAAGATAAAATATATTTTCGTTTTAGAGATATGTAATATAAACCACTTTTTCTAATCTTTTACTTAATCCAAAGACTATATATATATATTGCTCAAACATATTTCAATTTACTTAAAAAAAACTTAAAATATACGTTTACATATAATAAATTCTGATAAAAGGAAAAAACAAAAAGGTTAATGTAGAGTACATATTCCTCTTCATTTTCTAAAATTATCATTAGTCTTATAATATTTTTGATATATGATAATTTATTAAATTTTCTGTTACTCCTTTAAACCTGTAATTATTTAGTCTTTTTATATTTTAAACTTTTTCTAGAGTCTTGCAATAATTCATTTGTCAGGAGGAAGGAAAGAAAGAAAAGAGGTCTTTAGAAAAAGGAAACAAATATAAGATAAAATTTAAATTTAATAACAGTAATATATAATTTTGCCAGGCTTAATAATTCATAATGCCAAGCAATCGGTGCAAATAACTTAGTTCTAAGGTTTTTGTAAAACACGATATTAACACTTATAAGTAGATCAGGTACTCCTTAACTCAAAATCTTAATATAGAAACATTGATCATCACATCTTTTCAATCTTCTTCGATATCAAAAGTTAATTTCTTTGGCTGTATGATAACGGATCTTCTGACGTAGCGTCTGTTTTGTATCACTTCAGAAATCTTGGTGGTGGAGGAAAAACTTACTGATGAAACTGGTGACTCCATTATTGCATCAATCGGAGGTTCGACAGAAGTCGCTTTACTCTTTGAAGAAGATAAATATGAAGACAGTTCCATCTTCGAAGACATCATCTTCTTTCTCGAGCTGTATGTAATGTTCGTTCTTCTTTTCCTGCTGGCACTGTTGTATTGTTCAATGCGGTCACCTAACATAGCGCAGATTTCAGACAGACTCATGTCCATATTGATAAAGTGTGATATTATACTTAAAGGACACGGAAGGAGAATAATAAATATGGAATTATAACACTATTATTTATATTAAGATCAATATAATTGGAAGGGGTAGCTATTAACTTAACAAGGTGTTTTATGATGATTAACATAATAAATTCGCATTCAAATTGATCATTACTTAATTGTTATAACATGATAGTTGTTAGATATCATTACATAGTTAACTATTTTGTTGTCATTAAGACAAACTATTTCGAAATAAATTGTTTTTGATAACAGGCCTGTGAGGAAAACAGGGAAGTTTCATTAAAATTACAAAACGTAGTTAATTTTTTATATTTTTAGTATATTTTATAGGAATATTATGTTTTTACATGTTTGGAGAAAAAAAAGATTCTTTATTTTTTATTTAAAATATCCTTAAATGTGTGAATAAACTAACATAATTTGCTCGAGATTATTAAACGATATTTTGAATTAATATCTCTATTGTTTAACAAAAATAAATTCTAATGAAAAATAGACGACATTCCAATTAAAGTATATATTCTTCCACATTTTGCTATAAGCATGATCACGAGATGAAATGGAGGTGATATGAATTTACAAATGAGAAATAATTGTAACTTTTATAAAGTGAACTTTAAGACATTTTAGGACTTTTACGTTCAGATACGAGTGTTTTAGTTGAACTACTTTCATTCATAATATTTTTTTATTGAAATCTGATTTATACGAACATTATAGAACAAATGCCTGTTTTTCTTCTATTTTGCTATTGTTACTACCTACTACTGTTTCTTGTTCAATATCAATAATGCCCTTGATCATGATAACTACAAATGTTGTTTATATAAATGATGTAAGTACATCACTAAGGGTTTTCATATTAAATATTTTTACAAAACTCTTCCGATTATCAATAAGGTACATCAAGATGTTTCACTCCGTAGCTTTAAGACACATTGGTTGTAATTTCATTTTATTGTCATGAAACAAGCGCTCATGAAAGGTTCAGATAGGTATATTTTGTAGTGCTTAAAATAATTATAAAGAACATTCGATGGAAAGTTTTTATCATATAACCGATGTATCCTGTTGCAAAAAAACTGTTTTTTAACCATCTCAAATCAGAGCAACTCTGTTTCTTCTCGTATTACTTTTACTTCATGAATCCAATGGGGATGTGTTCTTAAAGATGAATAATTTTTTTGACATGTAACTTGCAATTTAATGGTTTATTTATTTAGAATACATATACATATATAAACAATTTATTATTAATATAAAACAAGTAATTTTAATCTTCGAAAAACTTATATAAGATAATATACAATACATTGATTTAATAAGGAATAAGAGATATATCATGAAAGGACAGTTTACATACATTTTTACCTTAAGCTATCGAAAAAATTTCATTGCGTTGGTTTGAGATGACGATTGGTTTAAATTCCGTCGAATCTTCTCCGATTTAAACATCAGAGTGATACTAGAAAAGAAAACAAAATTATGTAACTACTCATCAACAACGACTATTATTTGAAAACATTTAACGTCATAAAACGTTAGGTTTTGTTTTTCTTACAATACTTTTTCTTTATGAGCCGATGATATTTATTGAAAATTCTTCAATATAAACATGCCACTTCTTCAATTGAATAATAATGAACTGAATGTATTACATAACATCTATTCTGTAGAAGAAAAACTCACTGATGAAACAGCAGCGTCCTCTGTTTCAACTGACGTCTCATTAAAACTTGAGGAAGTTAAAGGAGGTAATTCATTCTTTGAGGACATCATCTTCTTTCTTGAAATGTATAAAAAATTGGATTTTCTCTTCCTACTAGCACTATTGTATTTTTTAATGCGATCGCCTAACATATCACAGATTTCAGACAAACTCATGTCCATTTTTATTTATATGTATTGTACTATATTATACTGACAGGAAATAAAAGAGAGTGATTTATAAGTAATTATTACTCTATTATTTATACTACTTGTATTGTTGTTAGATAAATTAAGTTAATTAAATCGTGATGATTATTTAACGACTACAACGTCGTCAGAAGTCCAATAATAATTAAAACAATAAAAGATTTTGCAAGTCTTGTGTTATGAAAAAAAATTGAGGATAAAAAGGAGATAAACTGAAATACTCGTATCTCAGAACATAAAAATCCTTAAATAATGGAATGTTTACCTTATAAAAGTTAAGATTATTTTTCATTTGTAAATTCATATTAGTTACCTCATTCTCATCTCATGATCATGCAAAAAATTTAAGACGGGAAATAATGTGTACTTTAATTGAAATGTCGTCTATTTTCATAAGAACTTATTTTTGCTAAACAAGAGTGATATTAATAATTAAACATATCTTTAAACAGTCTCAAGCAAATTGCATAAGGTTGTTCACACATTTCAGCATATTTGAGAGCAACAATTCCACGAAACAATCATTTTCTATTCTCCAAACATGTAAAAACATGATAATCCTATAAAATATAATAAAAATATGAAAAATTATGTAACTACGTTATGTAAATTTAGTGAAATTTTCCTGTTTTTCCCATAAGCCCGTTATCAAAAACATTTGTTGCAAAATAATTTGTCTTAATGACAACAAAATAGTTAACTAATTATACCTATCTAACAACTATCATGTTATAACAATGATCAATTTGAATGTGAATCTATTATGTTAATCATCATTAAACACCTTGTTAAGTTAATAGCTACCCCTTCCTATTATATTGATCTTAATATAAATAATAGTGTTATAATTCCATATCTATTATTCTCCTTCCGTGCCCTATAAGTATAATATCACACTTTATCAAAATGGACATGAGTCTATCTGAAATCTGCGCTATGTTAGGTGACCGCATTGAACAATACAACAGTGCCAGCAGGAAAAGAAAAACGAACATTACATACAGCTCGAGAAAGAAGTTGTTGTCTTCGAAGATGGAACTGTCTTCATATTTATCTTCTTCAAAGAGTAAAGAGACATCTGTCGAACCTCCGATTAATACAATAATGGAGTCACTAGTTTCATCGGTAAGTTTTTCCTCCACCACGAAGATTTCTGAAGTGATACAAAACAGACGCTACGTCAGAAGATCCGTTATCATACAGCCAAAGAAATTAACTTTTGATATCGAAGAAGATTGAAATGATGTGATGATCAATGTTTCTAAATTAAGATTTTGAGTTAAGAAGTACCTGATCTACTTATAAGTGTTAATATTGTGCAATCACAATATTTCAACATGAATTATTAAGCCTAACTTAATTATATACAGTTGTTATTAAATTCATATTTTATCTTAATATTTTTGTTTTCTTACTTTTCTTTCTTCTGTTTAAGAATCATTATGAACCGTAATCTCGGTTACTGCAAAGGAACTGAAACGTCTGAAATATACATAGTAACAAAAACGTGTAGCATTCGAAACACTTATTTTCAATTATTAAATAGTAATTAAGGATACAGTTCTTGCTTTATTTAATTAACATAAGCATAATTAACATAATCTTTTATGAATTAAAACTGGTTTTGAAGATATCGCATACAGATTTATGTGAATGAGTCGTTTATAAATTATTATATCTTTCTTACTTTGCATGAAGACGGCTTAAAATGGAAAAGGTCTATTGCTAGTCGCTAAAAACAATTGGCACCCAGTCTTTAACATTTTTCTACATTTTTTTTCACATATCTTGTGTGATTTATACTGTTTTTGTTTCATATTTAATAGTTTAAGGAAATACAGAACGCTTCATTTTTGTATTTTTGCTCGAAATATGTTTTATATTAGAAGTGATACAACGATCAGTCAGGAGCAATTAGTAACAATATTGTGTAGCGGGCTAAGATGTTTTTAGGCTGTCTGGGTTGGAATATTAAAAATCACCTATATACATACGATAGTAAATTATGTCGTATTGAATAAGGGTAAATAAATTAAATAATTCACTTTCATCAGCTCGAACATGAAAACGTTTATTAAAATGAGGAAACAATAAATCGTATACATTTTTCAAAGGAATATGATTTTTGGTCACTTCTTAGCAAACATGATCATAGGAAGACAAGATTAAAGGAGCCAATACTTATGGCATTAAACTCATAATGTATTAAACTCATAATGTATTAAACTCATAATTTATATGCTAATTATGATTTCGACGGTCGGTGGATGCAATGAAACCAAAATTATGACTTAAATTTAATTATAAAGTAAGTGCACGAAGGTTGAACAAATAGTGACATTAATTTAATCAAATTCTTAAAAGAAATCTTATAATCTAAAAACATAAAAGAAATATAAAACCAAAAACTGTCTTCACACGGAACTGCTGAGTCAGACCCGTGTAGAATAGCCGAGTTTACCCAGGACCTAAGGCGTCCTCTCATTACACCGTATAAAGATAATTATATTTTAATTAAACGACCACTTATTACACCGTCACATAACATGCTTTATTTTATTTATTTATTTACGTACCATAAGTAAAAATAGTTACATTATTATAAAAGAAATCTGACGGACAAAGGATAGGATTTATCTCTGAAAAGAGAACTCTATCAGAAACTCGTTTGATAGAGGAAACTGGAAATGTGGTTTAGGTGCAATGAAAAGAGAGAACTAACTTATATTTATAATCGTACGCTCTGTTTATTCCAAGATTTGTATGCACTGATTGTAACATATACATCAGGGTATCCAGATCCGGTAAGTACCCACGATACAACACCAATTTGCTGCCTCGTATCTTGAAGGATTAACGAGCTACCGGAATCACCCTGAAATATAAGCTTGTTCAAACTCTTGGGTTCGACGAGAGTATAAATAAAAACATTAAACAGATTTCTCAGGAGAGTTATTTTATATACTTTCTGAACTAGTGCCATAGTTTTTTGGAACATCGAAAATATCATTGACAATTAAATAGTTTTAAAAAAGAAATGAAGGAGATGAAAATATAGGAAAATATATTTTATTGAATGCTTTAGAGGTTTCTTGATCCCGAAGGAAGAATAGACAGAGTTAATATTAGAATGTTTTCTTTTTTTGTTACAATATTGTTTTAAAACGAATTTATACTACCCACTAAAAGCGATAAAAATAAACACCAGTTTGAAACATGATTTTAATTTGTCTATTACAAAAACAGAAAGTTCCCTTTATATATTTCTTTTACCAAATAGATAAAAACTATTTGAATTCTTCGTAAAATGTATAACATTGATAACATTATTATTAAATAATGCATTTGTATTGGCCACAGAACTTAATCTAAGATGTTATTTTTTTACATTTTTTTCACTGTTTAAACAAATTTGATTTCAAGAAAAGGAGCGTTAAGATTTGCATTTTACTATTTATATTGATTAAGATTTTTACTATGATTAACCATGTAAAATAAAATACATAAATAAATAAAATTATAATGATCTATGAACACGAATTAACATAATATTACAATGATGTCAAAACACATACTTTTTGTGTGTTTTACGTCAAATAGAAAACGAATTCCGTCTAATATATTTATAACTCAGGACATAACCAAAAGGGATATAATTTATTTGCGATAGAAAAACTCTCTTTAGCATATTTCTTGAATTCTTCGTAAAGAAGGACAATCTCACTGGAAAGAGGAAAATCCATTCTAACAGCATCAATTGTGAACATAGCTGGTACACAAATAAGTACGGTAAATAAGTAATTTCCTACAGAGTAAAGCTATACCTTTACTCTGTAGGAAATTACTTATTAAGTTATTTGTCCATTTTGATAGGTATAAATATCATGTATGTGATTGATAAAAGATCGATTTGAAAGTACAATACCCTGGCCGGTACATAACATTTCTTATAAAATAAACGAGAAGGCACCTCCAACATAGATTTCAACAAGTTTTTGCTAGTATTTAAAATGTTTTTTTCTCTAGCAATCATACAATTAGAACTAATGTAGATAACATGTATGATCTTTTCAATCAAAGAAAGGTGTAATTAACAAATCATACTTTAATTATGACTGACTTATGATAATTAACTTGATGGGTTCAAACAAGGTTACTTCGTTAATTATTAATTCCAAAGAATATTACTTATACTTTAATAACGTTAACCATCAATTAAATATTATAAATTATATTAAATGTTAAAGTACTCATAACGGTAATAGTATTTAAACATCAAGATATTTAGATTTTTATATCTATTAGAGGTGACTGTCAGCAATATATTTTCAACACCTAATAATAGTTTTACTTTCAATTATTTAATTTTTCTATTCAAGAAAGTTACCCTTTTGAAAGATTATGATTAAAAACAAAATTTATTAAAACTGGGTGATTATACAATAACAGACTCCGTCTATTTAAATAATAAAGGAATGTAACATTCATTTAGTAAGCAACTCAGTTTTGATACCTGAAAATAATTATTTAACTTTTCTATTCAATATTCCTTTGCGAGGTAATTTCAAATGTGGGGTATGCAATACAAACACATTACATGTTATTATAAGCATAAACTTTTATTTAGATATACTTCTGTGACTAACTACAGCCGTACGGTTTGTAGAATCCAATATTTGTAGGCACTGACTCTCACATAAATATCGGGAAATCTGGAAACAGATCCTGAAAAACCCCTCGATACGACAGCAATTTGCTGTCTAGTTTCTTGAAGTATTAATGGGCTGCCTGAATCACCCTGAAATATAGATCGACCAAATATATATTGTTTGCTTCGATTTAATTAAATAGTATAAAGCAATTTACACAAGGGGGCTAGTGTTTAGAAGGTATACTCACAAAAAACACGCCTGAGTTCTTATCAATAAAAGTACAAATGTCCTTATTTGGATCAAAACTGTTTGAGGGATTTAGTACATTCGCTATACGAGATGCACACGAATTGCCATCAATAGTAAATGTTTGAAGTTCCTGGAGTGACTGTGAAACTTCTTTGGCCCCCTGAAATTTAAGAGATATACAATAAATCAAATGTTTATAATAAATAAATTAGTACCAAGCATTTTTTCACTCTCTGATATGTATTAAAGAAAACAAGAGTTAGTAGGACCCCTACCTACTACTAGTTGGGGATAGTCTACGGTAGAGGTTGTATTTTGTAAAGCTTAAACAAATCTTTACGAATTTAATAATTCTAATTTTATATCGATGAAACCTCTCAGCATTCAACAGATTCACCGTGCAGGTACCATGTTTATCGCGTTGCAGGGAGATGAGCTTCGACAGTGCTTGGGACTTTCGACCTCGGTGTAGGTTTAAGCGCCTCTAATGATAAACTTAAAAGTAAATATGTATCTATATCTTACTATAATTATTATATACCTTTTGAAGTCTACCCCATCCGTTGACAATAACAGGGACGTTACCACCAATAAAATTAAAATCGAGAGTAACGATTTGCACATATTCATTTAGTGTCACCGGTTGTGACGTGATTAGTATACCAATATCATTCTTTTTTGTTTTTGAATCCCAATCAGGATGAGGAATGTTGCGAGAAAAGGTATACTGAGTTCCACCCTTGTTCCAATAATTCGTCCCAACAATTCCTTTTGCAGATCTGGAAAAAATTATTCATTGTATGAAGTAATTTATTGTAATCTATTAAATTAACAGATCTAGAAACATATGTCATCATGTATATACGAGTATGTTAAACAATTAATTTTCGATTTGTAATGAAATTAAAACTTTGTAAACAAAAGAACACACAGCCATTACTTATTCTTTGATACTATTAAACAAAATATTTTGTCCTTGTAGACATTTATTGCCTTTACTGGCTATAGTTTAATGGAGATTTTATAATAAATGAATAATTTTAAAAATCATTTACGTTGTGAGCATACTTTGAGATTTTTATTGAGTTGAACAATAGTTATGTTGTACTAAACCTTATATTAGGTATTAGGATAAATTAACGACCATTTTTCTTTTATCACAACAAGTTATGATTTAAAAAAAGTACTTCAAAAGCATTCAAAGCATTTAATGAAAAAGGTGGTAAACGAGCAGTGGAGGGCAGTACGCATCTTCGCAGATGGACATCTGCAACATATGAGATGTTGCGAATGCGTTGCCAACCTTGGTTTTTGAAGAGGTAGGTGGATGGGAATAGGGAAAGGACAACCGGCTCTTACTCATATTATGAATTGCAGCCATTAAAGGCTAATTCACGCGGATCTTCAGTGAGAGGGTTGACCATGTTCAAGCCTTAGTAACTGACCACAGCTATGCTTTACCACCTAGAAAAAGGTCCTAGATATTCGACCAGTAAGCGAAGTTATACTTTGGTATGACAACCTATTAATAATCTCTTACCCAATCAGTGCACCGTTTTTCGTAAGAGCATCAATACAGTGAGCGGCCGTGAGTACATGTCGTTTTGTAATAAGAGAGGCACCACATATGAAGATTTTAGTATGTTCACCGATAACCAAAGCTACCATGTGAGGCACGAGACCAGCTTCATCACCATTGTAAATCCGACGCTGGGGATAATCAAAGTAAGGAGATGTATCCTGTTCTCCGTCTAAGGGTAAACCTGGAAAGTAATATGAAACAATGAAATGATCATTTCGATTTTTTCTAATACTCACACAATTATCTATAAACGTTACGAAATTCCGTTTCAGGTGCCATTCAAAATATATAGCCAAAATCTATTTGACTCCTCTTTACATACAATATAATATTTCAAAAAACAATGATAATATTTTAAAGAAAAACTCAATACTATATTATGAAAATTCTTATATAACAACTCACCTATAGTTCCTACCACAAGTGACAGAAACAAACAACCAGCCTGAAATATCATTTTTACTTCTTACTATAAACAAAAAAACAGGAATGCCCCTTTATATATTTCGTCCAAAGAGATAAACAATTTTATTAGCAAATATAAAAACTGAAACTATTCGCATTCTTGTATATTATTATATGTAGCACTTCAGAAAGCATTTTATCATTAGACTATATATGCAAAAATACTTACAGTGGCTATGGAACCTTGTCCATAAACCTTGGGTGTTATTAAAATTTTATTTTGTCGTACTAATAAAGTTTTTTTTGTATACAATGCACCGAACCTTTGTTTTCATTATGTGTTGTAAGTAATTACAAGAATATATTTACTTGATAAGTTACAGTCAGAAATAGTATGCATATGTTCACTCTCATTCAGCCTTGGTAATGTAAGAATTTAAGAAAGAAAATTAGATGCTATATTTAGGACTAATAGTCATAAAAAACCGTATGATTTGTAGGTTAAATAATAAAGTCCAGACGATTTAACTTGCCTATAATTGAAAAACTACATATATTTTTTCATATTCTTAAATTTATTTTAAAAACAATTGAAAACAAACAAGAAAGTTTATGTCAAGGTTAAGTATTCAGTGTTATAATATCTAACAATAAAATATAATTAGTGCAATAAATAAAACTAAGAATGCAAAAAAGTATTTTATCTTTACAAAATTTGCACTTTTGTTTCAGTTTTGACCATTGTAAAACGTTAAAAGAATGTTTTAGACTGGGTGCTCGTTTTATCGGTGAGTATAGAGTTGGTAGGTTTGTATGTGAGAATTAAAATGGACTTATACATGCATATACATATATTACTCATCTCGTTAAACATTTTCAATTAAAAAAATTATTATTTCATATTTTTAAAAGTGTGGTAGTAATATGGTTAATGATAGTTTCAATGTTACCCTACAGGTCCACTCTAATATGTTTGTATATACATTATCTTGACTCACTCACTCGCTCTGTGAATATATCTTATTTCCCACACTGATTGATTTGATGCCAGATTTTGGTGACGAGCTTCACTTATTATAAATCGTCATAAACCCACAGTTTCTTATAAAACTGTCCTTATAATATAAGTATAGTGTGTAACCTATTTAACTTATTTATCGAATTTTAGTCAAAAATTTGTTTCAAGGTTAAAGTAAAATAAAGTTTGCAAAATATTTGTAATAAAATATACTTATTCATATTTGTGATTTTATTATAAAATCGTATATACAATTTATTTTTACTCATATTTTTTTTTTTGAAAAATCAAAAAAACTCGGGTTGGACATAATGGTATAGCTATAGAGTACATGAAAAAAAACCAGACATCGCAAAAAAGTAAAGTGATACTTTGCAAATAATAACATAGTAGGTTTAATGACAGTTAAAATTGCAAACTCCAAAAATACCTGCAAAGATTCTTACAATTTTATTCACTTATCTTAGTTCTTAAATCAATATAATGAAGAAGACCTTCGTAGGCACTGGTCGGTATGTTTATTACACAATGTGATCTGGTCCAAAGTAATAAATTAATTGCCTTAACATTTAATTTATATTGGTACACTTATCAGGAATTGATGGGACAAATTATTGGAACAGGGGTGGAACTCAATATACCTTTTCTGACAACATTCCTCATTCTGAATGGGATTCAAGAAAAAAAAATGATATTGGTATATTCATCACATCACAACCGGTGAAACTCAATAAATTTGTGCAGATCGTTACTCTCAATATTAATTTTATTGGTGCTAATGTTGCTACTATTATCAACGGGTGGGGATATTTAAAAAAGTTTTAAAATATGTAATTAATAACTTAGTAGTTGTTGTCAATGCAACATACAGATAAACTAATTACATATATAGGGTGGTAGCCGGAGGTTCCAGGAAAACTGCGAAACATACTTACATGTATATCGGCGCTATCAGCTTTAATAACGGATGCGACATGATAATAACTTGAGCCTGTCAACAATTATTATTAAAACTCATTAGTATACATGATTATTGTTAAAAATAAAACGAAATCAAAGATTGTTTAAAATGAGAATAGAACTATGTTCAAATCTTGGTATAAATATGTCGTCTGGACGCACGACGGCAGAGTTCAGAGTTTAGTTAGTGCGGACCTTTGAAGATTGTGATGAAGAACCTTCGACAAATACAAAGGAATTTATAAAAAATTGAAGTTTCATTTTAAATCATGGAACGTACTAGAAGTACTATTTAGTAACGTTAGCGAGGCTGGCGTCTCTCTCTTTAAAAACAACGAATGTGTAATAAATCCGGTATATATTATTATTAGAATTACTGTTAAAACTTATAACCTATACCGAAGACTATATGATTGCCCCGAAGTTAGGATGACAATAACATTCTATAGCTTGTATGGTGTAAGGAATCTTCTTGTTACATGGCTTGGTGTTCGTTCCGCGGAGTCAGCGGCGTCACTCGTTATATGAATTTTTACCTATACAAAGATATCGCCCCAGCGATATTCATTTGTTTTTTTCATATGTAGCACGTACGTAACAGACTGAGTTACATTTACTTTTATTTTATAGTTGTATCCATTTCTTAGAAGCATCGCAAATTTTTACTCTTATTTAGACTTAGTTAAGAAAAGATGATGTTCTTGTACGTTTTAATTCCACGTTTTTTACGAATCATTTTTTTGCACTATAATTTGTTATAAAACGTTGTTTTTTCTTACATTAATATAAAATATTACAACATTTTGGAGAACAAATAGCCCGACCTTTTCTTTTTTGATGACGCAGGGAAACTCTTTTTACGAGCCGTCCAACTGGATCGGCCTGGGCACTACTCACTAAAACCACTACGAAAGCCATCGGCCGCTATGTCGGAGTACCCCGGATCTGTCAACGACAGGGCACACTAGCCACTGGCTGGTTCTGGCAAAGACCGGACTTACTCCCTAAGAGAATGGGGCAATCCCGGCAATTAGGACTGCCCCGACGACACCAAGCTTTTACAGGAGCCGGGTTACCAAGCCGACCCCAGCCCGGAACACAAAGGTGCTATTGGAGGCGTTGTAATCGCCTCCGTCGCACCCCCGTACGTAGTCTGCATCAGCCGCACTCTCCCTTTCCCGCTCAGATACCACCTTCGTGGACATAACCGTCTCACAGAAGCAGTACACCGCCAGCCAGGACCTAACGGCTATTTCTTCTCCAAAAATGAATCAACATTGAATTTTATAAACATCCCATCAATTTTAGGGTATTCAATAAAAGACCATTCAAGCTTTTGTAACTTTGAGATTAAAAGCTGATATACATATAAGTAATAATAAATTCTTAGGTTCAACTATATGTATATTTTTTAAATTGTAAAAATATGTATGTGGTTTGGTACATCACGGCGACTACTATAGCCGTTTTGGTTACTGATTATTATAAATGCATCATATGGCATAGCAACAGATGTTGTATACGAACGAATCCGCTCGAAGGACTTAGCAAAATTATTAAAACTCTTATACTTCCAATTGTTTCATAAAATGTTTAGTGTTTTAGTTTTTAATACATTTGTTATGTATTAAGTAAACATTTATATAGAACTGCAAATACGTATATATATAAGTGTGAGATATAATAGCAGTATTTATTCAATCATTCAAACGATAAAAAATATAAGAAAAAATAAATAAAACTATGTGAATAGAAAAGAAACAGACTCCATCGATTTAAATAATAAAGGAAGGTAACAAATAATTCCTAAGCAACATATTTTTTACACCAAATATTAATTTTACTTTCAACGATTTAATTTTTCTATTCAATATTCCTTTGCGAGGTAATTTCAGATGTGGGGTATGCAATCCAAACACATTACATGGTTTTATAAGCATAAATTTTTATTTAGATATACTATTTCTGTGACTAGCTACAATCGTATAATTTGTAGAATCCAATCTTTGTAGGCACTAACTCTCACATACAGGTCGGGATATCTGGAAGTAGGCGATTTAAATACCCTCGATACGACAGCAATTTGCTGTCTAGTATTTTGAAGTATTACTGGGCTGCCTGAATCACCCTGAAATATAGGTTAACCAAATATTGTTTGCTTTGTTTAAGTAAATAGTATAAAACAATTTACACAAGGGAGCTAGTGTAAGAAGGCATACTTACAAAATATACGCCTGAGTTCTTATCACTAAAAGTACAAATATCCCTGTTTGGATCGAAAATGGTTGCAGCATTTAGTGGATTCGCTATACGAGATGCACACGAACTGCTGTCAATAGTATATGTTTGAAGTTCCTGGAGTGAAGGTGAAGGATTGTTGGCATCCTGAAATTGAAGAGATTAAATAAATTAAATGTGTATATTAAAAAAATCACCAAGCATTTTCATCACACTCAGGTACGTATTAAAGAAAACAAGTGTTACGAGTAGTAGGTTGGTTAGGGGATGGCGTACGGTAAAAGTTATATTTCGTAAAGCTAAAACACTTCGCTACAGACTTGTTAATTCTCATTTAATATCGATACTAGACGATGAAACATTTCAGTCATCAATGGATTCACCGTGAGGGTGCCAAGTCCATCGCGATGCAGGGAGAGGAGCTTCAACAGTACCTGGGACTTATGACTCAGGTTCTTTTTTTATGAAAAAGGGGGTTGTGGATGTGTCGCACCCTTAATGAGGGAAGAGGGGGAGGAAAAAGTGGGAAACGAGGGGAAAAGGAAAGGGGTAGGAGAGGATGGGAGAAGGGAAAGGTCAACCGGCTCTCTCACACATCGGACGAAACCCATCCATTAAAGGCTATTTCATGCCGAACGTCTGTGAGAGGGTGGTGCTTTCCCGGTCAAGCCAGCCCATGTTCGAGATGTAGTAAGTGACTACAGGTAGCCTCTACCACCTAACTAAGATGTAGGTTTAAGGGACCCTAATGATAAACTTGATGGTAACTACGTATTGGTATCTTCCTACAATTATTATATACCTTTTGAAGTCTACCCCATCCGTTGACAACAACAGGGACGTTACCTCCGATAAAATTAAAATTGAGAGTAACGATCTGCACATATTCATTTAGTGTCACCGGTTGTGACGTGATAAGTATACCAATATCACTCTTTTTTGTTTTTGAATTCCATTCAGGATGAGGAATGTTGCTAGAAAAGGTATATTGAGTTCCACCCTTGTTCCAATAATTTGTTCCAACTATTCCTCTTGCAGATCTGGAAAAACAAATCATTGTTTGAAGTAATTTATTGTAAGAAATTGGATTTATTATCGCTAATAGTAATCCCAAAAAATATATTTATTTTTATTAACAGATCTAGTAACAGAATATGTTATTATGTATATGTTAAACAATTAAGTAAATAAGACTTCAAGATTTGTAATGAGATTAAAACATAGAAACGAAAAGACACACAGCTATGACTTATTTTTTGATAATAATAAACAAAGATTTTGCTTTATTTTAAAAATCATATACGTTGCAAATATACTTTAAAATTTTATTGAGTACAACAATACTTATGTTGTACTAAACTGTATATTAGGTATTAAGATAAATATTAAGCACATTCTTTTTCTAAAAACAAGTTAAATATTAAAAAGAACTTCAAAGCATTTCATTCTAGATATTCGACACATAAGCGAAGGTATACTATGGTATAACAATCTATTAATAATATCTTACTCCATCAGTGCACCGTTTTTCTTAAGACCATGGACACAGTGAGCGGCGGTGAGTACATGTCGTTTTGTAATAAGGGAGGCACCACATAAGAAGGTTTTGGTATATTCACTGATGACCAAAGCTACCATATGAGGCACGAGACCAGCTTCATCACCATTGTAAATCCGACGCTGGGGATAATCAAAGTAAGGAGATGTATCCTGTTCTGCGTCTAAGGGTAAACCTGGAATGTAAGGTTACAATTATTATCATTGCGATTTTTTTACTGTACTGATACATTTATATTCGTTACATAAATATATAAATGGTTTATTTAACTACACAATATTCCACAAAAAAAAAAATACAGTATTTTAAAGAACAGTAAGATATTTTGAAAATTATCATATAAAACTCACCTATAATTCCCCCCACAAGTGACAGAAACAAACAACCAGCCTGAAATATCATTTTTACTTCTTACTATAAACAAAAAAACAGGAATGCTCCTTTATATATTTCGTCCAAAGAGATAAACAATTTTATTAGCAAATATAAAAACTGAAACTATTCGCATTCTTGTATATTATTATAGCAATTAACAAAGCATTTTATCATTACACTGTATATTATATACCTACAGTGGCTATGGAACCTTGTCCATTCCATAACAACCATTATTAAATACTAATAAGGATTTTTTATACGATCCAGATATCCTAAGTTCTCAATGTATGTAAAGATTTATGATAATAAATTTATTTGATAGGTTACAGTCATAAATAGCATGCATATGTTCACTCCCATTCACCCTTGGTAATTTAAGTAGGTTAATTGGATACTTTATTTAGGACTAACAGGCATAAAAACCATTTTTTTTGTTTTCCCAGGGGAAATCTACTCACAGATACCCGGCCGAGCGTAGACTTGACCGGGTTGTGTGGGGTTTACCGACCCACTAAAACCCCTGGGAGTTCCTCTTCCACGCCACCTAGGCAGGGCCGCGGTATTACGAGAGCTTGCCTCGTTACCCTACCGGCGCTTGCCCGCTACGGACCTCGAACTAGGGGGGACATATCCCGCCGCAAACCACCACCGCGAGCCGCCCCTGGGACAAGAGGGGCAAGCACAGCACTGTAACTATTATTTTATGGGCGAATGAAGTCCCCGTCTGCCACATAGGATCACGTCGGCCGGCGCTTAACCTATGGCTGTACAGAGGTCAGATAGGCTCGGCGCCGGTGACCAGTTCGCCGACGACGGAGAACAGGGGCCTTCGGGTCGTCCTCCTTGGATAAAAACCATATTATTGTAGGTAAACTAATTAAGTATCTTTTAATGGACAAACTACTTATCTTTTTTCATTGCCCTAATTTAAAAAAAGCAAATTAGAAAAAAACCACCAAAGTGTATGTAAAGCTTAAATATTAAATATAATAATATCTGTCAATAAATAAATTTAATTGGTGCTATAAATGTTACTAAGAATGCTTAAAAGTATTTTATCTTTACAAATGATATGGTTTAGGTATTATAATAAAATGTACAACATTTTCCTTTTTTGTTTTATTTTCGATCATTATAAAACGTTAAAAGAATGTTTCAGACTGGGTGCTTATTTTAATCGTTGAGTATAGCGTGAGAGAAAAAAATTAAATGTCAAAGTTTTTGCCAAAAAACTCACTAGTGTTCTACCATGCCAAAATCAGTATTGAGTAAACCACTTTTTAAAATTATTTGCAAACTCGGTGTCATATAATTTTCTTTCGCACAGTTAGTGTCAAAGTTAGTGTTTGTCTTTTCACAAGGTCACGAGTCACAGTAAAACAATTTTTTTTTATTAAAGCATTTCTCGGTAACATGATAATTTTAATATTTGGATAAGCTATTCAATATGTCAGAACAATAAAAAAAATTACTACCGAAGCTATTCCAGGCCACAATAGCAGATAATCCGACACAAAGTAGCGATTTTTTTTTAAATTAAAAAGTGCGAATATTTCGAAAACCGTGATATTTTTACTGAGGTCAAATAGTGTTTTTCTGATAGATCTCGAGCTTATCTAACTCCTGTGTCATTGGGACGTGATCATTTTGGCACATGCACATATATGAAAGAATGGGGCATAGTAAAAAAGTAATCCTTTTGCAAATAACAACGATAACATTATGACTGGTTTCAAATCTTTAATCTTGAAAATAGGTATATTGAATTACACTACTCTTAAATCAGACATGTTCACAACCGGTGGTATTGCATATAATATGCAGTTCGTTACTCTCAATTTCAATTTTATTGGTGGTAAGGTTATTATTAATTATCATCGGTTGGGGACTATTTGGAAAGGTATATTATTATCATTATTTACTAGCTTTTGCCTATGTAATATACAGATAGGCTGAGTTAACTTTAACTTTTATTTTATAGTTGTATCGATTTATTAGAAGCGTTGCAAAATTTTAACTTAATTTAAAAAAGTTGATGTTCTTGTACTTTTTATTTATATAAAAGATCACAACAATTACCCTTATCCCCGACCTACTAACGGCATTTTTTTCTACAAAAATGTATTAGCATTGAATTTTATAAACATCCCATCAATTTTAAGGGATTCAATACATTTTCCTTACTGATGCCAGTTCGTGTGTATCTGGTCTCGTTCAACTTTTGCTTTCGTTCAAATTTCCTATCTTGAAGTTTGTACTATTCTTACTCTCAATTATAGTACATGTCATGTGAGCATATTTTCTCATATAATATTAATAATTTAAGGCTCAACACAAAAGTTCAAAAGTAAAGAAGATATCAGCCTGAACTGATGGGACTATGTTTATGGACGGCTTGGTAACTGATGAAGAAACCATAAATGATGATCCCCTTAATTTTACTCTTTTGGAGAATCATAGATACAGTGTAGTATTCTATTTAAATTTTGTGCTTCTTGTACTTTTTGAAGTTCATTCATTTTGAGTTTGTGATTTTCGTTAAGTATTTATTTTCTTAAATTAATTATATTTTCCTATGATTTATTTTATTATTTATTGTAATATATAACTATCTTATTTATTTTCTTTCGATAATTACTCTACAAACATAGACCTTTCCAACCCAAATTATTAAAAAGTACATCAACGTCTTATAGTAGTGTTATTGAAGTTATATTTGGTAGGTATCAAACAGTATACGATAAAATATTCGAAATCGTTAAAGTGCTTATTTCAATGCAATACTAATTTAAACATTGTGAATAATAAAAAAATCGATAGTTCGATTTTAAGTTAATGTTTCGTGAAGGTTTTTTTTTAATAATTTATATTTTCAGTCTTCTCCTGTCATAATAAATATTCATTAACGACTCAGCAAGAAATTATAATAATCTTATAATATTTTTTTGAAGATATATAAATGTGTCTTTTCTGAAACAAATGTTTTCATTGCTTTCGAGGTCGAAAGCTGACATAGTAATAGCAAATTCCTAGGTAATAGGTATGACTCGTGTAACATAAATATATTGTACAATATATATATTTATATTTAGATATTTTATGAGTTTTTTAATAAAAAAATTAAGTGTAGGCTAGTATATATTTTTTAAATTCTTGAAAATATGTGGTTTGGTACATTTTGGTTACTGTTTTACAAATTTTAATTTTTGCAATAATTATTGCAAGATATGTCACAATAAGAAATCATCATCATCGGTCTATCAGAGCCCACTGCTGAGCAAAGCTCTCTTCTCACATAGAGAAAGTTAGAGCATTAATCACCACGCTTGCTCAAGGCGGATTGAAGATTTCAAACTAATAATTTGAAATTATAAGTCCAGCTTCATCGCCTATCAGTGATATCTAAATACTCTTAGAAAGTACACATAATTCGGAAAAAAATCACATGGTACTTGCGAGGTTTCGAATACGCATTTTCATGCACTAGAGCCAGGCCCTTTACCTCTAGGCTACAACAACAAAAGATATTGTACACAAACAAATCCGCAGTAAAGACTTAGTTAATAATTAAAAAAAACTGTTATAATTCCAACTATTATATAAAATGCTAAATATTTTTTAGTTATTAATTCATTTGTTATCTATAAGAAAGTATTTATATAAAACTGCGAATATATAAAAGTGTTAGTTATAATATGTAGCAGTGTTTCTTCAATCATTCAAACAGCAAAAAATACTAGAAAAAAATGATTAAGATCGTGTGTTGGTCGTTACTGCTTTTAGCGGGTAGCTATGGTAAGAGTTTTTACCGTTCATTAATATTTTTCTATGTATTTTACAATCTTTTAATAGACATATGTAAGTTTGGATATTAGAAATCTTCACATTTATCAATCGAATTTGATACACTATAATGTACATATTAATAAAGTATGCTTTGTATTTTGTTATAAGTGATGATAATAATTTTAACTAAGCAAACATTATATCCTTCTTAGGATTGACTTACAAATTATATTACTTATTTCAAAACTCCAATCAATATATCTATTAGTTTTGAGAGAAGCGTGATTCCATCCACTAACGACGAAAAAAAAATAAGACGTCCCCTTTGATAGCACTACTATTTTCACATGGATGGTTATAGTGTCAGGGATATTTTGCAAAATCTAAAAATATTAGTAACTAAATAAATTATGATTTATCGACTTACATGAAAGAGAAAGGACAAAACAATAATAATTTTCAAGAGCGTTTTTCAAAAGTTATTGTTACTTCTACAATATTATGAATAAAAACATCTAGCCTCGTACTCATATATTATTGAGTGTTGTAGTTTTTTTTTTGATTGATTGTTGTTGTATATACTTTATTATGTATACTCCAAACGCCACGGCAGAAACAAGCATATTATATAAGTTATAGTAAATTAATTTTGCAATCATGCCTAACAATAATAATGGCAAAAAAAAATATGTACATAATATCTTGATACAAATATACATTTTTGTATCTTAAGAAAACGAAACCTCTCATCATTCGATGAATGCACCGTGCGGGTGCCAGGTCCATTGCAGGGAGAGGTGTTTCAACAGTGCCTGGGACTTGCGATCCAGGTGTGGGTTTAAGGGGCCCCTATCTAACACGCATTAAACACTCACCTCTACCGTCCAAGCTGCTCTCTCTATCAAATTTGAAACGAACCTACTAGGGGTGTTTTCGAATTATGTTCTAAGAATGAAGTGATGTTACTTCTGGACAAGCTCAAGTCTTTTAGTAGAATGTAAAGAGATTTGGCTGTTATACCTTCAATACTTCTACCGCTTACAAATATACACAAAAACTATTCTTATTATATAATTATTGTATTAAATTCTAAATTAAATTGCAGGATTGCCTCTGGATTCAGAGGGGGATACGTCTATGTATTTTAGTAAGATAGATCCTGTTCTCTTTGAGAGTTACGTTGCCGGTCCTGTCCCATATATAGTGTCTATAACTATCGGAAGGCCGGCCAAGCTTTATCTTTGTGCGGCCTCCATTATTACGACCCGTCATTTTATAACATTGGCTACTTGTGTGTTCTACCCAAAAGAGATAAGCCGGTAAGTTCGACAGTTTCTACTTCTATTACTTTTTTATTTTAAGGAGTAACAAAAACAAACCATTAACACTTGTACGAACGAATTGTCATGTCATCAATTATTTTGAATTGTCCATAAGCAAAGAACTAACACAAGGTTTTTTTTGCATTAACTAATTAATTATTATTATACTAGCTTTCGAAGCGAATTCGTCCGCGTGGAATAGTGACTTCCGGCAGATTTTTGGTTCTTCCCACATAGTTCCCGTTCTTGCGGGGTTTTCGGAATGGTCGAGTTCCCGTAGAATTTTCAGAATAAAACCTATGTTTTTTTTTATTCACAATGAAGTACTCTTATTATTATGTAGATACAACTTAAACAAATTATTTCGACCAAATTAGGTACCATAAAAACGGTTTTTGTGAGTTAATCTTAAAAGATAGACATATACTCTCGCGGACTGTTTTTTAGATCATTAAAAGAGCTATTATTCTTTAATACATATTTTTTGTGTATCTTGAACCGTTTTCACGGCGCACGCAACGGAAGGCTTGAAAGATGAAATAATTTCTCCCGTTTTTTACACATTTACCACTATATCTTTGCTCCTATTGGTCGTAGTGTAATGTTATATAGCCCACAGCCTTCCTCGATAACTGGACTATTCAACACAAAAAGAATTATTCAATTCGAACCAGTAGTTTCGGAGATTAGCACTTTCAAAGAAACAAACAAACAAACTCTTCAGCTTTATAATATTAGTATAGATTATAAATGATATTTATTTATATAATGTTTGATATTTATTTTGCAGTTATCTTCGAGGGACTGTAGGATCTAATCTTGTAAATTCTGGTGGAACACATTATTCTTTTGATCGTGTTATAATTCATGATGAATTTGACATAGATACTGGCAAAAATGACATTAGTATCCTTGTGACATCGTCCGTGGTAAAACTAAGTAAGACGGTACAACCTGTTGCTCTAAACTTTGACTACATACCACCCAAAGTTGCTGCTGTCGTCAATGGTTGGGGATTAACTGTAAGTAATTGATTGCTGCGATATTATAATTTAACGATTTATTACATTTTAAAATTGTATGGATCTATGGACTAACGCTACGATTGCAAGGGAAAGCAAAATTACGCTTGAATATGACAATGAAGACCCAGGGGTTTAGTGGTTATCCAGACCCGGGTTGACAACCGTATGACTACCCCCATCATTCTCTTTCCAGAGAGCAAACAAAGTCCTTGAATAAGCGAAAGTAAAGCAAATTAAATTTGTATTTAATATTACGAGTACATCATGATCTACAAGGCTATCAAGAGATTATGTTATTTGTAAAACTTTTAACTGATATTTCATATATAATCGATTTAAGATTCAGTATTCCAAAACACAATAATAACAATATTCTTTACTGTATTTCAAATATACTTATTGGCTAAATGGTTGAGATAACATTTTTTTTACACTTTTGATATAAATTCATATCAATTATCCCATTGTTATCGGTCAGTACAAGCTAGTCATTACCAGGCATAATATGATGGTCTTTCAGAATTTTTCGGTCATCGACACGCAACCCCCGTTAATGGAACTTCAAGTAAATACAGTTGATGGCAATAAATGCGGAGCAGAGATAGACGTTCTGGCCAAAAAACTAAAAGTGATAGCCCCCCCGTTGTTTCCAGAACTTGAAATATGTGCATTTCACAATGCAACAAGTGGAGTTTGCTATGTAATTTGCTTTTAATTGATTTAAATTTTCTGTATCATTTATTTTATAAATACTGATTGTATGTGCCTTGAAGTAGTCTTCAAATTTGGAACATTTTTGGAAACGTGTCAAATTTTCAGTCTATTAAACGACTTTGATACTCGTAGTTTTTAAACAAAATTTTAACAACTGCCAAAGTCTTGGATGGTGTAAAAATGAAAGTTATTATAAAATTACATTTCCCTACACTTTTTTTTAAAAATAATGTTCTAAAATTCAATGAAGGTAATGATTTTATATTTCAGGGTGACGCAGGTTCGCCATTGGTACTTAAAGAAAACAGACAGCTGATTGGTATGGTGGCTTGGTTCATAGATTGCGCAAAGGGTGTACCAGATGTGTATACACGAGTTAGTGCATTTAAATCCTGGATACAAAAAAATACAGTTCTATAAAGTCTACATTATGTATTTAAATTTTTCATTTGTTTTATAGAATATGAAACATTTCATGCAAATACACAACTTGTTATAAAGAATATGCATTAAATTTTATATGTGATAATTGGACTAAATTACTTTTTAAGACCTTTTTTATGTTTTTAATTTGTTTTGACTGATCTGAAATATTTGTTATTAACATACATTCTCATATATGATAAATCATTTTATTATATCTTGAAATGGTAATATAATAAGAAAAATCTTCCCTAGCTATAAAAAACAATGATTAAGGCAAATAAATTAAAGATTGTTCAACTGTTATAGGTTTAAAATGTAATGAAATAAAATTTAAACTCTTTTATTGTTACGGTACTGATTTATTATTGATTATTGTAATAGTCCCGTCATTTGGTAGTTTTACCTGGAAAGTTTTCCGGGAGTTTTGAAAATTGGTGGTATTAATAATTTACTACCTCGTAACACCACCGCTCGTGCCGCCATATTGACTGCATGGCGCCTAAAAAGGTTTTTTCTTAATATCTCCCTTCCGACGCATATTACGAAAAAAATATTTATATACAAAATAAAACTAGACAAAATAAAACTAGACAAAATTTCCTACAATTTATGTATTCACATTTTTATTCATAAAATCAATAGTTTTTGGCGTACCAGCGCCGCAAAATATTATTCATTTGCACCACCGCGAGTTTTCGTATATTTTTATCGAATACTAGTGTTTGCCCCCGACTTCGTCCGCATTAATTTCGTCATGAGCGGTATCGTCACACACAAAGATAAATGATAAAGATAAAGATAAAGTAAGTAATACTTTTTTTCTTTGTTCTGATTTTTTTATTATTTTTTTGGTGTTTGCTTATAAGCCATAAATCTCCGTGTTCTGAAGTGCGACAGAATGATCGACATATTAGTTAGTTGTCAAATTTAATAGAAAAAAAAACGTTTGTATGAAGAATAGAAAAGTGCTGTTTTTAGGGTTTTCACGGAAATGAATCAATTTTTTTTAGCTTTTAAACCTTCCCTGAACCTCCACGAACATTTCAAGACTAAGATAAGATAAATCCGTTCAGCCGTTCTCGTGTTTCAGTGAGACTAACGAACAGCAATTCATTTTTATACGCATATATAGATATAGATTTTAACCACTTCCACCGGTTTTGAAAAGCAGGTTTTATTGTAATATTATTATCGGCTCAGAAAGTCTCAACTCATTAAAAATCCCTCTAATGAACTTTATGCGACTATTTATCCAAGATTATACTAATATGTTTTTGAGGATATATAAATGTGTTTTTTTTAAACAAGTGTTTTCATTGCTTTAGAGGTCGAAAACCGACATAGTGATAGCAAATTCTTAGGTATGACTCGTGTAACATAAATTTACTGTGCAATTTATTTTTTTAATGAGTATTTGAATAAAATAAAAACATATATATATCGGCGCTACCAGCTTTAATAACGGATGCGACATGAAAATAATTTGAGGCTGTCATCAATTCTTATTAAACCTCATTAGTATTTATGATTATTGTTAAAAGTAAAACGAAATCAAAGATTGTTTAACAAGGAGAATAGAACTATGTTTAAATCTTGGTATAAATATGAAGTCTGGACGCACGACGGCAGAATAGAGACTCCAGAATTGAGAATTCAAAGTTCAGTGAGTGCGTATCATTGAAGTATGTGATAATGAAGAACCTTCTAGAAATACAGGAGCATTAAGAACAATTGCAGTTTCATTTTAAAATATCATGCAACGCTCTAGAAGAAGTGACATTTGTAATGTCAGCGAGGCTGGCGTCTATCTCTTTAGAAACAACGATTGTGTAATAAATCCGATATATATATTTTTTAATTCTTGAAAATATGTGGGCCATTTTGGTTACTGCTATACAAATTATTGCATGATATGTCACAAAAAAATCATCATCATCAGCCTATTGGTGCCCAGGGCCTCTTTTCATATAGAGATGGCCAGAGCATTATATTATCACGCTTGTTCAAGGCGGATTGGAAATTACAAACTTTTAATTTTAAACTATAAGTCCAGGATTCCTCATGATATTTTTCTTCACCGCCTATATAGTGGTGTCTAAATACTAATAGGAAGTAGGTCCATATAATTCTTAAGTTTCCAATCTCCACCTTCATGTACGAACAAATCCGCAGGAAAGATTTAGCAAATAGTAAAAAAAATCTTATAATTCCAACTGTTTCATAAAATGTTAAGTATTTTTTAGTTATTAATTCATTTGTTATCTATTAAGAAAGTATTTATATAAAACTTCGAATATATAACAGTGTAAGTAATAAAAGCAGTATTTCTTTAATCATTCAAATAGTAAAGATATTAAAGTATAATGATTAAGATCGTGTGTTGGTTTTTACTGCTTTTAGCAGTTAGCTATGGTAAGAATTTTTAAAATTTTTACTAACCTTTTTCTGTGTATTTTACAATTTATTACTTAATAAGTATGCAAATTCATTGTGTCAGAAATCATCACATTTTTTCCAATCGATTTGAATGCACGGTAATGTATATAAAAAAATTGCATATAACTTAAAATAAGTGATGTTAGTTTTAATTAAGCAAACATTACATCCTTCTTAGAACTGACATATAAATTAGTAGCTCAAACTACTTATATACTTTTATATATATACTCCAAACTTCAGGGCAGAATTCTCTATAGTAAATTAATTTTGCATTTATGGATAACAATAGTAAAAAAATTAAATAATAATATCGATATACAAGTTATCATGTTTGGTATTTTAAGAGAGACGAAATTTCTTAGCATTTAATGTATTCACCGTGCGGGTGTCGGGTTCATCGTTGCAGGGAGAGGAGCTTCAAAAGTGCCTGGGACTTGCGACCCGGGTGTAGGTTTAAGGGGGCTCCTATCTAATGCGATTTAAACGCTCACCTCTACAGTCAAAGCTCCTATCTAAACCGAATTTGAAACGAACCTGGGCTGTCTTCGAAATATGTTCTAAGAATGAACCTATGTTACTTCTGGACAAGCCCAAGTCTTTTAGTAGGTTGTAGAGAGATTTGGCTGTTATACGTCTCGCTTCTAGTCCTACCTCGTACAAATATACACAAAAACTACTACTACTGTTTTTATTATATTAAATTCTTAATTTAATTACAGGATTGCCTCTGGACTCGGTGGGGGATACGTCTGTGTATTTTAGTAAGATAGATCCTGTTCTCATTGAGAGTTACGTTGCCGGTCCTGTCCCTTATATGGTGGCTTTAACTATCGGAGAGGCGCCCAGGACTTTTATTTGCGGAGCCTCCATTATTACCACCCGTCATTTCCTAACCGTGGCTGTATGTGTGTACACTACAACACAGTCAAACCGGTAATTCAGAAAGTTTCTACTTCTATTACTGTTTTTATTTTATCGAATAATAAAAACGAACGATTGACACTTGTAAAAAAAAATCTCATATCATCAATAATTTTGAATTGTCGATAAGCAAAGAATGAACACAATGTTTTTTGCATAAACTAATTGATTATTATATTTATTTTGTAGTTTTCTTCGAGGGACTGTAGGATCTAATCGTGTAAATTCTCGTGGAACACATTATTCTTTTGATCGTGTTATAATTCATGATAAATTTGACATAGATACTGGCAAAAATGACATTAGTATCCTTGTGACATCGTCCGTGGTAAAACTAAGTAAGACGGTACAACCTGTTGCTCTAAACTTTGACTACATACCACCCAAAGTTGCTGCTATCGTCAATGGTTGGGGATTATTTGTAAGTAATTGATTGCTGCGATATTATAATTTAACGATTTATTACATTTTAAAATTGTATGGATCTATGGACTAACGCTACGATTGCAAGGGAAAGCAAAATTACGCTTGAATATGACAATAAGGACCCAGGGGTTTAGTGGTTATCCAGACCCGGGTTGACAACCGTATGACTACCCCCATCATTCTCCTGCAAAAGAGCAAACAAGGTCCTTGAATAAGCGAAAGTAAAGCAAATTAAATTTGTATTTAATATTATAATATGATCCCACAACTAAATGCATTTGCATTAGCATAGGCATAATCTATTATAAATTATCCCAGATATAACACGACATTATGCGATTTGTGAAACTTTTAACTGATATTACGTATATAAGCGATTTAAGATTTAGTATGTATCCCAAAACACAATAATAACATTAAAACATTGTTCTGTTATGTTTAACATAACATTGAAATAAAACAGATGTAATAAAAAAATGCATACATCTTTGAAGTCTTATCGCTAGAAAGCGATAAAAATTAAGAGACCTTAAAGAAATCTCTTAAAACTAAATAATTTTATAAAAAAATCATTTTTTATACAATTACTAGAAGACCTGGCGAACTTCGTATCGCCCTATAATCAATAAATATCTATTACGTTTTTTTATTTATATTTTTGGAGTTTACCTGTGTTTTGAAGTGCGACAGAAGGATTAATATATTATTTAGTTGTCAAATCTAATGTCAAAAAAGAACGTTTGTATGGGAAATAGAAAAGGGCTGTTTTTATGGTTTTCCCAGTTATGAATAATTTTTTTTCAGCTTTTATACCTTCCCTGAACCTCCACGAACATTTCAAGACTAAGATAAGATAAATCCGTTCAGCTGTTCTCGAGTTTTAGCGAGACTAAGGAACAGCAATCCATTTTTATATATATAGAAGATAGAAGATGAAGACTTAAATCTTAGTACGCCCATACATTAACAAGGATAGATTTGTTATAAACAATTTGACACTTCGCTGACAATTTTTGCTGTAAATAAGCTGTAGTTGAGCTCAAATAGATTAAAAACAATTATTTCAAATACACTTAGTGGCTAAATGGTTGAGATAACAAACTTTTTCTTACACTATTGGTATAATAATTCATATCAATTATCCCTTTGTAGCTAGTAATGGCACATAGTACGGTGTTTTTTCAGAATCTTACGACTTTCGTCGCGCCAATCATGTTAAGGGAACTTCAAGTAAACACAGTTGATAGCAATGAATGTGCAGCAGAAATAGCTGATCTGGCAAAAAAAGTCCACTTCGATGCCCACCACGTACTTCCAGAACTTGAAATTTGTGCATTTCACAATGCGACAAGTGGAATTTGCTTAGTAATTTTATTATTATTTTCTGTCTAATTTATTTTAATTGCCCTGAAGTAGTCTTCAAATTTGGAACATTTTTGGAAACGTGTCAAATTTGCAGACTACTAAACGACTTTGACAGAACTTGTTAAACATAATTTTAACAACTGTCAAAGTCTTAAATGGTCTGAAAATGAAAGTTATTATAAAATTACAATTCACTGCATTTCATTTTTGCAAAAATGTTCTAAAATTCAATGAAGGTAATGAGTTTTATATTTCAGGGTGACGCAGGTTCGCCATTGGTACTTAAAGAAAACAGACAGCTGATTGGTATGGTGGCTTGGTCCGTACCTTGCGCATTGGGTGTACCAGACGTGTATACACGAGTTAGTGCATTCAAATCCTGGATACAAAAAAATACAGTTCTATAGAGTTTTCACTACTTAAATTTATATTTTTCATGTGTTTTATACAATGAAAAAAATTATGGAATTATACAACTTTTTGCAATAAATTATATAAGTAATTATTGAACTCGATGCCTTTTTAAGTCCTTTATATGTTTTCTTTCGTTTTGACTGATCTGAAATACTTCATTATCAACATACATTCTCATATAAGATAAATCATATTATTATATCTTGAATTGGTAATATAATAAGTAAAACCTTCCCTAGCTATAATAAACAATAATAACGGTAAATAAATTTAAAGATTGTTCACGTGTTATACGTTTAAAATGTAAAAAAAAAATTCAAACTTTTTTTATTGATACGATAATGACATATTACTGATTGTAATGGCAATGTTATTGTTAAGTTTATTTATTATATTGTTATCGAAAACAAATATTTTAACACCGTAAATGAACATTATTGTTATAGTCGATAATAAACTCTAAATTCCAAATATTCATATATACCTATATATTAGTAGATTATAACCATATATTTCTGTGATTGTGACTATAGAGTGACAAAGTGAGGGCGAAGGCGGTATATTGTTTATGGTTTCTTAGTTCCTCATAGATCAAGTACTGGTATATAATATAGTGAGGATTTCTAAGATTGAAGTATTCAACGATGACTCAAACATTCCAAGGATAGCTGAGATTGAGAAATTAGTTTTTTTTTAGTTTCCTAGTGTTTATTAGACGTTTAAATAATGTCACATTTAATACAATCAGCTATTTATTTCAATATTATCTATCATCTATATAGTGTCTTGCGATATGGATCTATTCTATGACACCAAAATATCCTGCTCCTAAGTACACGTTTTGGACGAAATTCAAATATAAATGCTTAACGTTTTCAGAAACAGAATTATGATTTCCAAAATCTCGGTTGCATCAAACATCCTGACCTATTGAATTCATATATTTGTTACAATTACAGCAATATATAGTGTTGATTTCGAATGATAAAGTTTATTTGAGCTTGTTCGTATATACTTAGATCTTCTTTTTGACCCCAACGCAAAAACGACAGTGTTATAAGTTTGAGGTGTCTATGTGGGTGTCTGTCTGAGGCAACGTAGCTCCTAAACAGATTATTAAATTTTAATGCGGTTTTTTTCGCTTGAGAGATATATCCGTCGAGTGTTCTTAGCTATGTTTGGTGGAAATCGGTTCAGGTCTTCAAGGTTATCAGATCGTTTGTTAGGTGTTATAGGAATGTTACACGCACAGTGCTTGCAAGCATATGGGGATCTAACATTTGAAACACTAATGTCTTCTGGACCCACTGAGCTGATCTGCTGTTAGGGCTCGAAGTTAATAGACGTAACCCTGGACTTGCTTTTAGTAAACACATCGAGTTTGGTCTCGTTGAATTTGTCTTGAGTGGTTCTCTTTGTTTCTAATTGGGTCGGGGGTTTTAGAAAAAAATTAATTACCTTCCATGTGATATAAATATAATTTATATCACATGGAATTTTATCGGATGCCTATTCTTAAGTTTGGATTTATTACCACTTCAGAAAACATTCTTAGTCTAATTTTAAAATAATACATCGATAGTATTATGTATAAAAGCTGTTTTTTTTATGCCAAACATTTATCCGCACTGGAATCATGGAATATTTGAAAATGTCAACCTTTGTATTTGTTGTACGAATTATAATCTTGAGTACTGTGGGGAGAAGCTTAAAATTTTATACTAAAATATTTTTAAAGATGTCAATGAATTTTATAGAGATTACTGATAGTAATTTTGAGTCACTTCGTTTAAGAATGCTATTTGTATATATTATTGAACGTTTTTGATAGCTTCCGAAATAGATTCAAGCTAATATTTTTGTGTTTCATAGACTCTAGTCTAGTATAATAGGTCTATCTAGTGTTTGGGGATTTTGAAAAATTTTGCTCCTGTTATTATTCCCTTCCATGCTCGAAGTTTGAAATTGCTCACAATTCTTTCCGTGGCAATCAATTAGGTTGCTTTTGAATTAAACTATCCTATATTAATGCCTCATTATTTTAGTTTTTTTTTTTAATGTAAAAAGTTTCAAACGAGCAGACGGCCCACTTGATAGTCAGTAGTGACCGTCGCCCATGGACATCCACAACATAGACGTTGTGGATGCGTTGCCAACCTTACTTGTGGAGGAAAAGGGAGGGGTGGGAATAAGGAAATATAAGGAAAGGTTGGAAACAGGGAAAGGGCAACCGGCTCTAAAATTCCGGCTGATTAGAAACTAAATTTCCATTCCATTGTAGAACATCAATGTAGGTTCATATGTAGGTATATATAACAAAATACAACCCGATATTTAGTCTATCGTATGGAAAATTATTTTTATTAAAAAGGATTTAATCTTAAAATCTTAATTAGTGAATGGGAATAATAATGGAAAATAAATAAACGCCAACAGGATGTGCAAGTATATATTTAATTGGAATTTTCTTATTAACAAACATAACCAATATATGGATAATACACGGACAGACAGATAAATACCTTAAAGCACAATATTTATAAACACTAAAACAATCGTGAAAAAGTAGCAGGAATGAATACGCATTTATTTATGTTACAGACAGTATTATGACCAAAAATTGCTCAGGTTTTAGCATCGGCTGCTTGAGGAGCTTCTTTTTCTTTATCCCTATTACACAATCGGCTGTAATGCGACACGTGATAGGTGGCTTAAAAAAATTGAGACCACGCATTAGTATAAAAAAGTTACCTTATTAAAGAGAAATTATTGATAAACTCTTAAATAACATACCATGTAATCGTGAGAATTTATTGCATGCATAAATTACCCCTTGTATAATATATACAAAACTTAATTATATTTACAAATAGTATTTAATGTTAAACATTTACATTTGGAAAAAATGTAAATATGTATAAAGAACAACAAAACATACATACATACGTCACATAATATATGACGTAGTGAAATTACTTTCAAAATCACTTATGTGGATAGATATATAGAATGCTATACATACACGGTCATTGAAGATTTCATACACAAATAGCCAATCTTCTAAGTAATCACACACACATAGACAATCCTCCTAGTTATCACACACACACATAGCCAATCTTCTTAGTAATCACACACACACACACATAGCCAATCCTCTCAGTAATCACACACACACACATAGCCAATCCTCCTAGTCATCACACACACAGACACGCGCCCCTCTACACACGGAGCGCGTGACGCGGTCCCCCCCGGATCAGCTGATCAGTGACCGTACCGCGGACACGCCCTCCGACGATAACGTCGTGTCGCAGAGTGTCGTGTCGGTCACGTCACGCAGCACGTTACGTGGTAGCGAGTAGTACACGAGATATGACGTCAGAGCTCGCTTCGTATCGTCGTCGCAGCTCCACTTTCTACTGCTGGGTAGGCCTAAGTACTTGCGGAGGTACGGCGTGATCTTGGGCTCCCACTTGTCTAGTATCGATAATACTTTCTGTTTGATCGCCATCGTGAACTCGGTTGATATGAGCGGCTCGTTGTGCTCGAGGTCGTCTATATTCATCTGGCTGGTGGTCCGTTTGTTGTGGTTCTCTATCTGTGAGAGCAGTATCTTTATCTGCCACATGTTGTACGCTGAGGGTTCGGTCTTCATTATTTTTATTATCTGAAAATAAGATTGGTTTAAAGTTATGTTAGTCAACTATTTCCCATCTATAGATTATGAATGCTTAGTTTCTATAGTGACGCAGAGAAAACACAGTAAAAGTATTCAGTTAATATAAAAAAAATTAAGAGTATCTAAAAATTTTCTAGAAAGCATGGATAATTTTTATGGCTTATTTAAACAGGTTTTTATGAATACTCTTTGGTTAAAACCATATATAATAGCAACAGAAAATGATTCTACCTCAAATTGATCAGACTGGTAGAAATAATTCATAAATAAATATTAACTCACAAAAACCTAACCGATAAACTAAATCAACAACCTTACTATAGGTGTCAAAATATATTGCACAACCGAATACATTTCAACTACCAAACTAAAGTAATAAATTCATTAATATATGAATATAACCTTCAAGAACGTCGTCCATACAGGCAGAGCACACATCAGATCTTTAATAACACATTCATGAGCCACCATACTTAGTCCAGCCATGAACTCCTTCTCCTCATCACTGTACTGTCTACACACACATATCTTCGGAAGCGCTTCGTTCCTTTTCTTCTGGAACAAACAATCTCCGCAGACCTCGTTGGCTAAGTCTTTATATAAGTAGTGCTTCACGAAGCAGCGTACTCTCTCATCAGCAGTGAAGAGTTGTATGTGATCGTGAAGCCAAGGGCTTGCATCCATAGTGAGAGTTTGTGCGAGTATGGATAGAAATCCGTCAGGGTCGTCCACGTATGACAGCCGGCCGGCGCGCTGCTTGATATCTATACACCATGTATATTGGAGAAATGTTCTGGAAGATACATACACTACAGTTAGAACATTGATTTAAGTACAAAAATGGACTAAAAACTAAATTATTAGTATATTGAGAGTTGACATACATTATATGTATGAAATAAGATTTAAGTCAGTGGTGGCCTAGTTGTTAAAAGGCCCGCCTCTCAAGCATGAGGGCGCGGGTTCGATCCTAGCCCTGGCAAGTACCAATGTGATTTTTCAGAGTCATATGTACTTTCTAAGAATATTTAGACATCACTGATTAATGCATTCCCAAAGAGGGTTGATGTCAGGCAGGCCGGTCGTAAAAACAAACAAAACTATTCACAACATGTAACGCAGATCCTGGCTATAGCTGGGAATTCATTAATCAGTGATGTCTAAATACTCTCAGAAAGTACATATGACTCGGAAAAATCACATTGGTACTTGCCTGGGCTAGGATCGAACCCGCGCCCTTGTGCATGAGAGGCGAGACTTTTAACCATTAGGCCACCACAGTCAGATATATTGTAACACATTTGTTGACTTACTTCAATTGACCCCAGTTGTGATCTCTATGGAAGGTGATGGGCCAATATCTGGGGTCCTTTATTTTGACCTCTCTGAGTGAATCCAGCTCTGGTATTATACAGGGTGCTTTCATTTCTTTAATAGCGCCTTGCAGGTCTATAACCTAAAAAATAATAAATAAATATAGTAAGGAACTTCTCAAAAAAATAAAATAGAAGCAGTGCGTTAGTAAGTGACTTTCTGATCACAATTGTTAGTACATATTGTGTTAGCAATTTATGGCTATTTTAAGGATATAACTCTGTTAGTAATTTATTTTGATATACTGCTGTTTGCAGTTCATTATTTTGTTTCTGAATTTACCATTCATATCTGGTAATTTTAATTAAAATCTCATTGTGAAATGTCATAATTTATCTTTTTTTTTACAAATTCAACCAAATTTCGTTAAATAAAATATAAATATAAAAGAAGTACATGTAATAAAAAATATAATCTTTTAAGAGTTCTTATAAATTATACAGATAGATGATAAATAGACATTATTGTACAGAGTTTAACAGCATAGGACACTGACTGCATTAAATATATTCTGAGCTTTAAACTACCAAGAGATATAAAAGATTTTGCCTTATACTAAAAGCGGCTAAGAGGAATAAAGGATAATTATTGTTAGGACATACAAAACTACACAAACTTCTAATAAGAATAAATAAAGTATAGCCAAAAATGAATAATATCATAACACACACATGCACGCTTACTTTCACACACACACACATATACATACATACACACACTCTTATATACCTGTATGTGTGCATAACATAATTTTCCTGTGTCCAAATCCCGAGGTAGTATTAGTCTGGGCTCCACGGCTAATACGTAGAGGTGACGGAAAGCTTGTAAGTGATATCTGAAATAATCAGAAAATTTCTTATACTAACACTGTAATTTTAAGTTCAATAATATGTATTTACGTTTTAACTTTATCCATACTAAAATGTAATCCGTGAATAATGTTCTGATGGTATCTGATATGTATTTATATTTTAATTTCACTTGATATGATATAAGTTAACGAGATTTAAATAAATTAAAACTCTTAATCTATACATTTTAAGCAAAAAATTATATGTTTTGGATTAACAGATAGTATACTTTAAGAATTTTATATATATTACAAATTAACGCGAATCCATTGTAAGAAAAGTATAAACTTTATAACTATATAACATCTCATCTTCGTGATCACGGTTGCTGCAAAGTAATCGAAACGTCGGGAGTATGTAGTATAAAATAATAAAATACGCGTAGAAATCCGAATATATATGAGTATCATTGTAATGAATACTCACGAAAGTCTTAGATCTCATCTATATATATAAAAGAAAGTCGTGTTAGTGACTGCACTTATAACCCAAGAACGGCTGAACCGATTCAGCTGAAAATTGGCAGGGAGGTAGTTTAGAACCAGGAAATTGCAATAGGATACTTTTTATCCCGTTCGACAGCATTCCCGTGGGACTTGACATGAAACGTAAGTCATTATAAAACGTGGAATAACACAATTGACAGCAATGCAATTAACGTATAATGACAGATATGTAATGACGTATGGGTGACAATTAGATATTTGTAAGAAATCTACTATATAAAAATAAAAATATTTAGGTAATGTGTTTGTTGTTTGAACTCTTAAAACCATTTAGTATTTGCGGGATAAATTTAGAAAATCATTGTTTTTCACATGGGCGTTATATTTTGCGTGTTCACGAGTTTGGAAACCATACGCTTAATTTGTGTTAAAGTTAGACCAAAAAACAAAAAAATGTGGTTTACAAACGAGCACTTCAATGAAACGGATAATTTGCGGACACGTATAACGCTTCGATTCGGTATCTACTTTGGATTCACTTTCATTTACTTAGAGAAGTTCAACTAAATAACACTTCATTTTTGTAATCTAAATGAATTCATTACTGTTGTGAAATGAAATAAAAATGTTCCTTTTCAAATATGAAACAAAAAATTGTTCATCTTTTAATCACCAAACGAAATGTTATATAAAAGCCTTCTGGTGGCGAAACGGAGTTCGCCAGGTTTACTAGTTATATATACTATTAAGTTTTTTTTTGTATTTATGATTATTAAAATTGAACTGTCGTTTATAGTACCTGTTGTCTTCGCTGTGTGTCGGGAATTTGGGGAAGAATGCTGCTATAAGAGCCGCTGTCGCCTCGGGGGAACGAGACAGAGAGACGCGACACCCACCCAGGAACAACAGACCGACACACATGTGGACCGCCATCTTGATAAACAACAGATAATAAAATAAAACTCACTTACAGATGATAAATGGATAAATCCAGAGATCTAGTACATGTTATAAAAATAAGTCTTATAAATATCAATACATAAATGTTGAATCGTTGATAAATATTTAAAAAAGTAGCTAATACACAAAACATATTATTTAGTATATGTACCCACTTTTTATTTGAATAGATATATTTTAAACGAAAATAAGTTTTTTCACCAAACCCTGTCACTTTATCCGCTTATGATAGCGGTTGCTGTAAAGTACCCAAACTTTGGAAGTCTGTAGTTTAAATAATTAAAATCGCGTAGTCAATCCGCAAAAATGAGATTTATTTCTGTAAATACTCTCGAAAGACTTAAATATGATAACATATTATGAAAAAAATAAGCTAATATAGACAATACAAATAATTAAGGACCTAACATCTCGTAATTATTACCTAAATCGGGATAAAATACCAAACATACTCATCGATACTTTTTCGTAATATTGGCAGAACATAATAGACCAGTTCTCATTGATCAAGAAATCGATTAATAAAGAAATTCTAACATTTCACACTCAGAGACTATGTATGATCCAAATATAGTGGACGATATAAGTATTTGCATGTACTTATATATTATTACCTGAGCATGTACTTATATATTGTACTTATATATTATTACCTGAGCTCCGTGAGTGAGAGGCGCCACAGTGTTAGCGACACGCGCCGCCGGCACTCGCACACGCAGGCGACGACACACACGCAACACTGATAAATCACCGCGACCGCACATAATCTGTTAACAGTATTTAGTACTTTATCTTTTAATAATCCTGCTAATATTATAATTGCGAAAGTTTGTGAGTGTGAGTGTATGTTTGTTACTTCTTCACGCTCAAACGGCTGAACCGATTTTGATCTAATTTTGTATACAGGAAGCTGACGTCCAGGAATAACACATAGGCTACTTTACATCCCGGAAATCGGCGGGTAACACCGCGGGGCGCAGCTAGTTAATAATATAAAATAGCCTATTATTCTAAGTAACTATTGAATTTATTACAGATTATTCATTTATAAGCTTTGTAGTTACGGTAAGTTAAAAAACACCCACACACACACACACATATATATATATATATATATATATATATATATACACATGTGTGTGTGTGTGTGTGTGGGTTCTCTCTCTCTCTCTCTATATATATATATATATATATATATATATACAGGGTGACTGGTGAATTACTATCGATATTTGAGGACGTGATATTTGACGATCATATATGACGAAATAAAAATTAATATAACATAAATATTAATAAACTTCTAAGTAAAGTTAACCAAAAGTTATGTAATTAATTACGCATCGTGTGAACACCCTACAGATTAGGTATACACTGACACTCACACATACGCGTGTCGTGACGTAGTGTTGTATCAGCACGCCGCCGCACGCGTCCACACTTGAACACTTGGAACGTGTCAACACTTTACTTATTTATACGGAAATTTTGTCAAAAATTAAGTGCCTATTTTTTTTACATAATTCGAATGAGAATCATGTACCGAGTATTCTCCTTAAATATTGATAGTAATTCACCAGTCACCCTGTATATATAACCTTTCAAAAGTCTGGGATAAAAACTATCCTATGTTATTTCTCAAGATCAACTCTATCTGTACCAAATTTCATTAAAATCATTTCAGCGGTTTAGGCGTGAAAGCGTAACAGACTGACAAATAGACAGAGTTACTTTCGCATTTATAATATTAGTAGGAATATATATATATATGTATTCCCAAAAGTGGGTTGATGTCAGGCAGGCGGCCGGTCGTAAAAACAAATAGCCAAAACTATTCACAACATCTAAGGCGGACCCTTGTTTTAGCTTGGAAATTGCCAGGTAGAAGAAGATGATATACAGGGTGACTGGTGAATTACTATCAATATTTAAGGAGAATACTCGGTACATGATTCTCATTCGAATTATGTAAAAAAAATAGGTACTTAATTTTTGACCAAATTTCCGTATAAATAAATAAAGTGTGGACACGTTCCAAGTGTTCCAAGTGTGGACGCGTGCGGCGGCGTGCTGATACAACACCACGCCGCCGCACGCCTGTGTGTGTGTGTGTGTGTATACCTAATCTGTAGGGTGTTCACACGATGCGTAATTAATTACATAACTTTTGGTTAACTTTACTTAGAAGTTTATTAATATTTATGTTATATCAATTTTTATTTTGTCATATATGATCGTCAAATATCACTTCCTCAAGTATCGATAGTAATTCACCAGTCACCCTGTATATATTTATTAGCCAATAAATAACTAACTAACCATCCCAGCCGCCAATAAACAAACACAAGTGCAGGCCTCCAATGTAGAAGGTCCCACAAGGTCAGCTAATGGCTTCCCTCCAAGTCTTAACAATCGGTCCGCGAAACACAACGTGACGTCACGAGCTTCCTCATCTCCAGTACCGGCGAAACGAAGACCCAGAGCGAAACACGCGCCCGCTATTATATTACAATAGGCTTGGCTATATGGAAAAAATATAAAAAGTATTAGGTTCAAACATAATTAGGTATAAATGAAACTAATATTTTCGGATTTTATTTTTGATTACAAACTACATACTTCGGTTTCGGCTACTTTTCAGCAACCGTGATCACGGTGTGTAGTTTGTAATCAAAAATAAAAAACGCGAAGTAAAATCAGAAAATATTAGTTTCATTTATTTAAACGAGTACTCGCGAAAATCTTAGATCTAATTAGTTATAGTTATAGGATAGTATTATCACTTTGACGATACAAAATTTAGTGATTAGTAGTAATTCAATGTAATAGATACACCAAAAAATGGAATTGGATAGATTAACATCATCAATTCACCAACATATTAGTTTTATTTAAAACTAAATTGATAATAATAAATTAATATTATGTTCGAGTTATGTCTTTGTAAAAATCCAGTCGATATGAATCTTTTTTATGATGTATATAGTTTTCCACCCGCGGCTTCGTTCGCGTCGAGTTCGGTTATATCGCGTTTCCAAGAGAACTTTTCAAAAGTCTGGGATAAAAACTATCCTGTGTTCTTTTTCAAGGTTAATTCTATCTCTGTACCAAATTTCATTAAAATCAGTTCAGCGGTTTAGGCATGAAAGCGTAACAGACAGACAGAGTTACTTTAGCATTTATAATATTAGTAGAGATTAGAGATAACTTACTTCATAGCTTCGTAATCAACATTTTCTTCTACGGGTTTAACGAAGCAGTATTTCCGTATAGATTCAGCGACTTGATTCTCAACCCATTCTTCAGTCGGCTCTATGTCGTCCCATAGAACAAGACCTGGAATTTATAAACATTATATATCAATAACAGTTTTAAGTATGTATTTTCTCATAATTCAACTTGTTTCATCTTAACATTCAATATTAGTTCACCTATTAAGTGACAAAAAATAATCAAAAAAGGTTTAAGAATCTGAAAAACAGACCAAAATACATGATCGTTTCTATATATGTATGTATAACTGTCTTCTTTCTATAACTGTATATAGTCCAGTCATTTAAGCTTAAATTAGGTAAGAATCTCGGAATTCGAGATACCCAGCTGTAAGTCTGTAAATAGTTGTATATTGACATCCTAAAAGTTGTCTCAAAACCTACATATGGTAGGGTGTAAGCAACACTTAAATTTCAAGTTCAAAGGTCACAAAAATCGGTTTATTGCGCTTTTTTTGGAAATATCTCATTTGCTATGGGTTTTTTGCTATTTGTATTTATTATCAATATTGTAGAATACTAAATTCTCTACAAATTTTGTTTCAAAAATTTTTTTATACGGTGAACCGTTTTCGAGATAGAGGGCGGAGAGCGCGCGGTCACCGCATCACTTCAGGTCAACCGGTGCCTCCGGTCGAAAACGCGCCATATATAGTTGATGAACTATTAATAAATCAATGATTATAAATATTTGTCAATTTTTATTAACCATTATACTATATTTTATCATTTTCTTCATGCATTAAATCTATATCTATTCAATAATACTGATAACCGTTTACTAAAATTAAAAAATAATTAAGAGAAAAACTTAAATCATAATATAATTATATTCCCAATATCGTTGAAGACGATAATGAAGATCAGTTTGAAATTTACCAGCAGCCAGAAGACGACGATGAAGACGAAGAAGATGTTTAAAATTATAAATTGTAGTTTTTGTACCCTTTATTCCATTTTGTTACTCTCAATAAAAAATAATTTATGATATTTTTTAATAAAAAGATTAATTCATAATTTATTTGTTTTTTTTTCATCATGTAAGAAGTTATTAATATTAATTAGGTTAAAATTAAAATATAATTCTTATATTTTCATTAACAATTCTGCAATTACATGGACAGGTAAGTGTTGTTAAATAAATTAATACTGAATAAAAAGTGGATAAGTTAGGAAAAAAATGATAAAATATAATATAATAGTTAATAAAAATTGACAAATATTTATAATCATTGATTTATTAATAGTTCATCAACTATATATGGCGCGTTTTCGACCGGAGGCACCGGTTGACCTGAAGTGATGCGGTGACCGCGCGCTCTCCGCCCTCTATCTCGAAAACGGTACACCGTATAAAAAAATTTTTGAAACAAAATTTGTAGAGAATTTAGTATTCTACAATATTGATAATAAATACAAATAGCAAAAAACCCATAGCAAATGAGATATTTCCAAAAAAAGCGCAATAAACCGATTTTTGTGACCTTTGAACTTGAAATTTAATAGTTGCTTACACCCTACCATATGTAGGTTTTGAGACAACTTTTAGGGTGTCAATATACAACTATTTACAGACTTACAGCTGGGTATCTCGAATTCCGAGGTGAACTTACTATAATGACTGGACTAAAGAAAAAACATAAAAATGTTAATGAATATCTAAAACTATCATATCAATCAAACGTAATATATAAATACATTCGCAAAACCAATATCCATCATCCACTCGTTCAACTTCACTTATTTATGCTAGATAGGTTAATAGAAAATACTGTCCTTTTCCATGCCGCGATAACTTTTAATTGAAACAACACTTAGCTAAAAATGTAATAACCTTTATTTTTAAAACCTATAAATGTTTTGTAAGTTGTCCTTATATAAATAAATAGAGCAACGATATCCATTCGTTCACTTCTTCAAATCATTCACTCATTCCAACCCATTCACTTACCTCTCGCAATGACCCTCAACATGAGCAGATCAGGTCGCACATAGTCCAACATGTAGGCTGTATGAGGCGGCGCCAGTAGGTCAGCGACAGCGGTGCTCCCGGAACGAAGATACAGGAGCCCTAGGGCTACGGTCGCGCCTGGTGACGTCACATCCAGGTTCACTGCCCCCTCGCGGACCGCGAAGGAACTATTCTTGTACTTCTCTTTCTGTGAACCTGGGAATTAAAGAATGCAAATGTGTTCATAAATAGCAAATAAGGTATTATCAATATAGAAGATAGTCCATAGTCCAGTAATGTTAAGCATTTTAAACCCCAATGGTAGGATTTTGTCCTATAGTTTCTGTATGAAAAATTATAGTGCCAAAGAAATTGGTCTGTAGTCAGTTAAAAAAATTAAGTACTATTTTTCGATAATATGCAAAAATTCAGCTCACTAGCAATTTTGTCTCAGATAAAACTTAAAATGATTGGTCTCCCAAGGTTCCTCATAAATATCTTTGTTAATTAATGAACCCAATAAATTTAATGCATGGCCAATTTAGCTTGAGCCACAGATGACTTTTCAGTTCTGTACGAGATACGCTCGACATAATTATGAAATCATGTAAATGCACGTATCATAATTTTTGTTCTGTTACAAAATCTCAATAACTTATAATTTAATTCAGTTCGCATTCTATCACCAAGCATACCGGGCGTTGTCATTAATCAAAGATCAAACAATTTACAAGCAGTATGTATCAATTTACATGTATATCATTATATTAAGTGTACAAGCAAGTGATCGACGTCATCAGCCTATCAAAGCCCACTGCTGTAAGGCTTCTTCTCACATGGAGAAGGTTTGAGCATTAATCACCATTGCTCAAGACGGGTTGGTAATTTCAAACTTATAATTGTGATATAAGTCAAGGTTTCCTCACGATGTTTTCCTTCATCTGTCAGTGGTGTCTAAATACTCTTAGAAAGTACATATGACTCAGAAAATCATATTGGTACTTGACAGGTTTCGAACAAGTACCCTCATGTACGAGAGGAGGTCCTTTAACCTGTAGGCTACCACGACCTTATATATAAAATAGAGGTCATTGTTAGAAATACATGTATAATATAAAAAAGAATGAAAAAATTCATGTCAGTGATGTCTAAATACTGTCAGAAACTCTTGTACGATCACTTCTTCTTCTTTCAAGCCCTTTGTTACTACCTTGGCTCCGTTCTCCTCCTAACATGTAGGTCCTCAGTGCGGGCGCTAAATGCGCTAAATGTACAGCGGGCGCCGCTCGCAGACACACCATACCCAAAGCTAGACCCGCTGCTAACGCATACCCTTCACGTTCAACGCAATTTTCCATCTCCGGCCCGGGAGGCTTGCCTGAAAAAACATTATTAAGATTTAAATTTAATTTAAATTCATAGCCCAACATTGTTTTTAAGTAAAAAATATAAACAAATATTCAAATGATTGTAATACTACTGAGATTTACTCGCGAGTATTCATTTAAATGAAACTAATATTTTCGTATTGCTATGCTTTATTTTGTTATTTTTAAAAACTCGCGACGTTTAGATTATATTGCAGCAACCGTGATCACGTGATTAGTATTAGTTTAATTGAACACTACTTTTTGTTAGTAACTGCGTCCGATTTGGTTCATATATGGTGTTCAGAAACAAAACGTAATGTATGTTCTTAATGTAATAATAATAGATATGATGAGCCAACATCAGCGTAACTTATAATCTGTGTCACATAACTTCATGCTTTATACAATCAATACAATGTACTTCTACAATGTAAAACTACAATATTAGGACCTCCGATCAAAATATGTTCAGTAAATTTTACGTGAAATAGCAACAAATAGCCAATGATCCTGAAAAACTATCGAATTTTTAATAATAGGAGATCAAGCAGTGATTGTTATTTTGTATCAAGGTGAAAACAGCTTTTTGCTAACAGATCAAACAATAGAATTTTACATGCCTCAAATATCTCTAATGGATAAATGGAGTTTAGTTTCAGTGATATAGCAATAAATAATGACAAATTTTTCTTCCACGGAATCTCAAGGCCGGTTTAAGGCTAGCCACAAATTGATATTACATGAAAACACCTGGATAATTATATTTAATAAGTCATAACATTAATAATTAATACTATCCGTGTCACGATATACCGTAATAAAGACTAGAAGACATAATTCACTCAAATGTGGGATTTCAATTATTTAATTATATAATATGTATATAATAACAAAAAAGCTGATATTATTCGAGGATATTATTCCAATAGTAATAATTAATATTAACCGATCTCAGCTAGCAGTACTCGTGCGTAGTGCGCATGCGCTGTTCCCTGGTACAAAAGCCCCACCCCCAGCAGAGCTGCCACTAGTATGCCCTGTTGTATGTCCAGTTCTACAGAGGTCGCTGGCAATAGCGGTTCCAGGTGGATAGACATCATCTTAGTAGCTTGGACGTCCATTGTACCTGGGAAAATGTTATATAAATATATAGAATTGACATTTGTAAATTAATAGCTTTAAATGTAGTTTATTTTCTTACAGGTTACTTAAATTTATTTTTATTGTGAACCTAATATAGATTTTCTTACAGAGAAACCCGTTAATGTTTAAATGTGTCACCTAGTACGAGATCCCACTGCAGGATTGGTGTGTTCATCGGTTATTTGTTTAAAACCAAATTTTAATGTTTATTTATATTATATACAAAACAACAATGCAAATGTAAAACGTTGTTTATTACGAACTCCAAAACAGCGTGGTTTTCATGTTAGAATAAAAGTGCCGGATCTGTTGAGTTGAGAACACTAACCATCGACGCATGCGCAATGACTTAAAAGTGTCGCACAGCTGTCGCATTTAATAAAAAATAATGGCGGGCAAATTTTGATAGGCACCCTAGTAAATATATGTCCTCCTAACTATAAATAAACATAAAAATTTGGTTTTAAACAAATAACCGATGAACGCATTATTCCTGTGGTATTATCTTAGACTAACCCAAATTACGATATTATGTCATATATATCATGGAAATAACAAAATAAAATATAAACCAACCTCTATAAGTAGCAGCCAATCCCAACAGTAATCCAATACTGATCATCTCATGACATTTGACGAGGTATTCATACATATTCATGAAGGGCATGTCCTTCAAATGACCATTCAAACCCAGCGCTAGGAGAAAACCAGCGTGTTCTGTTGTTAAGTCTTGAGCACCCTGGAATAAGATGAAAATTATTTAAAAATGCGCTACATATATTTAATAATGACATATATGTGGATTTAAATATGTAAATTGAGAAATATTTGGCAGCAGTTGATTTGTTATTTAATCTATTGTCCTGTTTATTGAGTGAATTCAACCTAAGAATTAATTATTTTTACCTAAAGTAAAGAAAGCAGCAGTAATAATTATGATAAAAACGAAATAAACTCAAAGGATTTTTGTCCTTGAAATTTTTTTCATTAAATTTATATGCTATTCGAACACTGTTTCTAGTATCTCTAATGTATATATAGATAATAAAAAACTTAATAGAGCAAATGTTTTATAAATACTTGGGTATAATTATAGACTCATGTATGAAATGAGATTATCATATAATAGAGCTGATTAAGAAAATTAAGTACTTTGTTTATGTTTTTTATAAGCTGAGTTTAATTATGAATGTGAAAACTTTGAGAATAATTTATCAGGCCTTAATTGAAAGTGTAATTAATTATGGTATAAATGCTTGGGGTAGTGTATATAGCAATGTATTAAATTCATTAGTCAGAATTAAAAATAAGGTAATTAAAAAAATTAGCAGTGAGTTTGTCCTGGGAGTTAAAAAATCATTTATAATTAGTTCTATCATGCTGCACTATGATGAATGTACGAATAAATATTGTAATACAGTGGTAAACACTAGAAATAACTCAATTTCATTACCAAACAGAAATAGAACTATCTCGTAAAAGAGTACTCGTTATGTTGCAGTTAAATATTATAACGAACTCCCAAATAACCTAAAAATGTTAGTTTGTAGTAAAAAATTTATTAAAATAAAACTGTCCAAGTGGATAAAAAACTTTGATGTTGAACTATGAGTTCATGTAGTTTAATAAGTTATTGTATTTTTAAGTTTTGAAATCTTTGTAATAACATATTGAATAGTATTGTCTGTGTTGGATGTATCAGCCAGTCCTACATACAGATGGAAATCATCACTGTAGGACAGATATTCTTGTTTAGTAAATTACATGTATACAATACATGTCATTTACTCTGTATATTTCTTTTCGAGATATCTGTAATTTTTACTGGTAATAAAGATTATTATATTATTATTATCATTATTATCTCTAATAAGGATATCCATATTTTGTTTATTAGCTTTATATATTATCTATATTATGATAATCCAATTCACATTTTTATAAGCTTGTACTTACTCGTGGTTTATTAAACAGAATCCATGTAGATCTGATAGTGGTTCCCGTCAATGGCACTAAAGCTAGGCCGGCTGCGACGCCATTGTGGAAGGAAGGCCATAGTAGACAATGAGGGGGGGAATCCCCACCGGAAATGGTTATAGCAGCCCTACGGGGCGGAGGACCACGTCCGGTCACACACAGACGAGCGGCGGATAGAGGCTCTGTTGGCGAACAGGGAAGACTACGAAGAGTCACCATACCTCTGAAAAAATTAATATCGATAGTGAGATCTAAGATCTTCGCGAGTATTCATTTAAATGAAACTAATATTTTTCGGATGTATTACGCGATTTTTATTTTTGATAAAAACTACATACTTCCGAAGTTTCGGCTACTTTATAGCAACCGTGATCACTGGCAGAGGAGATGTGACGTGACGTCGGGAGTATGTAGGTTATATAAAAAATAAAAATTGCGTATATAGTACACCCGAAAAATATTAGTTTCATTTAATATCAATAGATTAGCTTCTTTATAAGCATATTGTATACTCTTATACAAATAAATGAATCGCCGGGGCAACATTGTATGAATAAAATATATTGCGAGTCGTGTGGACCAGAAGATTCGTGATACAACACAAGTAATGGAATGGCATTGCTATCCTGACATTGGGGCAATATGTAGTAGTATTAGGTATAAGTTTTAATATGTAATTCTTATTATATGTATATCATGTAAGTAATTTTCTTAGTTTTCCTGAAACCTATGGTTGCTGCGAAGCGGACCCTGCATATTTTATATGTAAATATTATTGTCTTGAATATAAATTACAATGAATAAAAGATTTTCATGCATGTAAAAAAATTTGGAATCTTAATAATTAATTTCTTTTAACTTAGGTATGTCCATAACTGTTATATATACTTTTTTATATACTAATACATACACAACAAAAAAGTTCAGATAGCTATTAAATAATGAAATACATAAGTATGTATTTACATGAGTATGATGAATTTTCAATTCCATAGATTACATTTTCACATTAAATGAAGATGAATCTAGGAATTGAATCAATACTAGAAAAATAATTATATGAATCAAACAATAAATGTAATTTTAATTATATACAAAAGAGTACAGAAAAATGGATAAAAGTTATATGTATATTTACCTAGCAACAGGTAATGCCGTTGTTCTAGTACTTATGGCGTACAAATATTTCTCTTGTTCCTCTATGAAATCATGATCAGATATTTCTGGTCGTTGTGTTAGATTGATGTTCACCGGTATAGAGGATTGAAGAATATTGAACACTTCTGTCATCCTGAAATGAATTTAATTAAAATAAATATACATATTACATTATACATGTAAATTTAGTATTACATATAAGTGAATCAAATAAAATATATCTATATATATATTTACATTGATAATATATACTTAATATTTTTCTAACTATTCTGGTTTTCAGTACATATCGGAAGAAAATTTTATATATAATAAACACATTTTTTATCAAAGTCCCTTTTAAATGAAATTAATTCACTATTTATTATATTGTACCTTCTCCACAATTCTTTTCTATTTTCCTCTATCAAACAGCTTTTTGGTATAAATCTCTTTTAAAAGATAAGTTATATACATCACATTTCTTTTCTTATAATATAACTATGTCTACTTTTGGTACATAAATAAATATACAGGGTGACTGGTGAATTACTATCAATATTTAAGGAGCATACTCGGTACATGATTCTCATTCGAATTATGTAAAAAAAATAGGTACTTAATTTTTGACCAAATTTCCGTATAAATAAATAAAGTTTGGACACGTACTCAGCCTTGCCGGCGCCAGTGTGTCGCTACTCCCCAACCCCCGCCCCGTGGCTAGCGGGCCATTAGTCGGCTATTAGTCGGGCGAGCGCCGCCGTAAGGTCCGTACGTTCGTCTTCCCGCGCGCACGCCTAGCGATCGATCTTACGCGTATACCTAATAATAATCTGTCGTGTGTGCGTGTGACCCGTTATTACTTATTAGTAATTATTCAATACAATAGTGATTTCAAAACTATTAAAAGTGACCCATTCGTATTAAATCGTGTGAAAGACAATATGTGTAAACGTGCCGAACTGTGTATCACACGAGAAGGAGCTCGCTTTGAACATTTGTTAAGGTTAGTGTAGTTATGTAGGTAAATAGGTAGTTTAATGATTGACAATTGTTGTAAATAAGTATGATTCCATTTTTAAATACGCCGGAAATACCAAGATAGGTAAACAGTTCATATTATTTTTTGTGTCAAGGTCACACCATTTACCTAGTCAATAAATTGGTTGCTTAAACGAAAGAAATATCTTGGTATTTTTGCCTGTCCTAAGCCAGGATTAAAGTATGAAGGGAAATGGATCATTTTTGTTTATCTAAGGTCTAACACGCGGCGGCGCGCGGCGTTTGGATGTAGGTAAACTACCGCGCGATAACTACATATACCTACGTACATAACTGTTTTGTGTCGATAACGCAGCTAGGGTATCCACGCGATCCGTAATTAATTACACAACTTTAGATTAACTTTACTCAGAAGTTTATTAATATTTATGTTATATTAATTTTTATTTTGTCATATATGATCGTCAACTACCACGTCCTTAAATATTGATAGTAATTCACCAGTCACCCTGTATATTGTATACTCGAATATTTTTTTTCAATATAATTATGAGGGATGGTAATAGGGTACTTTACCTATGATCTTTAGGGTACAGAAGACTTAATAACTTTGTATTCAAATGTTCCATTCCAGTATGTGCGTCATCTTCGCCCTTAAGAGCTGGTTCTTCATGAGTGTGAGGTAACTGAGTGTATGCTGTCTCTTTTTCTAACACTTCCAATGCTAGGGCTGTAAAAATAAACTGGATATTAAGAAAACTACTGACAATTATACAATATAGTGTCAAGTTTTAGTGGTGATGTTATTATAAATTTTCATTTACAATATAAATTCATTTGAATATATTTATACTCTTTATTAAGCTAGAATTTATATTTTTCATTTTCATATGACGTTTCGAATTTAGATACACGAATTTCATTACTGCAAACTAACCAGCATTTATTACATCTTCTCTGATTGCAAAATATAAGTCCACACAAACAAATGTGTGGACCTAGAGTGTATGAGTGTGAGTGTGTATGTCCGTATGTGTGTGTGCGTGTGTGTGTAAATGAGTTAAGCCAAATCAAGTCTCTTTATATCTATTCAAACAAATCTTACTCACACTCCATATATTCGTCCCTATCTCTGATGGCTTCCCCTACTCTTGTTTGTAGCTCCAAATCCTCTCTCATGACTAGACTGTAAGCGGCAGAGCAGCCAGGGGGGTCCGAACGGCAGTTGGAGAAGATACTCTGCAGCAAGAGTGACACCGCAGGCGGCAAGTTGTCCATATGACGGGGAGTTATACCTGAGAAATTTAAACAACAAAGTTAGAGTGAAACAGCACGATATTCATGTTACATTGGAAAGGACAGCATGCTAGTGAGGTACATTAGAACGATTAGACATTATAACATTAGAATGATAGATTAGACTGCGACGGCATGTAATTTCGCGAATTGTAGTGCATTAGAGAGAAATAGGTATATTAGTCAGGTATCAGAGAGAGACAGCATGCTACTGAGGTATATTAGAGCGACCCAGCAAGTTTTTATGATCAACTAGAGAAAGACTTCATGCAATTTCGCTTATTTTAGTGCATTAGAGAGAGATAGCCTGTGTTATTCATATGTTAGAGCGAGATAGCATCACTCACCTCTATCTACAGCGAGCAGCACAGCTTGCGAGTGTGGTCGTGGTGCGGGCGTGCGTGCTCGTGGGGTACTTGATGCACTTACTGTATCGCGCGACCCCACTGTACGGATAACGCCGGACGCTAAACCAGATGTCGATATTATCTGTATAGAGATATGATTTTATAGTGATTTCATGAACATCAATGACGTCTTTTCATCACTTATTCAAAGACAAGACAAAGAAATACCCCATGAAACGATATTAATTATTTCAGATAGGATTCCCTCGGTAATTTTGCACTCATGACTCCGAAAATATTTTTAATAGCGATTAAGCCTTTAAACTTTTGATTACAAAGAGTCAAGTTTAATGAAGTAATTTAAAGTTATTTGTAATATATGTTTTACATTGTTTTGTTTAAGCTTCTCCCTTTTTTAATTTTAAACGTATTACGATAACACATTCTCATTATGTTATTTTTATCAATATTAAGAAATGTTCTGAAATTGTTATTACATGAAATTTCTAAAAAGGTTTTTCGAACTACACTTATTATTTATTCATTATGAGTTAAATTTTAAAATTCTAATTTGAAATATTTAAACGAAACTAGATCGGATAGTACGCGTTTTTTAAATATTGTTTATCTACATAATAAATATTTCAGTTTTTATATTTGAAATATAGTTTAAGAAATTTCACTAACCTCTATAACATCTCGTGACATATTATTAACATCCGCCATATATGGATAATAGCCAACGTCTAAATCCTTCAGCATCGAGTTTATATAGCCGAAAATATTCGGCGGCTCGATAGTGAAATAGTTGAGTTGTGTCAGCTTCTTCAAAACCGCTTCGGTTATTTGAGATTCGTTTTCATCGTATTCGAAATTATAATCCATTGGAAAATCTAGCCAGTAGTGATTGACATATCTATCCAGACATAGGTCCTTCGCTATTTGGTACAAAAACGCGCTTAGAGGCTTCAAATCGCTGGATAGAAGAGTATTCAGCTTTATATCTTCATACACTAAATGAAAGGCGTAGAAGACTTGTAAGGTGTATGGAAACAATAGGCCGTTTGTGTTAAATTGGCTCGTTTTTTCGCATTCGAAGGGCTCTTTCCTCTTAGTCCTACATTGCCTCGTTTCAGCCTGTAATTTGTTCAAATTCAACATATTCGCTAGGGAGTTTCCTATTGTTTTGTGCATTTTTGAGTTCAACATGTATTCCCAATCATCTTGTGACCCATCGCTGGACGTCCTCTGCTTCTTCGTAACTACTTCGACCTGTTCCTCCTCACTGTATTTGCTTTGAGTTAGTTTTTCTACATCGTATCCTATTAATGACAGTATTAGATTCGAAAACATCATCCATTCCTGTTCAGGCGTCAAATCCTGTGTTCCCGGAGCATTGCGGACTCCGTACCACTTTATGATAACCTGAACCGATATTATATGGAATTTAATAAAATATTCAAATGAGAAAAAACAATTGCAGCTCATTCAAAATGCACAAATAATCACTAGTACATTTTTTGTTGGCATGGACCACTTTATTTACACATTTTTACAAAGCCACATGCTTCTTTACAACATCAGTTCTTATCTAATCTAATCTATGTTTGCATGTGTCTGTGCCTGCATATGCACGTGTCTGTGCATGTACATCACCTGCATAGTGATGTCCTCTGGTAATGCAGCAGTAAGTGCAGCGCAGCAGGCGGCTACCCTCGGCGAGCTGGCTGGTTGTGGGAGAGCGATGCGATACAACTGACCAGCCTCCGAGCGGACCGACATACGAGCGCCCACCGCGTCGCATAGACTTCGGACACCTGGACATATTTTATTTTATTTTTTATTTTTATTTTATTTTAGGGAAACAAACAATAAGATAAACTTATGGGATATGAATATACAAAATTACATATATCAGCTAAGTTTCCATAGGTAATTAGACACATATTATTAAAATTAAAGAAAGACTAACACACATAAAATCAAACATTAAAAACGTATACTGACGAATTTCTTCGGCAGTTATGAATAAAATCAACATAAATATCATTAAATATATACGTATAATAAGTTTAATCAAATTTTTAGCTTTATTGGGCTTATATTTGAAGTAAAATTCAAATGTAGATAGGCAATGAAATATTTAATCTAGAGATTATAACAATTTAACCATAGTGCCCTGACTCGAGTTTACAAATATGTACATCATCATCATCATCATTATTCTTTAACCGCAATATCTTCTGGGAGATGCAATCTATAAAGTTTTATTATGAATGGATAATTTTTTCACTCTTTATTTTGTATTTGATCTTAAGTTCATTTTGATACACTGGCTACGTAATGAAAGGCTTAACAGTGGTAGAACATCTTAATAGAAGTCAAGAATTTGTGGTAATTTAAATTAGATAAGTCAGACAATTAAAAACGTATTCATATAAATTAAAAAGGACAAATACTTTGATTGCTTCTAAATCTTAACTGTTCCGAATATAGGAAAGATCTGGATAATCAACATAAACTAATTATGAATTCGATGAAAACAATATCTCATTAATTATATATTTATACTATAATATTGATTATATAACTGAGGATTTGGCATAACACATCAAACAAATTTGATAATGTAAAGTTAGCATAATATATTGTTCCATTATGATATTAATTAGAACCTCATACACACATACATAAGTATAGACAAAATGAATACTCAGTGGAGTAGAATTTGGTATCACCTACTTTTGATTCTACTACAATTTAAATGTACATACATAAAGAGTGAAAACAACTGTAATTACTCACCTATATCCCTTTCACACCTGGAAGTGCTGGAATGAGGTACCGGCGATAGTAGGTGCAGCGCTGAGTCATCAAAAGAAGGAGGTTCGCGGGATGGAAGTAAACTACTGCGACGAGGAAAAGGAGACGGGAGTGACGCGCGACCTACGTGGGTGCGTTTTGTATATGGAGAATCGATTAGACGAGCGAGGATACCTCCTACGTGCACCTGGAAATAATTTTTATTTATTTATTTAACATTTTTTTGTACACCACAATTACAATCACAAACAATTACAAAATATACGAACTAATAAACTAATGGTGAAACAAAAGGTGGCCTTATGGCTTATGAGCTACCTTCCAGACTACCTTGGGTTAGAGGATTGTGTTTGAAAGACAGTATAGGGTGGTGCAATTTTAAATACTCTTAAAATAAATACAACCTCAACTCATACAAAATAAATAACAGTAATAAAAATTCAATAATATGCAATTCTATACTGGTCTCCTAAAAATTCAAATTTCTCCTTCAGATAATGAGGAGCATTTGGATTAAATAACACACAGTACAGAAGAGAAAGAGTATGCAGGTTCCAGCGAGGGTGTATAGGGAGCCAATTGAGCCACACTATAATCTCTATTGTAGGACCTCTATGTAAGAATAACTAGTCACTGGCTCACTACTATCTCCGCCTACTGCGCATGCGCACGTCACCGTTCTGCTCCGCGTTAGTCGTATGACTACCGAGCAAATGCCGCCACCTCTAGTTGGGTACGTGAGACAGTGTGATATATGTATTGTTAAGACACAAATACTACATCCATATAATGATCTAAGACTTTTACGAGTATTCATTTAAATGAAACTAATTTTCGGAATTATTATCTGTTATTCTATTGTTTTAGACTACATGCTCATGAACACGGGCAGACGAGATGAGAACTTCGATATGGTACCGTATTGCAGAATTTCCGATTTGTCAGAACTTCCCTTTTTTAAGTATGTCAACAGTCTGAATACAAAGATTGTGTTTTCTTTGTATTCACTTAGGCAGAAAACAAATAAGAGTTTACTGTTTAAAAATAGGATAAATAGAACTTGAACTATAATTTATTGATTAAAATACTCTATCTATCTATTGATTTAAATATCTCCTAAGGCTAATTTTGATATCCATTAACACAACAAAATCTCAAGCCAAAATAGCTTTTATAAATATTTGATAACTTCTGGTTATAAACTTTTTATCGGTTTCAATGTATAAATCTGACTAAAATGGACCTTCTACGATGCTATGGCCATCAAAATGAAATAACACCTCAGCTTTACCATGCTAATAGTATAGTAATATAGCTCGTGAAACCAGGTACATCCTTATTTTCGTATAATTTGTAAAGCTAAATTATTGTTTTTTTCATATTTATGATAAAAAACCAACAATTTATTTGTATTAACTGTCCTTTGACCTCGATATTATGAATTAAAGTTTAAGCAGTATATGATTTCGTGATATTAATAGTTAAAAATTTACCCGTGAGAGTCATCATTATCTCAAAGTATCACAACTTTACTTACTATATGGATGAACTTCGCTTTGAAACAATTGCAAACAAAATGTATGAATTAAATAACAAATAAAATAACAAACCTTCCCAACGAAGTTATTTCCCGACTGCAGTATAATGTTGCCAGTTTCATCAATCAGAGCGATCATTTTCAAATGATCCAACACAACTGCATCTTTTGCCAAAACGGATGATATAGAACCAACTATTATATTCGTTTTAAACGCTTGTCCATGAGAACGTGATTTTTTCAGTCTGACAATTTGGAGTCGAGTAACTCCACTCATTTTGACCATGAAGCATAAGTAGTCATGTCCGACCAAATCTGTATGGAGGAAGGCCTTTATATCGTTAGGTGACTCGACCGGATCACGCTTTATGACTTGACTGTCCGTCCAAATGTGATCCAAACATATATCAGGATATAACGGCAACGATGGCAGAGTTTGGGCCATCGTATTGGCTGCCATAGAAGTCGAACTGGCTTGACCGATAGACGTATGCGGCGATAGGCCTTGCTGGTGAAAAATTTTTGCCATTGGGCTATTTTGTCGCGATCTTGTTGGTGTGGCTGGCATTTTCTTCGAATGATACGGACTGCCGGCTGTCCAACTTGTTGTATTCCTCAAACTGTGCATTGGACTGCTGACGAAATCGCAAGATTGGCTGAATACTGTGGACGAATTCATATTTGGACACATCGCTAGGCATTCTTCGCGTACAGCTTTCCTGATCTTCCACAAGGAATGCGTTTGTAATTTCCAGTCGTACAAGAGTATTATGCTAGGCGTTGTACTGACGAAGATGATCTGAATGTCACCATCGTTGTAATATTGAAGGCCTTGGGCCGGGGATTTCATTAATATAGGCGTTACTTCATCTAATGGATGTGATAGTGAGAAGCAGGTTGGTAAAGGATATTCCTGATCGTAACCAGATATAGACTCAGCTCTCAATCTCGCGCTCATGTTCAATGGAAATGTACGAGATTTTGAAAACGTGCTGTTTTGAGATTCGTTTAATTTTAACAACGATGTAGCTAGCATGGAGTTATGTAGAATCGGTGTGGCGTCCTTTTCAAGCAACACGCCGTATTTCATAGGCCAAACTTTCTTCACTTGGAAGGGAATGCTCGCTATATACTCCCGACCGTCGGTTGCGTACACTCTCATACATTTATTATCAATCAGTAGTATTGATGGCATAACTTTGCTCTCAATGTGTTCTGTAGTATCTTCAATTTTTATATTTTTCTTGACATCTCCGATTTGTGAATTTAATGCATCTATAAGCATTGTGTTGTTAATTTCGACGTGAAAGTCTGCAAAAGTTGCATGTTTGATTGGATTGTCTATGGTATAACAGGCGATTGTCTCTCTATGCTCAGGGCCTGACAGTTTTGTAGCTGGAGTTGAAATTAAACCTGAAAATAAGCATTAATACAAATAAAAACTTATAAAATACCTTTACTTAATAAACATTATTAAAATAACTGTATGCTACAAATATAATAGATTTAATCTTTTGTTCGTGATTATATATGAAACTAAAACAATGAGGTACTTAAATTAAGTTTCAAATATACAGAACATGCATATATGCCATCATGAAGAATAAAATAAATTGTTTTAATCAACATTAATATTCAGAAAGGTGATGGAAACTTTCTAATCCATTCAGACCTTATTTTCTTTTATTATTTCAGCACATAAAGGAAATTGTATGTATACACATGTAGTTAATCAGAAGCTCTATAAAAAACCCCATACCTTTAGACCAAACAGCAGTTCTGCCTTTAATATACAATTCCTCTTCATAATAGCAATCAGTTTTAGGGTTCAAGGGTCTTGACCTTGGCACTTTGTTCTGTGAGCTTGTCAAATTAAACTTTTTAGACATATTGCTAGAACTATTAGCACTGCTGCCTCTGGATGGGCCTGCTGATGGAATATCATCCTTACGTAAACCACTCAATAGTTCAGATTTGATAGATATATTGAAATCATTCTTTAGTCTGCTCGGAGGACGAAAGGAATCCATATATTCATTTTTTTGTTCCTTTTGTAATTCTTCCAAGTAATCTTTCTCTTCTGAAATTTTTAAGCCAACAAAGTTCATAAATGTATATAAATAAGTTACTAATGTATCAACAAAAATGTGTAAATTTCAATATACAATGTGTTTTTAAATTAATTTAAAGATATTAATAAGTACCAAATCCTTTATAATTCTTTTGGTAATATTAAAATATTAAAGTTAATAAGTCCATCATTATATCTCTTCTTCTCCTACCTGGCAATTTCCCGGCTACAGCCAGGGTCTGCCTTACATGTTTGTCAATAGTTTTGGCTAATTATTTTTTACGATCGGCCGCCTGCCTGACATCAACCCTCTTTTGGAAATCAGCATTAATCAGTGATGTCTAAATATTCTTAGAAAGTACATATGACTCGGAAAAATCACATTGGTACTTGCCCGGGCCAGGATCGAACCCGCGCTCTTGGCAATGAAAGGCGGACCCTCTAACCATTAGGCCACCACTGACTCAGCCATCATTATATGAGGTATATAATATATACTAAATTTTATTTAGTCACAAAATCAGAAATTTACCTTCAACTCTATAATATACTTCTCTGATGCACCACCATTCCTCGTCTTCCACAAGACTTTCCTCCTTGATAGCAAAGTTGGATAATTTATACACAAGAGATTGCTCAGACGAGACATTGTGTCCTTTGCTGTAGATCTTGCTGGGATGCTTCGTTAACACAGTTCTACCGTGAGGTACAAACTCCTAAAATTATGTTATATTTTATATAAGCTTGTTATGGTATAAATGCATATTATGGATTTCAACTTGATGTTCTATTTGATTGAAATGTTAATCACTATAAATACCTAATGAAAACATTAGCTAGAATCCATTATCTTTTGTCAATAATCATTAAATGTGAGAGAGTAAAGTTAAGGAAAATATATACAGTGGAATCAACAATTTCACGTATAATATTTTCTTATAAATACAAAATTTTATACAAAAGTTATCCCATAAGATTTATTTTATTCAAACAAAACTTACCAGAGGTTCAGAAGCCGCTATCATTGTTTTGTCATCCAGATTTGAAATAATATAAAAGAGACACCTTATCGTAAGCAAAAATATATTGATTGAATAAAATCAAATATTCCTTTTGATACTTCTAGGTATTTCTTAAGAAATTCGTAAAATAGCGCCGGATCGCACTTTGAGTTTATAAAGGTACCTAATTGATAAATTGTAAACGACAATTGCTGTCAATGTGACAATTTGACATTGTCAAAAAAATACAAGGATTACAATTTTTTTTCATGCAATACTTTTGTTTGGTATTAAGAAAATCTAAATACTAATCTTTAAATATTATCTAAAAATCATCTTTTATTTTTGTATGTCACTAAACATATGAATACGAACGTAAAAATGGAGCCACACACTACAAAATTGTGGCGTGAATAATTAGAGAATTATTTGCAGTCAATATAGCTCGTATTGGAAAAAAACTATTATTAAAAATGTAATTATATGAATTCTACTGAAAAAATGGATTTATTGGCTGATACATACTCAATATTCATGCAGTTACTTTGTACCACTTTTAAACCCTGACTCAAAAAAGGGATGTTATAAGACGTCTGTGTGTAGATGTATTATGTATATAGATGTCTGTCTATAGAACTATTATTACCTCTCAAACAAATCGACAAATTTAAATGAAATTTTTTCTTTACTTAATAAAGTAGGTACCTCACGAGTGCTACAATAATATTTTAAGGAAAATAAAAGCGTGTCGTATATTACAATTTATAACTGTTACATTGATTGAATTGTAAGCTATTCTTCACTCCCCATACCAGCATCAAAGGTCGACTTATACTTCTAGCCCTACCTGGTTCTTACCGACTTTCCCTTTGCAATTATGGGGAAATCATAAAGTGAGGATATTGGAAAGTGTTCAATTTCATACTCGAATAATATTATTATTTTATTCATATCTAACAAAATAAAACAAGGTATATGTTAATATGAATAAACTTTATTTCTACATACAAATATATATATATCGAACCGCGTCTGTAACAAAACATCAACAAAATACTTTGGAGCCAACTTAACGCTTTGGATGCCGACTTATTATGCCCTAATACAGACCAGTGTTTCTCAAACAATAAACATTTTATATTAAAATTTGCAATTTAACGAATTATACTATAAATGATATAAATTTGATATAAATATAACGCATAATTCGTTACTTGCAATATCGCAAAATATATGCCGTCTGTGTGCTCTTTGTTCAACATTATCACGGCATATATTTGGGATAACTTAAAATTACATACATAATATATATTTATTGACTATCACCTCTAACTCTGCTAACACAGAGTATCTTACACTAACGCAGATCTGCCAGCACCATTTAAATCATTCCATAGGTTTTATATTTATATTCTGATGAGAAAATTTTTTAAGCTCTCTTTTTAAGATTCTACTGTGTATAATGAATATATTTATATACGTATATAGTATTTACGGGTGAAATACCGTCCTTGTGGCCCCTTGGTCATACATATCTTAACACTAATCATCAAAATAAGGCTCTGATCTCAACAAGGCAAACAAATATTTCATAAGATTGTTACAATTTTGTTTCTTATAAAACCGCTTAGCTCATCGAAAAATCTCATTGAGGAACCATAAAAATCTTAATAAAAAAACATAATAATTAATAACATGTTACACAAGAATAAAAATCAACAATTTTCAACTTCACAATTAATAACTTAGATAATAAACATAGGATTTTTTAAAAATTTAATTCGATATCCAAAACACCGGAATGCCAAACAATAAGGTAATAAAAACTATTTACCTATTACATACATATATATTATGGTAATCTACCTACACTAACATTTGGTCTTTGGATGAGCATGTCACTTTATGGCTTGTGTCATTTGTAAATAATATATAAGTGCACTTTTTGAATTTAGTACTTGATTATTTCTTTAAAATACTATTCTAGACTAGACCAGCAACAAAGCATCGCACCATTAACCGTCATTAAAGATCTTTATATTAAATAGAATCACAGAAGCATTAAAAATATATTTAAATAAAAATAAAAAACAATCAACTTTGAGAAACACTGTTCCACAAAAAAATTAATAACTAAAACTACGAAGTCGTTAAAAATAGCTTAAAATAAAATGTGCAATGATTTAAAAGTGAAATCCATGAAAGTTTTCGATAAACCTCAGGTACCTAATTGGGACATTCACCATTTATAATATATTTCAAGATAGTTTGACACATTAACAAGTGTTACCGTTATAAATACAGAAGATTTTTTTCTTTAATCTATTAAATTTATCACAAGGACAGTTGTGAGTCTTACCCACAAATGTAAGACCTTATTAAAATGATTTCAATCAGTATAATATCATTTTTTTTTTGATTCAAAAACTAATTTCTATGTCCATTATATATGAAACCACAAGTGGTATTTACCACATATAAAAGTATATAAGTAATTGCACACAGCAATGGTATAAACGAAAATATAATCACCTTCAAAATGCAATGCAGTCTATGCACATGGTGTCTTATATCAATTATAATCTAATATTAAGGCGACTGTAGTATCCTAACTACAAATAATGAGGTTACAAATAATATACAATATGTATGACATATTTTTTGGCATTTTTTTATATTATATTGTGATGAATGATGGAAACACAGCATCTTTTTGTCAATCATATAACAATAATTGACAATTTGTTAATATCTGTATGCCGCTTACTGATTAATAAAAAAATCATATATATATTAATATTTTATATCTTTTTCAATATTAAATGTAAAATAGATTATGCTCTGTTTAAATCTGTGATATATATTTCTCAATAACCTATCTATCACCAGTTAACACCTAACAAGCAACGCAGCCTACACGACCAAATCAACTAAGTATACATATAACTCTATTTAATATAATATAAATAATTTATATCTCTAATTTATAAAAACTATGATTAAAAGTGTACAATCCATATTAATATTTATGCGTACGATGTAAAAGTATTACCATATATAAATATTATCTGATTATAAAGTAAATAAGTTTTGGAATATCTCATTAAGGCTACTTGGTATTTCATACCTTGGAAGCGTCTTCGCTTGCCGCATTGGTCTGCTCTATTTTGGACGTGTTGGCAGCGACCTCGGCCAACGTGGCCAACGCGAAAAGGTCGACATTACCATGGTTCTGATTGCATATGTCCATGCTTTGGATGGTGCAAGGTGCTTCTGTGGCGATTTTTATTTCTGGACTTATCTTATTGCCACCGTTCATATTACTGGACACGAGGCTGTTTATTTCCAGTCGTGTGATGCTTATTTTCCTCGGTTTCCGTTTCTGACTCCCTATGACAGTCTCGCGCCAATTCTCCGCCATTTCATGACGCTCGTCCATAACCGGGCGCGGAACCGAGTTTATTATTTGCGATGGCTTCACAGATTTCGTTCTAAGGCTAACGTTTTTTTTCTTACGTTTATTCTCTCGTTTCTTCTGTTGAAACTTCTCTAAACTAAGGGAGGGTAGAGCTCTTATTTTAGCTTCTAAATCGAAGTCGGCAGCCTTAAATGATTTGTTACAGTTATTGTCTATTTCGGGCGTGTCGTTTGGTTCCACATTTGGTTCGCTTTCGACTGTTATGTCGTGCTGTATATAGTTAGTGTCGGGCGTCGACTCGTCTGCCATTGTCATCGTTGATTCCTCCAGCGAAGATCCTGGATCCCAGCTACAAGATGCATTGTAGCCTTCGTCCGACAATCTATCGGGATAATCTCTCCTCGGCCTCTTATTCACTATCAGTCCTCCAACAGCCATGAACTCTTGGTATCTCTTCCCTTTGCAAGTTCTACCAGACTTGGAATTTTTCTCGTCATCCGACCAGTTTCTTTGATATCCTTCATCATCTTTAGAATAGCGTTTATCAACTATTTGGTCGATCACATCTTGGTTCGTGAATTGGTCATTGGCTGCTCCGTAGTAACGTAATTGTTCCTTTTCATCGAAATCTTCTTCGAACATCCGAGTTGTTTCTGTGAGTGCGTTTTGAAGCTCACGTATGCTGTCTTCTCGTTTGGTCTTGGGTCTGTCTACTGAATCATGAGATCTGTATTCGATTGGAGTTGAGATCGCGTTAAATTTACAAGTAGGGGGAGAATAATATGGATTAGGAGTTTGGACTTCAGTCTTGGTAGCTAGGAGGCTACTCAGACCTCCCATTTGAGCTTCATCGGCTAACTTTCCAGGCGTAAACATGGATAGTGGTTTAGTTTCAGTTTCTGGATCGCTGTCTGGTTTCTTATTGTAGTCGAATTTTGTGGAATTATTATTTGTTTTTTCCAGTTCATGGTCGTTATATTCGTTGGAGGATTCTGCTTTCTCAGTGGACTCCCGAGGCCGGGAGGATAGAGTGCGTAGCGGTGGTGCGGGCAACTTGTACCATTTGAAGTCAGGGTTGGCGTTGAAGAACGCGTCTTTGTACTGGAAGTTTATAAGTTAAGATTAAAGCTTCTTTGTTATTAAATACATACGATTGACATTATGGATAAAATATTCACATACCTGTTTAGCAAGACCTGTATAACAAGCTTTCTCTTCCTGGTCCAAATTGGCCCACCATTCGCCGAGAATTTTAGTTATAGATCTGCAAATAACATACAAGATATTTTAGTATTTTGTTTGAGATAATATAAAAAAACGACACTAATAATATTTTTATAGCTTTGACAATAAATTAAGATAAAATGAATATTGAGAACACAGACAGAGACAAACAAAGAATAAAATGAGATGTTTTAGAAATGTTGCTACTGGGTTTTTTTGTAGTCATATCCACCACATTTCATAATCTCATTTCCTTCATATAATTAATAAACTCATTATATTAATATAAAGTAATGAATCTTCTCTTACCTGTTCTCTAAATTTGGATACTTGTCCCTGACGACGCTACGGTGACGTTTGCAGAATATGAGAAAGGCGTTCATAGGCCGGCGAGCGTGGTGCGCCGGTTCAACGTCACACTCCTGGTCCTGCATTGTTTATGATCTGTAATAGAATAGAAGAATATATAAACATTATAATATTAACTACTATACATGAACTTCTTGATGGAATTCCATGCGTATACTTCGAGCACTGGACGCTTGACCTTTAAATTAATTTTTTAGACACAGTTGTTTTAAATGTCAACCGCATTTAACTTCTTGTTATTTGATCGTTTAATTGATATAATATGTATAGGATAATAATTATTAGTCTTTGGTAATGCATTTTTTTTAACATAAACTAATTATTTTATGACAGTATTAACATCGACTGTAATTAATCTAATGATTTCAATGTTTTCAAACGAGCTTCGTTGCCGATTTGTTAATATAAATATTGAGTCATCGACCCGCTATCACTGTTATCACGTGACATGTACTTGGCAAAGAAATATCATTGATAATATATTGATAAATCATATCGTAATGGAAGCATATCCTATGTTCCTTGTTTATTTATTTATCCGATCAATAAACATAGGAAGGTTGGATAAATGAATAAATAAATATAAAAATGTTTAAAGGTTTTTGCATTGTAAAAGGATCAAGATTTTCGAACAAAATTTCAAGAATTAAATACTTTTCTGTTGTCAAGCTTAACAATGGTTAACTCTCGCTGTGTTACCGTTAGCTACTGTTAGCAACCCGTTAAATTTAACTTTCTTATGGTTACGTAACAGTAACCTGTGTTATCCTAAAAAGCTATCGGTTGCTTTAACCGGTTGTCGGTCGGGTGGCGAGTATGTTTTCACTTTCCGAGGCCGATGCCCTGGTGTGACTTACATCGTCTTTTGGTCAAGGTCATCGCGTCGGGATAACATCTTCAAAAATGTTAAACTTCTTCATATTGAAGCGAACATAACGATAGCGTAACAAATGCCTTTGTTTTATAAACAAAAATAAGTGTTAACAAAGGAACAAGAAACCAAAATCTATGTTACTAAGAAATGAATTTCAATAAGAGAATTATTTTGAGTTTTAATAGACAATACTTGATGATTATTCGTATATAAGTATAAATAATAATACAATTTTAGACCGTAAAAGCTGAGATATTAACGAAATTAGTACAAATTATATTTCGAGTCTTATGTTTCACATCTCCAGTCAAGTTAAGTCGTTGTTTAATCGGCTTTGGAAATTGAAAAGACCTTGAATTACCACTGAATTCTATACAATACCTTTTTTTTATTTTTATGTCGTGATGTAAAATACTTAAAAGAAACATTGAACATGATATGAACAGTTTTTCTTTAGTGTTTTGTTTTTATAAAAAAAACTTGCTTCTTTCATGTAATGCTTAGCATTTCGGAGTAATATTCTTAATTGGAAATATTTCTTACAATTCCGAGGAATTCGTATGTATTCAACGTACGTATGCTATTTGGGGATATACTTACGAATATCATTTGCCCTTGACCTGGGCCAATATTGGGTGAATAGTTTGCCAATATATTACATTATTATACATATATTATGATATATAAATATATATTTTCAAGAAGGCCTTTTACTATTGTAAATGAAGTCTCATTATATGAAATTTCCCTTCTTATATAGAACATAAATAGTTTTTAACTAACGTTTTTATTTTAGTGAGAAAATAATAAATTTAGTTCTTTCAGATTAAAGTTTTGTATTTTAATAAATAACAAAATATACGTAACATATCCTAAACTATATCTATAGATACCTATAGGCATAATAAACTGGATTTTGGTAACTTACGAAAAGCTTGTTTACACTTTTTTGTTCAGCTGTTGTGAATATAAAAAAAAATCTTGTTTTGATTCATAAACCTTCCCCCATTATAGTAATAAGGTAGGTAATTTAATGAGAAACGGAAAACGCGTCGTACCTAGTATGAAGATCCAAACTTGTGTTAATATAATTTTGCATATTACAACACTTAGTAGATTATTGATTGAGAAACGGGAAAATATTCGTGTGAAGTGACGATGAGAACTTATACTAAGGATACAGATGTTACTATTAAAAATATTTTTTATGGGTTTGAAGAAACTTGTATGAAAGATTATAATGATAAAAATTATATAAATAAGAACTTTTTTATACATTATCATTTATTATGGCTGATACGCATCCTTCCCAATTTGCTTAATCCTTGTAACTTGGCTGCGGTGAAGCCAAAACTGTGATTATATTTTAACGTCCAGTATGTTTGTATCCACACAGGTTTTATATGTGAAAGAAACAAGATTATATAAAATTAGCTCTCAAGGACAAAGTTATAAAAGGGACGAGCGGATAAAAATGTCTTGGGCTTATAATATGTATACATTGAAAGTTTTCTTGAATGAACCTTAGCTATGTATATTACTAGTTTTGGCTCGCGACTTTGTCTGCGTTAGGTTCATATTTGAAAAGTATAGCTGACCAGGCGAACTGCTTCGATTTAGAGGCAGTAAATAAACAGATTTTGCCTTTAATAGCAATTTTTTTTTGGGTGAACGAGATCAAAAGTATCCTATGTCCGTCTCCTGATTATAAACTACCACCACACAAATTTCCAGCCACATATGTACAGGCGTTGTTGAATTATAAATAAGTAGTGTAATTAACACGATTTTCGTTTATACAGGGTGACTGGTGAATTACTATCAATATTTAAGGAGCATACTCGGTACATGATTCTCATTCGAATTATGTAAAAAATATAGGTACTTAATTTTTGACCAAATTTCCGTATAAATAAATAAAGTGTGTACACGTTCCAAGTGTTCCAAGTGTGGACGCGTGCGGCGGCGTGCTGATACAACACTACGCCGCCGCCGCGTCTGTGTGAGTGTGTGTGTATACCTAATCTGTAGGGTGTTCATACGATGCGTAATTAATTACATAACTTTTGGTTAACTTTACTTAGAAGTTTATTAATATTTATGTTATATTAATTTTTATTTTGTCATATATGATCGTCATATATCACGTCCTCAAATATCGATAGTAATTCACCAGTCACCCTGTATATATTAACAATAATTATTACATTCCTCTATGTAATATTCATCTATATACAAGCTAATGTAAACCATTAAAATTAAGTATACAATCATGTCTATACCTAATGAAAGAGTCCCAATAACAATTCAGTTATTATGTACGTTAAGATAATATAACAAAGAAATTAAACTATTTGTTACATTTCACATAACGTTTCTATTATTTCATAGCAACCGTTATCACGAGCATGCAAGATGAAAGGGTAAATGTTGTGAGCTAGTATGTCCACCATAAATATATAATGTGTTGTCAAAGTGTACATTTATATGCTTGAATTAAAAAACCGTTAAAGCTCTATATGAGGCGTGACATAATAAAATAATATTAAATGTTACATAATTGCAATGGATAAAATTTTAATAGATTATATATAAATGTTACTATATAGATTTAAAAATAACAATTTTTTTATCTCATCATCATAAGTACATATACTGCCGTTATTTTTATAACCATGTTTATTTAAATTAATGTTTTAGTGATGTGAAGCTAATTATATATGTATAAGTATATAAATTATATATAAGGATATATCCCTACTTATATTATAAATTCGAAGGTAACTCTGTCTGTCTGTCTGTTACGCTTTCACGCCTAAACCACTGAACTGATTTTAATGAAATTTGGTACAGAGATAGAGTTGACTTTGAGAAAGAACATAGGATAGTTTTTATCGCAGACTTTTGAAAGGTTCTCTTGGAAACGCGATATAACCGAACTCCACGCGGGCGAAGCTGCGGGCGGAAAGCTAGTTTGTATATAAATCATAGTTCATGGGTAACCATAAAATATAGTAAATTTAAAGGTGCAACCAGTATATTATAAACTCTGATTAGTTTAAACCAAACATTCGTGTTTAATAAAAAAATCGATTAAATCTCATTATAAGGCGATAATGTTTTTTAATTGTAATAAAAATGTATGTATGCGTATGTTTATACTTTTCAACTTAAGAAATTCCTAACCTTTATAAATGAATATATTACGTATGATCATTTAGAACAGTTATTATAATCATGAAAAAATCATTCACCGTCATCCCGGGCAGACTCGGTTGCTGTAAAGTAGCCGAAACGTCGATAGTAGGTAATAGGTATGTAGTTTAGTCAAAAATAAAAAAACTAATAGTGAATCCGAAAATATTAGTTTCATTTAAATGAGTTTTCGCGAAAATCTTAGATCTCATTATCTACTTAAATAATAATTACGTTTATTTTTAACTATATCGCCTCATATACATAAATTCTATGGACAAACTTCAAACTTAATAGTTTAAAATCAGCGTATCAAATCTCTTATTATAATTAATATTGAATTTGGTCAAAAACTTAAATATTAATATTATGTTACGTTACGTTAGACAGACCCTGGCGTCATCAAAAAAAGGCAGACCCTGGCTAAAGCTGGGAAAATTGCCTGAAAGTTAATGTTATTGCGTTAGAATAGCTATGAGAATTAAAGTAGTATGTATAACTATTTCATTAATTGTAACAGTCATATCACTTATCAAGAATGAATCAATTTAACTATGAGCATACACGATAACACAAGAATTGATTACAGTTACTGTGCTGGTTTAAATTGAGACGGAAAAAATATTTCCATATATAAAAACGATGTCGAATTGTTAATATTTTACAATAAACGATAAATTTATTGTCTAATTTGTGTGAATTTTATAAGAAAACTAGCTGACCCGGTAAACGTTGTTTTGCCATATAAAAAATAGGGGTTGGTGATAAAGAAGTAAAAATTTTGGGTTGTATGTATTTTGAATGCTACATTATGAAAAAATAAAAACTATAAATTTCGTCTAAAAAAAAATTAAGGATAAACAACCCTTATGACTTAGGGGTATGAAAAATAGATGTTGGCCGATTCTCAGACCTACTCAATTTGCTCACAAAATTTCGTCAAAATCGGTCCAGCCGTTTCGGAGAAGTTCTGTGTCTAACACCGCGACACGAGAA